AAGGCACATGGACACTTTTTGGGGTTAAACTTGTTGAGATCTCAATCCTCTCTAAAAAAAAGATACAGCTACTGGAAGAAAGTTAATTAAATTAAGACGTCCTACACTCTTAACTTATCGGTGACTGTACTTCACAGTAGATTGTCGTAAATAGTACAAAATGATTGATTGTTTAAGTTTAACGCAATTTTAAGCACACTAGGCTATGTCGTCAATGAGGCCAGTTTGTTATTGGTGGGGGAAACCGCGGTACGCGGCGAGGATCACACACCTTCAACAGGAAAACTGGCAATCCAAATTTTAAAATTACAATCTGAATCGAATGTACGGCTTGCCACGAGCGGGGTTCGAACTTACAATCTCATAATAGTACAGGAAGACACAATCTTGTGCAATGCGCAGGACATATTTGTACAAAATATAAATGCAGAAGACAAACTGAACATTTGCTTCAAACTATATATAACGAATTAATTGACATTCAACCCTAAAATAATCCAAACGCAATGATTGAACACCATATCAATTAAAAAAAGAATCTATTAAGCAACATGATATATTAAAAGGACTATTCTTAAATTTGTTACATAAAAGATTTTAAAAGGACTATTCCTAAATTTGTTACATAAAATATATTAAAAGGACTATTCCTAAATGTGTTACATAAAATATATTAAAAAGACTATTCCTAAATTTGTAACATAAAATATATTAAAAGGACTATTCCTAAATTTGTTACATAAAATATATTAAAAGGACTATTCCTACATTTGTTACTTTTTAAATATATCACCGTAAAAAACTGGTCGTGAAATACCACTTTTATATCAAATTCCTGCAGAATCATATTTACACGATAATTCTATTATTTGAGATAAAATTAAGTAAAGCTTTAATCAATTTATTATTTCTACATTGTTCAAACTAAGAAATGTACATTCCATAAGCAGGAATAAACGGAATATAAATAATAATAAAAATAAAAGTACACTCAAGCGAAGTAATAGAAAATATTGATGATTACATAACCAACTGAAATTAGTATATTCATTTTTTGTAATGAAATGAGAAAATCATATGCCAATGTCATATTCACATATCAAATATTTTTCGTTTTATAACTCATTTGGTGATAATTTCTTTAACTTTAACGTTATTTTTTTAATACTGTACGACTCAAATGGGTGGCTACTTAATACGAAATTGCAATATGATTTAAAAATAAATGATGAAAACATGATTTGGATTAACCCTACTTCAACGAAGCAAACTGATATTTTGACACTTCAAAAATAAATGATGAAAACATGATATGGATTAACCCTACTTCAACGAAGCAAACTTATATTTTGACACTTTGAACAATTGTATGTATACATATTTTCTTGACTGAGTCATGAAACGAGAAGTGTCCTCAGCAAAAGTAAAATATCATCATGGTCATATGTATAGTGTGAACGGATTAACCCAAACGACATTAGCTAATATTGCTGCAATAGCATTGATCTCGAATTTAATAAACACATTTTTTTTTAAAGTGTATGAATAAAAAATAGATTGAACATGAAGTCATCGTTTGTTTTTCTTCCCGGTTGGTGAAGCCAACTTCGCATTTAACATAATTTTTTTTTAACATAATATTACTGTAATATTTTGATCTACATAACTTAGTATGGGAGTATTCCGCCATCTTGGATCACAAATAACCGCACATGATCGGTCCAGATTTTCACAAAAATAAGCAAACTTTAATGCCTAAATCTTGCCACTTATTTGTATGACTATTTCTATAAGTGAAGAGTTTTAAAAACTGCATAAGGGAGGAGGCAATAATTGTTCCCGACTTTTTATCAGTGTGAAAAAGTAACGAATTCTGAAATTAATCTTAGACCCCAAATTAATCTACAGACATCAAGGATTCGAGATAATCATGTTGCCTTTTAGTCAGAGATTGGTCTGACGCTTGGCGATCTTTGTAATACCTTGCAAGGCCCCATCTTCGCTAGCCAAGGGTTACGATCCAGTCCCCTCCTCGCCACGGCCCAAGCAAGTTCTCAAAAGTCAATCAGGACAATCTCGAGCTAGCTGTCTTACAATAGCTACTACCATCTGTTGACTTGTGAAAATTTTTTCAGGAACAGACAATATAGTCATCAGCATGCCCCATTCAGGAACCTCGTCAGTCGTTTTCTTATTTCATATCATGGCTTCATGTTTTCGTTAGTTTGGAAAACTGGGTGTTGATGGCAGTGATTTGATTATTCAACTGTTCAATTTATTCACAACTTTTATAGTTTCTGAACGATTTAAAGCTTGGTGTATTGTATATAGACACCTGTGTGCTTATTGTTGAAGACTGCATTTTGCCCTCTATATCTTTATCGGGTCTTTTTTTTTTTTGTTGATGTTGTGTTGCTGTCTACCACATCTACTTTTATTGACCATGACTTCCATTGGGATAGACAGTCAATCCTTTTGTTCGTAGTGTAAGAAAGATTTTATTTTTTTCTCAATTTGAAGACTTCATGCCTAATAGAGGCGAACGATACCAGAGGGACATTTAAACTCATAAGTCGAAAATAAACTGACAACGCCATGGCTAAAAAAGAAAAAGACCAACAGATAAACAATAGTACACAAAACACAACATAGAAAACTAAAGACTGAGCAACACGAACCCCACTAAAAACTGGGGGGGGGGGGGGGGTCTCAGGTGCTCCGGAAGGATAAGAAGATCCTGCTCCACATGTGGCACCCGTCGTGTTGCTCATGTTAGTACAAATCCGGTAATAAGTCTAATTCGGTAGGTAACATTCGGGAAAGGGGACGGGATTGTAGTTACGACATTAGGAACATATCCGCTATCATCTGTGAAACGGATATTCTCTAATTTTTGTGCTATTTTCACATTTCTTGATCGGTGTGAGAAAAATATTTCTCCTCACTAGTGAAATATCTGTTCTCGGCAAATGATTAGTCGAAATTTGATTATGACGTCAAAATGTTTTGTTTTCTTCTGAATTTTCCTATTGTGACGTCATAAAAAAAGGCGACCATGCCTGATGATGTCGCATATAAAGAACACAAGTTTCTGAAAATCTTTCAAAAACGAAGGATAAAAATCATCAGAGAAACAGATTCCGACACCATAACTCGTGTATTACGATATTTCTCTACTCTCGACAATTAAATTTTAATTATTTAAAAAGCTCGGCAAGCCTCGCGCTTTAAATAATAAAATTTAACTGTCTCGAGTGGAGCAATATCGTAATACACTTGTTGCAGTGTAGTAATCTATATTTCCATAACAGTCAACCAACTCTTGATGGCGTCCGTAAAACTTACGAAGGGATGATTTCAACTTCTCCATTGGAACTCTTGGTTTAATAGCTTCCTTGTGAGCAGCAACCCTCTAACAATTAAGGAAATCATGATAGGAAATACAAGCCCTGAAATAGCGTATCAACTGGGAGATATATCATGACTCCGTATGCAGGCGCTGCTGGAATGTTGCTACATAGAAATGGAAAGTTTACAATTGGGAAGCTGAAATCATCTCTTTTGTCGTAAAGTTTTGTTTTCAACCGACCCTCATTGTCAATTTCTAGATGTAAGTCAAGATATGAAGCAGACGTAACTGTGTCTGTTGTATCCTTTATCTCAAGTTCGATGGAATAGATTAAGTTGTTACCTCCTTGATTACGTATCCTACATATCTGAATGACGACACGTATGGATAACAAGGCGCTACTGAAAATATTCTCTCTCTCGGAAACACGACTATGTGTACCATGGCTATACATCCTGAAAAGGGTGGGGGTCAATTCTTGTTCATTATACAAGTATATGGAGAATACGTTATTAATGCACACAATAACCAGTATTTATTTTATCATATACGGTTAGTATGACAATCACTGAATCGCCCGACCCTCAGTATATTCTATAGTATAGACAAGTTTTGAATTCAACTGGCAAAATCGACTGATTACTTACCAATTGTATCGAATTCACAATTACTTACGAGTATAGTTGCAACCCCCCCCCCATCCCGGACAAACAAACAAACAAACAAAACAAACAGACAAAAAAAAACTAAGAAAAAGACAACAACAAAAAAACGGTCATAATCAATACAACACAAAACAATGTCTTATCATATAATTTTGCAATTATCTTGAAATCGAGCTAGCTCAAAGAAAGCAAATTATTTTTTCCAATCCAAAAGTGAAGAGCAAATAATACAGCGATTATACCACAAAGTCCTACTAACGGCGTCCAAACTTCTTCAACTTGATATTATCGCAAAAATCTACAACATCGCTCGCAACCGTCTATCAAAATTTGTATGTTTATCTTAATCATTCCAAATTAAACCGAAATCATAGTTATTACTTCCAACCCGATCGTTGAACACGAAATATATATATACGGTAGTCCATCGGGTGTATCAAATTAGAAATATCCTAAAAAGATAATAAGTATATATAGTTCCCCGCGTGCCTTTAACAGATTGAATATAGTTATATATTTTGAAAAGTATATCCCCCCTTTTTCCTCAAATCAAATAACAAATAAACATATATTTTAATGACGTATTGAGAATGTGGATTGTGTACAGAAAGACATATGAACGCTGACTTAAACTTTATGATTATACTATCCTTTTAATTACAAATACTATTCAGCTTTACTTGGCCTGCTTACGTGGTAGAAAACATATGAAGATCATCGTGCGTGACTAAACAAGATATAACAAATCATTTTTTATTTGGCCTAATGATTGATTTTCATTGTATAAAATACAGGATTTAAAAAGTTAAGTTTAGATAAACAATCAATTAATTAGATCTAGATAATAACAATAATTAAAGTAAATTTCAAATATTCCCATTATTTTCATCGAAAAAAATCATGAACTTTGATACCCTACAAGATATATATATGTAATCTCTATGAAAGACATCAAAATAGTTCGGAGTGAAAACCAAAGCCGCCGAAGGACGAATGACGTCACGTGTGAAAAGAGGAGGAAGACAGAAAAGCCGAGAAATGGCGACTCCATGAAATGTCGTCTGGGGGTGATACTGACCGGACACTACCCATATTTTATTGATGTATTTTTGTCGGCTTGTTGGACTTTTGGAACACAACTGAAAGAACAACACAATAATTACCAGTCATGGCTGCAAATATGTACAGAGTAGGAGGTACGGAAGAATTTTTGGGAAACAGCATGGACGGACCCCACTCTTCAAACGCGTTGGAATATTGTGTCACCATAATCATGTATTCAAAGAGAAAATTAACCGCATTTTTTTGAAAATGTGTTTGTTTACAAGTGAAAATGGATATTCAATCCATTTTGTGAATGTTTTGATGTGTAATTTGAAAAGGGAGTTCAGTTTGGGGATCTCAAGGGGGCAGTAAAGCGGTCGGAATGACAGAAGGAAGAAGTTTTTCTCCTTTTCTAAAACATGGATTTACGAATGTTTATCTCTCAAATCAATGCATAGATTCTTATATTCAGTATGTGTTACAATTATTTTTGTCAGAGAATATGTGAAATTTAATTTCAACCGGCACTACAGTACAAGGAAGCTTTTTAAAATGGACTATGTTTTGGCGGAAGGATTATACTACAAATTAATTTTAAACAAAGAATTTTTATTTTCTTATTACAGATTACGTCTATTTTGAGACAAGTTCCACAACTCCATACCAAATTCGACGTATAGAGGAACTAAACAAGGTACAGCAATTTATTTATTTTTCTTTTATATGTCGTAAAATTAGTTGTTTAACAAAAAAGAATATAAAGTGAGGCCGGTAAAGGGCAAAGAGGCACTCATGGGGTGTTAATTTATCACACTGGGTGGTCACGTGTTCAGGTGATCGAAATGGCTTCGATATCAGATGTCTATTTTCATTTTTTCAGACTCCAAATGGCAACGTCGAAGCAAAAGTTATGTGTTTCTACCGAAGAAGGGACATCTCCAGTTCACTTACCCTGCTTGCCGATAAACACCAGAGTAAGTTTCATTCTACTATTGAAAATTGACTGCACATAAGTTCCATGTGTTGACAGTGCTTGTCGTGGAAACACAGCATCATCACATTATTTTTTAAGAACTTCAAGAGTTTGATATGTGTAAATAGGGACCATTTACACATGAAAAACAACATAAGCACGTGGATTTTGTACTACAAACGAAAATAGTCCGGCAATGAGAGGGTTGTGATTGGTTAACTTTAGTTCATTGATGAGATAGGGCTGTACCTTTTCAGAATGTAAACAAGCCCCATTCCCAGGGCATAATATCAGCTTAAAGTCCATATAACGCAAAAATAAAGATATAACATGCGAAAGCAGTCTTCTTGTTAATTGTGAACCATTGATTAAAGGACAAATATATTTTATTTAGAATAGTTTTTAACTTGTGATGTTGACTGTTGTCAACTGAATGTGATATATCAGTCATTAAGACTACAAGTTGTAAGTATAAATTGCAAAAAATATATATGAATAGTGATACATTTTTCATAACAACTAAGGACAAAAAAAATGGAAAGTTTGTAATATAAATTTCTTTTAAATAAATCAATATCTAATCAATGCAAGTTGTTCTGTATATAAGAATTGGTAGTTTCATACAAGGTTTATACATGTATTTTGCATTCAGAGACATTTCTTATCTAGATAAATTTACATACGCAGTAAAACAATGTATAGCAAAACATTTCATACCTTTTATTTTCAAATTTCTTTTTAAGCTAATGTTTTAGTTTGTTACTGATACATGCAGCTTCATACACTTTGTAATGGTGAAGGTCATTGTGATTACCCTAAAACTCTGTATTGATATGTCCTGCTTGCATGAAAGTACAACTTGGTCTGCAATGGGCGAAGTACAACCTGATTCAGTGATTTTGAATGTTGTGTACACATGTAGTTAATACCCAATCACATTTTATTCACTCTCATATTTTAAACTAAATCTTTGCAGACAATCTCCCTAGATTTTTTTACATTTAAGTACTTAGAAGTATTTTTGTACATTTGATATCTATCTGATTCTCTATTTATTGTTAAATAAATGAATAAATTATCAATAATGACAATAAAGTGAAAAGAGAACTCTGAACCAGTAATAGCTTTTCAGAACAGTGAAATGAGATTTTTATTTGTTTTAAGCTGTAGACCTCAAAGGTTTGTTGACGTTATATGTATTTGTGTGAAAATGTTGGGTCCTGTTGCCATTCACTTGAAGAAATAATTTTATAATTGAGCTTTGTTGCGGAAATGAGACATATTGATCCTACATTTGTTGGCAGCATTAACATTTAAATTTAGACTGGTTAAAGTTTTTTTAGATGTCAAACCTTCATGCAATTTTATGTAAATTGGAAAAAGCTTTTTTATGATCAAAAGATAGTATCTAGATCAATATAATGAAAATAATTTTTTTCCATCTTTCTGCATTTTACTGATAAAAGGACATATTTTGTTTTTGCAGTTGACATGTACAAGTCATGTAGTCTGATGATTAAATTTATTAGACATGTATCACTTGGTCAAAACTTGATAGAATTTTATGAAACTTTGCCAGAAGCTTTAATTTTTATACGACCGCAAAAATTGAAAATTTTTTGGTCGTATATTGGTATGACGTTGGCGTCGTCGTCGTCGTCGTCGTCGTCTGGCGTCGTCCGAAGACGCATTGGTTTTTCGCACTCTAACTTTAGTTTAAGTGAATGGATCTCCATGAAATTTTACCATAAGGTTCAATACCATAAAAGGAAGGTTGGGATTGATTTTGGGGGTTATGGTACCAACAGTTAAGGAATTAGGGGCCAAAAAGGGGCCAACAATAAGCATTTTTGTAACTTCCAGACAATAACTTGTGTGTAAGTGTATGGATCTCTCTGACATTGTACCACAAGGTTCCATATCACAAAGGGAAGGCTGTAATTGATTTTGGGGGTAATTGCCTCAAAATGTTAGGAATTAGGGGCCAAAAAAGGGGCAAAAAACAAGCATTTTTCTAGTTTCATGACAATAACTTGTGTGTAAGTGTTTGGATATTTCTGAAATTGTACTACAAGGTTCCATATCACAAAGGGAAAGCTGGAATTGAGTTTGGGGGTAATTGCCCGAAACGTTTAGGAATTGGGGGCCAAAAAAGGGCCAAAAATAAGCATTTTTCTAGTTTCCAGACAATAACTTGTGTTCAAGTGTATGGATCTCTCTGAAATTGTACTGCAAGGTACCATACCACAAAGGGAAGGCTGAGATTGAGTTTGGGGGTGATGAATCATAAGGGGGTTCAAAAAATTTTGGGGGGGGATTTTTTTTTTTCTTTTTTTCCTTTTTTTTTTCTTTTAAAATTTTCCATTTTAAGTTGGTTATTTCTGATTTATATTTAAAAGCAAATAATAATGATATGGTAGGAGATACACACCAAACAGGATGTGTAAATTATTATATAATAAGTATTGTGCAATAGCAAGAAATTTTCAATTGCACAGTATTGCACAATAGCAAGAAATCTTCAATTGCACAGTATTGCGCAATAGCAAGAAATCTTCAATTGCACAGTATTGCGCAATAGCAAGAAATATCCAATAGCACAATATTGCGCAATAGCAAGAAATTGTCAATTGTACAGTATTGCGCAATAGCAAGAAATAATCAATTGCACAGTATTGTGCAAAAGAAGATACTTCGTATAAATTGCTTATTTCTTGATCAATTTCAATGGGGTTTTATTCTTGAATTCTTGGGGTTCTTTAATATGCTGAATCTAACCGTGTATTAAGTTTTTGGATTTTGGGCCCCGTTTTTAAATTGGTCCACATTGAGGTCCAAAGGGTCCAAAATTGAACTTTGTTTGATTTCATCAAAAATTGAATTATTGGGGTTCTTTGATATGCCGAATCTAACCGTGTATTTAGATTCTTAATTTTTGGTTCTGTTTTCAAATTGGTCTACATAAAGGTCCAAAGGGTCCAAAATTAAACTTAGTTTGATTTCAACAAAAATTGAATATATGGGGTTCTTTGATATGCTGAATCTAACCATGTATTTAGATTTTTGATTATGGGCCCAGTTTTCAAGTTGGTCCAAATTGGGGTCTAAAATTAAACTTTGTTTGATTTCAACAAAAATTGAATAAATGGGGTTCTTTGATATGCTGAATCTAACCATGTATTTAGATTTTTGATTATGGGCCCAGTTTTCAAGTTGGTCCAAATCGGGGTCCAAAATTAAACTTTGTTTGATTTCAACAAAAATTGAATATATGGGGTTCTTTGATATGCTGAATCTAACCATGTATTTAGATTTTTGATTGTTGGGCCCCGTTATCAACTTTGTCCACATTGAGATCAAAAGGGTCCAAAATTAAACTTTGTTTGATTTCATCAAAAATTGAATATATGGGGTTCTTTGATATGCTGATTCTAACCATGTATTTAGATTTTTGATTATGGGCCCAGTTTTCAAGTTGGTCCAAATCGGGGTCCAAAATTAAACTTTGTTTGATTTCAACAAAAATTGAATATATGGGGTTCTTTGATATGCTGAATCTAACCATGTATTTAGATTTTTGATTATGGGCCCAGTTTTCAAGTTGGTCCAAATCGGGGTCCAAAATTAAACTTTGTTTGATTTCAACAAAAATTGAATATATGGGGTTCTGTAATATGCTGAATCTAACCGTGTATTAAGTTTTTGGATTTTGGGCCCCGTTTTTAAATTGGTCCACATTGAAGTCCAAAGGGTCCAAAATTTAACTTTGTTTGATTTCATCAAAAATTGAATTATTGGGGTTCTTTGATATGCTGAATCTAACCGTGTATTTAGATTCTTAATTTTTGGTTCCGTTTTCAAATTGGTCTACATAAAGGTCCAAAGGGTCCAAAATTAAAATTAGTTTGATTTTAACAAAAATTGAATTTTTAGGGTTCTGTGATATGCTGAATCTAAACATGTATTTAGATTTTTGATTATGGGCCCAGTTTTCAAGTTGGTCCAAATCGGGGTCCAAAATTAAACTTTGTTTGATTTCAACAAAAATTGAATATATGGGGTTCTTTGATATGCTGAATCTAACCATGTATTTAGATTTTTGATTTTTGGGCCCTGTTATCATTTTTGTCCACATTGAGGTCAAAAGGGTCCAAAATTAAACTTTGTTTGATTTCATCAAAAATTGAATTCTTGGGGTTCTTTGATATGCTGAATCTAACCATGTATTTAGATTTTGGATATTGGACCATAATAGGTGAATGTCCAATTTAAAATTTTTAAGTTCTTAGACCACATTCATTCTGTGTCAGAAACCTATGCTGTGTCAAATATTTAATCACAATCCAAATTCAGAGCTGTATCAAGCTTGAATGTTGTGTCCATACTTGCCCCAACTGTTCAGGGTTCGACCTCTGCGGTCGTATCAAGCTGCGCCATGCGCAGCATTTTATTATGATTAAGAGATAATGTCTAAAATAATTTTTTGTTTTTTTTTATTTTACTAGTAGGTTGACTTAGTTTTTTGCAGTTGACATTTACAGACGGTCTGGTCTTAAATTTTTCTTCATGACAAGATAATAAAGCCTTAATCATTTTAATGGATTGTTATATAACTTGGATAGAAGCTTATCTTCAAGATCAAGAAATAGCATATGAAGAAAAATGTTTAAAAATCTGTGTTACTGCTATATGGACTTACTTTTTACAGTTAACATTACACTTTTACACTGACAGCAGCAATCACAAAACCCTTTACAATTTGTTTGTGTGGAAAACCTCTAAGATTATGTTTCAGTACAAGTGCTTTAAATATAAATTTGTCCTGATAAACTTTGCTATGGCCTTAAATATATAAAGTCTGTTTCCTGTCTCCTGGCATAAAAAATAGAGTCTGCATTGAATTTTTTCCTTGTCTGACATAAAAATATTTTTTTAATTTTAAATTTATTGAATAAATGTTAAAAAAAGATATAAATTGTACATTAAATCTTTGGATAGAATCTGAACATGGTTATAATTAACACATTAAGAAATAAGATAGGTTTATGAATGATTTTTAATGATTTCAGACACACTTTTCCGAACATAAACTAACATAAGGAATACTAAGTAGAAAAAAACTTTAATTGATTTACACTGCTTTAAAAAATTTACAAACAATATGAACCAATCTGATTAACAGATCCTGTATCCATGCTTTGCTATCAAGGATCTGATAACCCTCTGATCTACTTTCTATTTTAAAGTCCAATCAGGATCCTCGGGTTTTGTTCATTGATAACACATCTTCAAAAATTTGTATGCCACAATCTCATTGGTTGATGTAATAATTGAACAGAGAGAAGAACAGAGTGTTGTCAGATTCTTGCACAGGGGATCTGTATTTTGATTGAACATGAACAAGGGTTAATTAGTTGGCAGAAAACTGAGGTTTAACTGTTTCCCAGACTGACATGTAAACTGTGGTAGTGGACATTGTTTCATCTTTTTGAAGTTGTTTCTCTTTTATAAATGATTTGCAACTATATAATTTTGGCAATTAATGCTTATGTTTGTCAGACAATATTGAAACTGATTGAAATTAAAATGTTTTGAGGTGGAAAAAAAACAGAGAAAACCAAGTTGTATACATATGCATGAGTGAGATGTGAAACTTAATTATGACCTTAAAGCTTACAAAATATATAAATAAGGTTATATCAGTTATCGTGTATTCATGCAATTACTTGTGTAAAAAGTGAATGTGAAAGGAAGTACTATCACCTGACATTACTTGACAAAAACACACATGGATTTCGTGTATTCGGTTTATGATTTGAGCTTTATCACTGCAGAGTCATCATCTGGCATTAAAAATGTTCGCTTTTGAAATAAAAGTACACTTATCAGACTGTTATTGCAATAATACACATTTTTAAGTAGGCTGAAATTACTCACTTCAATGCATCATAGTTAAGAAAAATAAATTCCAGTAGGCTTTTTTTAGTGAAAGTTCAACATGTAGAATTTGTATGCCAGTTGTTGCAAAGTACTGTACCTTGGCTTGAGGTCAATCTTTTACTGCTTCTTGACCTTTGGTCATGTTATACTGATTTAAACATAGTTTAAAGTGAGTTTTCCACAGTAAACTCAAAGCTCAAAAGTTATTTAACATAATGGCATAACATGAAATTATATACCGGTACATATATGCATTTTTCTGACTGAATTAAGTTGATAAATAATGTTTTGTTCAAATTATGCCTGTAGCCAGTTTCACACCCCCCCTCTAATTAGGATTGATCTGGGAGCTTAGACACACATATAATGTATATATTTTTTTATATGGAATTCAGAAGTGTATATCAAAACTTTATATATCTATTAAACCTACTATGGAATGTGTGTCATTCTAGGCCTTTTGAACTCTTAGAAACAATTCCAATTACTTGACCTTCCTTCTCTATTAATTAAACAAAAATAGTTTACACTACTGGTGTCCTAGCTTCTTTTATTGATCATGTTTATTGACAGGTTAAAGTGTATAGACTATAGTGGAGACAGATGTTTTTTGATATTTTAGTTTCTACAAGAATTGCATAGAGGAAATAGAGAATGACACATTAAAGGGAGATAATTGAAGTACAAACAAATTGAAAGTTAAAAAAAATTATGTTAGCTGCCCACTTTTATATTTAGCTTGTGCTAAGAAACTTGCAAAAGAAGTTTGAATTGATATTTTCCAGAAGAAACATGCATATTTTTTACTAGAAAATAATTTTTTTTTGTGAATAATGAAAGTTAGTTAAAAATGTACATGTATTTAATTAATTTATTGCAGATATGCTTGAAGATAGTGAAATTGAAGCCAGGGTAGAAGATGTATCAGAAAAACAAAAACACCAATTAAAACACAGAGAATTGTTCTTATCAAGACAAGTAGAAACTTTGCCAGCAACACATATTAGAGGAAAATGTGTTGTCACTCTCTTAAATGAAACAGAATCACTGTTGACATATTTAAACAAAGATGTAAGCAAAATTACCTATCTATATTATCCATATGGTTAAATGTAAACAAGAAAATTAAATATTCATCAAACTGTGAGTAATAAGTCACTAAATAAAATGACAAGTATTTAAAATAATGTTATAGGAATTTGGAAAATTGAAAACTATGGATTAAGCAAATTACAAAAATGTATAAGATATTTTGACCATCACATTTTTTTAAGGGAGCTCATTGTACATTAGAATAGTTATTACATGAAATATTACAAATCATAGTTCTTTTAAATGTTTGATTGATTGATTGATTTTTGGTGTTTTAACACCACTTTTAAGCACCGCTTTTGGGCTATTTCATGGCAGCCAGTTTTTATTGGTGGAGGAAGCCGGAGTGCCCGGAGAAAACCACTGACCTTCGATAGGAAAACTGACAATCCTAGTCAATTAAGATTGGAGTCGAGTGCACCCGCACTAGCGGGGTTCGAACTCACAACCTCAGTGTTGACTGGCTAGTGATTACAGTAGTAACTACTTAGACCATTCGGCCATCGAGGCCCCTTAAATGTTTGAAAGAATGGAGTTATTGACATGAAATTTGTATATATGATTTCAGGACACATTTTTTTATTCACTCGTCTATGACCCTTCACAAAGAACATTGTTAGCAGATAAAGGAGAGATTAGAGTAGGATCAAGGTTCCAGGCTGAAAGTTTACCAAGTGTACTGCCAGGTAGGTTTGGATGATTTTATATCTGTTCTGTAAGGAGTTTAACTAGTCTGTCTGTCCTATTTGTTTTCATTAATAGATCTAAGGATCAAGTACTGTTAAATCATTTAGAACTGATAACATTCCATTATACTTTCTTTGATGGTAATTATTACATCAGCCAATGAAATTCCTGCCCAGGGCTTCCAAAAGGGTCATATTGTCAGCACTTGACCGGTTATTTTAAGTTGTAACAATACCAGAGGATCCTGAAAGGTCTTTAAAACAGAAAGTAGAATAGAGCATTGTCAGATCCTTATAAGTAAAGCATGGTTATTCAGATTGGTTTAAAATTTACATCCTCCTCATTAAACCAAAGTTGCCAACTTGTAAATGCAGCCAAGAATGTGTTTTTGTCCAAGTTGAATTTCAAAATTATAGGTTAAACAAATGAAATATGTAAGAAAAGAGGAATATCTGATTTAGCAATTTAATATAAAAAATTATTAAATCAAATAGAGTAAAACTGTCGTAAAGTTTTTATACGACGGCAAAAAATTTTTTTTTTTTTCAGTTGTATATTGCTATCATGTCGTCTGAAGACATTTGGTTTCCGAACAATAACCTTAGTTAAAGTGTATGGATCTCTACGAAATTTAAGCAAAAGGTTCAATACCACTAAAGGAAGGTTGGGATTGTTTTTGGGGGTGATGGTCCCAACCGTTCAGGAATTAGGAGCCAAAAAGTGTCCATGAAATTTTCTATTTTCAGGACAATAACTTGTGTATAAGTATTTTGATTGCTCTGAAATTGTACCACAAGGTTCAATACCACAAGTAGAAGGTTGGGATTCATTTTGGGGGTAATTGCCCAAACCGTTCAGGAATTAGGGGCCAAAAAGGGTCTAAAACAAGCATTTTCTAGTTTTCAGACAATAACTTGTGTTTAAGTGTATGGATGTCTCTTAAATTGTACCACATTTTACAAAAAGAAAATTTCTTCAAATATTTTTTTTTTTTGGAGGGGGTAAACAAAAAAAAAATTTTATTGGGGGGGGTCAATTTTTTCCCCTCAAGATTTAAGAAATGGTCAATTTTCCAAAGAAAAATTGGGGGTCACAATTTATTTTGCTAATTTTTTGTATATAGTCTGAAAACAGATTTACTAAGTATTGCGCAACAGCACAGTGTCTTGCACAACAGCAAGAAATCTCCAATTGAATATAAATTCAAATCATATAACCAATTTCAAGTTCTTTGACTACATTTATTCTGTTTCAGAAACCTATAATGTGTCAAATATTTAATTACAATCCAAATTCAGACTTGTATCAAGCTTGAATATTGTGTCCATTTTTGCCCCAACTGTTCAGGGTTGGACCTCGGCGGTCGTATCCAGCTGCGTTCAGCGAAGCAGTTTATTACATTCATACTTTCTTTTAGTTTCATTTTAAATGTGAAAAAGGTAATTGTGATGTTAGCTGTAGATATCCTTTTATTAACTGCTTACAAAGGGGGTGGAGTTTGTTTGCAAAGATAGATTTTGAATTTTTAATATCTTAAATACAAAAACTTGACTTCAGTTATCATATGTATTGTAGAAGGAGAAGACGATTGCAGAAAAATGGAAGAATTGGAAGAACTGATATGGACACCTGAGCATGGCCTGTCTGATAGACAAGTTGACCAGTTCCTCATTATAGCCAGGTGATTGTTGTAAAATTATCTTGGGACTACTTAAATACATCTTTTCATAGAAATTTATGTCATCAAGTTTTAAACTGATAAAAAAGTGAACATTTGGATATAAGAAGAAAATATTATTTTGTTTTTCCAACATTTTACGAGATTCAGGAATTCTAACCCCTGTCAAAAAATATTGTGTGTTTCTCTGTAGTAATTGGCAAAGAAGTATAATTATCTGATTCATCTTCATTTGCTTATCTTTAACAATTTGCTGGCAAAATAGTTGTAGCACTCTTCAGCTGGATAGGATCAGAATTGTGTTACTAGTTTAGAAAATAATTAATACTTTGTTGATTTAGACAGTCTTATAGTAGTATGTTGATGTTTAAATGTAAGAATAGTATTTCTTAGTGCATTGTCTACACAATATTGTTAATGTAATATTTTTGACAGGTCTGTGGGTACATTTGCCAGAGCATTAGATTGTACAAGTACTGTTAGACAACCAAGTCTACACATGAGTGCAGCTGCAGCTTCAAGAGATATTACACTGGTAAGACCCCAAAATATTTTACATGTATAGGGTTTTTTGCGTTTAGCATAAATTTGAGCTTTGACCACAACTTTTAATGAGGATCTATTCACACATAAACATTTCACCAACAAAACAGATATTGCAGCATGCTTAATCCTTTTGCATTTTAACCGATTAATAAAAAATATCCTACCAACCTACAAACCATATATATATTTCTATGTCAGGAAATGATATACACATTTTTCCTTGTAGATAAGTTATTGACTTCTTATGCACACACAATTAAGAAAAGATGTTATCAGATCATAGTATTAAATCTTACTTGATATCAGATGGAAATATAAATTGTCTGACTTTGGGCTTATATTAACCATCTTACAAAATGCATTGCTGTAAAGAAAATTTGATCATATTAAATGATGGCAGTTAAAATGCTGATAAATGTTATGCCAATTAGGACAAGGTCATTCTGTAAATAAATGTACCATAGTGTCATAAGGCACAGACTTCATATCACACAATTTTATTTGTACTTTAGTCCTGATACCTTTAAATATATAAATACTTCCACTCATAATAATTTTATTTAAATTTCCTGATTAAGGTGTTAAAGTAAGGAAACAGGAAATACATTTGTTTGTTGTTAAATGTTCATTGTCTTTTTGATTTCAGTTCCATGCCATGGATACTCTACACAAGGCCACTTATGACACATCAAAAGGTGCTAATAGTTTAGTACCCACTGGTGGTCCAGTTTTGTGCAGGGATGAAATGGAGGAATGGTCTGCATCAGAAGCAAATCTTTTCGAAGAAGCTTTACAGAAATATGGCAAAGATTTTAATGATATAAGACAAGACTTTGTAAGTTTTTAGAATGAGCTATGTATCTGATGGTTAGAGTTTCCATGTTATCTTTATTTAACTTACATGTGTATATTGATTTTGTGTCAATTACATTTTGTTTGTTCCCTTTCTTGTTTTCCAAATATGAGGCATCGCATGAAATAAAATGTATTCAGTATCCATTGAAAATATGATAACCCACAATTTAATAACATCTTTCTGAACATTGACAGACACTTCAAAACAAAAACCACACAAACTTAACACCTTTAATAATAAGCTGATTGCTATTTTATTTTAATTCAAGTATGAATGGTTTGTGTATATGTACAAATGGGACTTATTTATATAATTATTTTATACATGTTTGTTATAGTTATACAATATCCTTATTTTCAGTTACCATGGAAATCTTTAAAGTGTATAATAGAGTATTATTACATGTGGAAAACTACAGACAGATATGTTCAACAGGTATGTTTTACTTTATTGTGAGGTAATACACATATTTCTGACTCATAACTTACTTGTTTTTGGTCTTATTTCTTAATGCTGTTAACTCGGCCTTGAGGCCTTAAATATCAATTTTGAAGTATGGTTTGACCTGGCCTGGGATCAAACCTTTGACCTCCCTCACTCAAGGTGAACACATCAACACTTAGGTGGCAGCTCAAATTTTAAAATAGAATTGTTGGAATTTTGCTTTCTTAAGCATTTATGTCTAGCCACTGTCTTGTGAACTATTTTAAAGTGAAATCTACAAATATCTACAAAACAGTCCTGGCATGAAGAAGATAATGAGTTTCTTATTAAAAAAATATAAAACCTGAATGTTACAATTCACTTGACTTAATTCTTCGCAAATTGATGAAATTTGGTTGTGACCAGATCTCTGAAAGATACTAGTCTACTAACTAGTAAGATGTGTGAACATTCTAAGCATGTACGTAATGATATTTGTTCAAATGAATAGGTCAGGCCTTAGCCTAGTCCAGCTTAATAGTGGTGGTTTGACTGGTTGAATTATGCTAGCACATGACAATGCATGCACAGTTGGAGTGTAAGATGTTCGTCAACACTAAGGAAAAGTAGGTCAACAACTTTATGTTCTTTAATCTATTGATTGGTAAAAATTGTAATTCAAATCTAGATGCAGTCAAGAGCTTTGATGTAAAATGTCTATAACCAGACAAAAGTGCATGGAAAAATGCAGATATGCCATCTAGCCTATAACCTCCTCCTGTTCCATTTTGCAATTAAATCTACATTCAAGTTTAATTTAAGACTAAAAGCTATTTTCATAATTTTTTATTTCAGAAAAGAATCAAAGCAGCAGAAGCAGAAAGTAAATTAAAGCAGGTCTACATTCCAAACTAGTAAGTATTGAGCTCAGTGTATTTAGGAATAGACCATTCAGGCATTCATCTTCTGAAACCCTTACTTGTGTTCTCTTTTCATCTGGAACAATCAGATATCCAAAACAGTTATGTTTTAATGCAACTCCATTTCTGAATTGGTCTGTTTTCTCTTTCTCTATATTTATAATTATAAGCACTATTAAATAGCACTGTTAGATTAAAGAAACCAAGTGATAAAAAAAAAAATTGTTTAGTTGTATTTTAAAAGATAGTATACAAAACTGTTTTATATGAATTTCAGTAGTAAGTAGTCATAAGTTACTGATAAAACAAGTAGACTTCCAGAAGATATGTTTTTTAACAAGACAGTTTACTTTGAAGTTGTGATCTCATTAACTTCAAAGTGTGTTCACATGTAATCTGAAATTTTTAACAGCTGTCAAATTAGGATTTTGAAACTGATTTCACATTTTACTGAACATCAAAATATAGTGTGAGTGGGGCATGGTGTCCTATAGACATAGAATCTTGTTTTTGTTTTGGATTAACTGAATATTTGATTTGTACATTATGTATTTTTTCAGTAACAAACCTAACCCAGCAGCTATTGATGGTAAAACTAATGGTTTGGATGGCCAAGTGTCAGGCAGAGCATGTGAAAGTTGTTATGGTAAGTCATCATTTCAAGATATGAAATACATTTATATGATGAGTGTGGTTCCAACTAGAATTTCTACACAAAAATATAAATATTGACCAATTCATACTGTTGATCAAATAAAACCAAATTTGTATTTTCTATATAGTTAATTTATAGTAAATCCTCCATTTTGCTCAGAAAATTGAAAATGTAGATGTTGTGTTTTTTTATATTATACCACTGAAACAAAAGGGTCTGAAAAATGTCAGTTGTGAAGTGGACAGTAAGACTGCAACTCACTAAAAGACAATAAGACCAGAATGATGATACATCCTTTAATCATCTCAATTACATCAAATTGATAAATGTTTTATAAAGGAGTGAGAAAATGCTGGATTAAACAGTTATTGATATAGCATCAAAACACATTTAATAAAACTTTGGTGAAAAAAAAATTTCTATGAACAGTTACTTGATGATAGCAGTATCAGAAAGTCTTTTAGAATTGTTCCTCTTGAGAAAATAAAAAAAATTGTGTTATTTTATTTCAGCTGCCCATTCAAGTCAGTGGTACTCATGGGGTCCAACACACATGCAATGCAGATTGTGTTCTTCATGTTGGATTTACTGGAAAAAATATGGTGGTCTCAAAATGCCTACTAGATTAGGTAAGTTGGGAAAGATAAACATTAAGTATTGTATAATTACTAACATCATTTAGGACTCATGGTAAATTTGATAAAATGTAAGTACTAAATAAATGAAGAGTGGGGGGGGGAAACATTAAAAAAGTTACATGCATAAGGGAAATGTTACAGGATACAGATTAATAAAATTTGATTATTTATTTCGGTCATCTTCTTAAAAGTCGTTTTATTACTGCTGACATTTTCAGTTGTCAGTAATTTACTAATTGCTTTTTGGGTAAAGATTGCATGAATTGCAATCAAAACTCTATGGTACTGACTTGATATCTAAATCTTCCAAGGTTTATCACTACTTTTTAAATACACAAAATATAGTGCATTGATCATAACTTTCTAAACATCCTATCCATGAACATTTCCAGAAATTTATCAATGAAATATATGCTCAGATATTCAAGTTTCAAAATGGTGTTACACTTGTCAAGAAAATTTCATAACTTTTGCAAAGTGCTGTAATCTAATATCTGTTCCAAAAATATCAATGATTTCATTGTTAGTAATCTTTAAAATTGGAGTTATCTTCCTTTGTCCATAATTGTAGTTGAATCAACTACAACCAATGCTTTATACGATGAAATGTTTGACTTCCTACTGATAAATTAAAGCAATCTTTACCCTCCAGTGCTTACAAGCACTTTGACTTTCTACACAATTGTTTTGTTTTAGACGGAGAGAGGCCAGCACCAACCCAAAGACAAGGTATTGTTGCTCAAAGACAAGGTATTAATGTGTGAAGTGTTTCACTTCATTTTTAATTATAAATAGCATTTACTTTGATATTCATTGAAAAAAATTAATTAATCTAGTTTATGAAACTTTTGAATGATACAAGAAAATTATCTATATTCTTGCTGTGTCTTTTTATTTGATACTTGATTAATCTGAAACTTTGATGGGGTTCATATTTATACAATTGGTAAATTACACATTAAAAAAGTGTTTTGTTGCACATTTCAAACAAAATTAAATCTATAAGGACAACTACAATTTCAAACATCATCTTGGAATAAATGATTGATAGTTGTTATATTCAGGACATTAACATGTTAATGAGATGTATATACAATGCTGGCCGAATTTGCGTTCATCCAATAAGTCTGTACATTCAACGCTAGGTTAACAAGATGCACAGACTTATGAGAAGAACGGAATCACCAGACTTGATGGTATACACTGCTTTGTACTAGACAGACATGCCGTGTGTGATTTTTAAATTCTTTATGACAAGGTAATAGTCTGCAGGATTGCATATTACCCTACCCTGACTCTGAGCCAACCTGTCCGTTCCCTTATTGCCAAACTGCTGCATGCTTTGCATTTGTCCATTATGTTATGGATCACCAGAAATGGTCTGTTGTGAATATCCAATTCTGTGAAAGTAACAAGACCAAAGGCATGTTTTAAAGATAAAAATATAAACTGGAGAAGTAGTTTTAAATAAGAAATAAGTTACAACTTTGTTTTCAGAACGAATAGCACAGTTTAATTCAATGAGAATGCAGAAGTGTACAATAGCGGGATGTGGGAAGGTGAGTAACTTTGTGAATTGTATTTGTATTATTATATTTCCAGCATTCTTCTTGTAAAATTATGACGCTTATTCATTTGATGTTAAAATTGTACTTTGTATAAAATTAAATCAGATGATATGAACGATTGCGGATTCATTTATTTTTTTCGTGTGTACCAATTTTTGTTGATCGAGAAAAAAAAGTTTTTTTGTGGATATTTGATTTTGTGTTTTTACCAAAGTCTGCATACAAAGCATATAGAAAATGTTCACTTTGTCAGAATCCATGAAAAATTGGTATCCACAAATAAAAATGAATCCACAGTATACATAAAGGTAGACTTTAGTAAATTCTAAGTTGGGAATCTTTTTATTAATTACAAAAACAAACAAATTCAATTAAAGAAGAAAATAGATTGAACAGTTTAAAAAACCTTATTTTGATTTTTCCATGTGGATGTATACAATAACAATGACGGGCAATGATAAAATGAAACTATGCACAGAATATGTTAGTCCACCTTTTAGCAAATTCTGCCATTGTTAATCTGGATTTGTCCATTTCAATTTCTTTATTATACACGGTAATTGCCTTCTGGTACAGTCATTTTAATTTTTTATGCGAAAAATTATCTTGGATCTAGGGTGGATGTGTTAAACTACTGCTCAGAACAGAAATGAATTATATGAATATTAAAATTCTCTCTGTGGAAGGGGATATATTTTCAGCTTTCCATTGCTTGATAGGTACAGCCCTTTGAATTATATTTTCATTAAATCAGAAGTGCTGCTCAGAAATAGCATATTATTAACTGATCTAGAATATTGATATTTGACGATGCTATTTTTTTTTTTCCCTAGGAATTCCGGTTAAAGGCACACCTTGCCAGACATCTTGCTACAGCTCACGGTTTGATGGTCAGATCTGGTAGTCCTCGACCAGTGATGAAAACTCGAGCTGCATTCTGTCTTGTAACGACTTCATTAACTAGAATCTCCAGACGGTTGTGTAATGATATACTTAATCCACGTAGGGCAGCAAGATCTCCGTTCATTCCTATCAATATAGCAGCCATCAAACAAGAATGTAAGTATAAAGTCAATGGAATCTGCTACATTTCTATTCTTCCATTTTACCTATTTAATATTCCCGCTGCAAAGGAAGGGGTAGGCTGGTTTTAGAACTTCTTGAAATTAAGTATCAAAATTCTTGTAAGCATGCTATACTGTTTGCTGCATTTTCACATCCATAACTCATCAACTGTTTGCCACATATTTAAAAGGGGGTGGTGTCATTTGTGAGCAAAAACTTGTTATATCAAAATTATAATAATTAAGAAATAAGAATTTTTTTTACTGCTTTCTTTGTGTTTTCAGAGTAAGTAAAAATGTACCATAAAGTATTAAAAATGATGTTTATTGTATTCAGTTTAAAGAGTGGATCTTTTTGTTTTTAGGTCAGCTCAGATTAGCTGAAGAGGGCAAATATGTACCACAGATTCGGCCTAGGGGCAAGGCTACTCTAGATCCAGTTGTAGCTAAATTAGGAATAGATACCAGCATGGAAAAACCAGCTCTGTTACTTAAAGGAGAAAATGATCACAAGAAACCTGAGCGGCTGGCTTTCCCTAGAATTGCTTCACAACCCCGTAAGTAACAGTAGTAATCACAGGATCACAACATTGTAATTGTAAGGGTACATTAGATGATAAGCTATGAATAATTCAAAGTCTGTTAAATGTCCTGTCCCTGGAACACTTATAAGCCTGCTTTCAGTTTTATACACATTATCACAATTATCAAAAGCTGTACTGATGGTTCACAGTTGAACTGAAGTTGGTATTATTTTATTCCTGATAATTGTCAATAGTAAAGTAAGGTGATATTGTTGGGGTTTCCTCTAGCAGATCATAACTTTGTCATCAATGCAAATGGGGGTGAATTTTTGAGATTTTCTCATGGTTTTTTTTAAAAGTTGAATTACCTAAAACTATAGTAAGTTATCTAGTTTGAAATATGTCGACATTTCAAATGAAAAAGAAAGTAAGTGCTTTTTGTTCATATGCCTGTCATTAAAGATTATTATATTTTGTTTGAACAGAACAATGGTTTAATGAAAGGTACCAAGAAGCGAAGTTGAATAGTGCATCTATGTCACCATCTATAATGAAGAAACGGGGATATGAACAGACAAATGGCATAGACGGTCAGTATCACTTCAATTATGAATTCATATTATATAAAGAGTAAACTCATAATAGTGTAATTGCCTTGAGTGAGAGAGGTCATGAGGCTGAATCTTTGTAAGTCATTTTAATTGGTATCTGCTACTTCTCCTCCAAGCATTTGCCATTTATGAGAAACACAAAGACAGGTTGGCTTCAGAATAAAGTTTGCAGGTGTCATCCTATAGACTTACCTTGTGAGCATGTTAAAAATCTGACTTGGCCTGTTTATTACAAAGCAGTGTTTAATTATTGTCCTGTCTTGTTTAGTACAAAGCCGTGTTTATTGGCCTGTCTTGTTAAGTACAAAGCAGTGTTTATTGGCCTGTCTTGTTAAGTACAAAGCACTGTTTATTGGCCTGTCATGTTTAGTACAAAGCACGTTTATTGGCCTGTCATGTTTAGTACAAAGCACGTTTAGTGGCTTGTCTGTCTAGTACAACAAATGTATATTGACCTATCTTGTCTAGTACAAAGCTGTGGTTATTTGTCTGTCTGTCTAGTACAAAGCTGTGGTTATTTGTCTGTCTGTCTAATTCTGTGTATTGACAAATCTATCTAGTACAAAGCACTGTGTATTGGCCTGTCTGTCTAGTACAAAGCACTGTGTATTGGCCTGTCTGTCTAGTACAAAGCACTGTGTATTGGCCTGTCTGTCTAGTAGAAAGCAGTCTTTATATTCATATCATATTAACATGTTCTGATCCTGAATATTTTTGAAAGATTACAGCTGAGTGTTAAACATCCATCAATCCATCGATAATCACAGTGCAACGTATGTATTAATAAATAGTATTCCAAATAGTTATTCCACAACAAAATTTTGCCAAATCACATCACAAAAATCAATTTAAACAATAGCAAGTACATGAAAAAACATCTTACGGGGAACCTCTGACTTTTGAACAACAAAATTTTACCATAACGAAAACTAAGTCTACCTGGACAGCTGTAATGATCCTTTCTTGTTTTTTTTATAGGTCCACCATCAAAGCGACCTAGCATGGGTGTTATCAGACAGATTGGATCTGTAATGAGGCACGGCATGGTAAGTCTATATATCATTATAGCAAAACAGGCAAATGTGATGTCTCTCAAGATTTTTTTCAAGATTCACTTGTGGCTAAAGATGTTCCAAGCATAATTAACACAATTATAAATTTTAATATGATGTGCCTAATACTCTATTTATGAAAGAGACCAATTTGTTGCATACAGTAAAACACTGGACCAAATTATGTAGGATAGCAAATGCGATGGTGTAATTTTTCTATATTCTTCATTAAGCATTCATATAACTTGATAAAGGGTAAATTATTTAATTTTCTTATTAAAAAAAAAGTTACATTTAAAGTGAGACAATAGATGTCTGATTTTATCTGTAGACATAATTTGATTTCAATCAATTTTCCTATCTTTTTAAGACCAAATTTATATTTAGTAATAAACGACCAACCTCAGTACAAAATTTTAATGTCAGTGGTTTTAATTTTCAGAGGGGTAATGTAATGAATCATCATATGAATGGGCGCGGTAGAATGCAGATGATAAACTGGATAGATGCTCCAGATGATGTTTACTTTGTTGCTACTGAAGCTACCAGGTAATCTTAGGGTGTTATTATTTGAAATATTGCTGCGTCATATTTCAATTTAATTTTTTTTGATATATTTGATAAACTTTGGGGACATAAATGCTTGAAAATAGAAGATCTGATGTCTGTTTTCAAAATCTTTACTTTCACATTGTTTTAATCACATAGGCACTGATGCAACATCTGTGTTGGAATTTTATTAAACTATGCTCCACTGTCTTGGGCATAGGTATAATAGAATTCCACCTGCATAGGTCTCATACAATATAATAGAACATTATGCACAACAAAAAATTGGTTTGATCATTCAGAGGAATTTGAATTTATCAAACTTAAATTTCAAGACAATTATATTAGATACTTGTGATAAAATAAACATATATATACAACCAATAAAAAAATGCTTCAGATACTGGCGCAGAAAATAAATTCTGTTTAGTATATTAGCGTGCTTTCTTTAATATGCAAGCAATTTCAAAAATGAGGTTATACTGATATGTAGTTTTACACAACATCTTTTATAGATGAATATGACTAAAAAACTAGGACAAAGATGCTATCCAGTATTTTTTGGAAATCACTGAATCCCCCATGGATTAAAATTAATGTATATTTATAAACCAAATTGATATTTCATATGTGTATAAGACCAAAAAAAATTACATTCTATAATTTTATTCTAGGAAAATTAGAAGACAGGTAAATCCACATGATTTCAAAAGAACCGCTAGAAACCCATGGCGATTGCTACCAATAAAACCATCGCTTCATTCAGATGTTGTGGTATTAGACTGAGAGATATGTGTGTGTGTTCTGGGTGTTTCTAATCAACGCAATAACTTGTCAGCCATCACAGTGGTACAATTCTCTGGGAGAGGAAGGCCAAACTTGACTGATCAAAATTCTGAAACACAAATAGACAGAAAAGAAACCAACGGAATAGAAAACCAAACCATAAAACCATGTGTAAAAGATATCATTATTTTTGTACTTCATTCTCTAACTCAGGAAGTGGACTTCATACCAAGTTCTGAGCTTTCCTGACAAGCTATCATCTTTTGTTATTTTGTATGATATGAAAAAAGAAATATACAAATGGATAATGGTATTCAATATTTTTTTGTTTCTAAAACATGCATATTCTTCACTTCTTTTTTCATAATATGTCATTTAGTTTTCAAATTTCAAGTTTCGTGCAGCTATTAGTCTTTGTTTATGTAGCCATTATCATAGTGTGAATGTTTAGCATTTAGCTCTTTATTTTTATTTTGTTTGTTAATTTTGTTTATTGTAGCCTCATTTGAATATTACCATGGTTATATGAAACTGTAGCAACATGAACACACTTGACAAAATTACATTTTACGTACTCATGAGAATCAAAGAATTGTTGTTGGTCATGATCAGGGATGTTGTCAGCCTTTGGCTGTTGGTTATTGTACAACTAATAATTATTAGTGATTGGTTGTTGGACATATTGAACCATTTTCTAGTATGTGTGTAGAACATTTCAATTATTCATTAAACTATTGTCATTTCAATCATTACAGATATCTGTTCACAGTTTTGAAATCTATCAGTGATATTCACTATAACTCAAGAACATTTCTTAATCATGATTACTAGTCCAGGGTTGCTGTAATCATGATTATAAACATGATTATTATTATCCATTTGTATATTAATGTGGTCTGTGACCTGGATTATATGTACAGATTTTTATAGCATTGACTGACTATATATCTAACTTATTGACTCAATCAAGTTGAATAAAAATTAAAAATCATTCAGTGTCAACTTATCAAGGATATCTTAATTATAAGACGACCAGAAACTGGTTGAGCTATTGCCATCTTTTTGTGTTGGTCTATTATGCATGTGTCTTTCACAAAGTTACCACATTTGCAACTGAAAAAATTTACTGGCTAACATGAAGAAACTTGTCAGAAATCATGTCTGAAATTGCATGAAAAGGTCTTAATTTCTGCCAGAGCTAATACTTCATTCAGATGAGAAATTTTTTTTTGTTGTCTTGCCTATGACAAATGTCTTGGAATGTTAGACAAAGGACTGCTAATTAAGGAGCAGGAATGGCGTAAGAATTTTACAAAAAAGCTTTCTATTTCACACAGTAGTAGGGCTGGATAATCCATATCCTGTATACAGAAGCCTAATTGTCTGAAGTATCTGTGGCATATGTTCATTGTTTTTTGCCTAATTTTAATGGTTCAATGACTGACCAAATGTTTTATTATCACATGATATTTTCAGAGTAATAAATCAACCACATTTGGTGTATTGAATGATATTATGGTATAATAGTCCCTGACATTTTCATGGCTCATAGAGCAGTAATTAGTTTTCATGATTAAGTTATTTTGTGCGAAAGATGTTCATTTGACATATTTTCATGTATTATTGATAATTCTGTCCTTCTGTCCGGCCATTTTTGTTTCCATAGTCTTAACAAGTTTTCCTCATCCAAATTTTATGAAACTCGCACACAATGCTAAAGAAACAAAACACTAAAAAAAAAATCCCAACTTATATTTTTACCCTTGCCAAACAATTTAAGAAGAATCAGACACACTGGGTTGTTAGGTCATAACTAAAATTTATACCCCCCCCCCATAAAAAAATAGTTGCACGAATTGTTGTGGTAAGCATATCCCCACATGTCGTCTTCAAAATATCACTTTTAGGTGTTTTACTGTTGATTGGTTGCAGCTTCATTGAAGTTTACACCACACCTATTTTCATTCATATATGATTTCAGACTTGCAGACAAAATATCATTTGATTTTTTACCACAACCTAAGCCAGTCTTGTATGTATTAAATAAAGGCATTCCAATTTGTGTATGAATATTCATGACTAATGCATCAACTACCAAGAGACTTTTTAGTTGTTTAAAGTATAGCCCTATCAAGTTGCTATTCTAGGAATTTGGGGCTGTATAGTCACCCCATTGTGTGTTGCACTTTCTCCACAACTACTTCTTGTTTGAGGATACTTTGAAATTTTCAAAATGTTTAATTTCTTCGGATCTCTCTAGATCTACTGAGAAAAATTAACCAATGGATTTGCAAAAAATGATGACATGGACAGAGATAAAATCTTCAAAATCATATGTCAAGCTCTAAATCACCCACTTTAACAAACTTTCTGAATACATTCATTAGAAATCATCAAAGATCATCTATCAACACCAAATTCCTTAACATACAAATAAGAAAAAGCAGCTACAAATGAGAAGACATGGGACTTGTACGTAAACAGAAGGCAGGGGTTAAACCCTTTTGGTTTGTCTTCATTACGCCCATAATATATCTTTATATGAAAAGAAAAGGGTCACATCTGCTTTACTTTAAAGTAGCTTTCATACAGCAATGTTGTTAAATGTGAAATGAAAATAGTATCTTGCATCTTCAAATCACTGGTTTATTTTTTTTGTACAGCCAAATTAATCAATGAATGATTATTTTTTCCAAGGAGAAATTTTAATTTTCCATCAAAAGAACTCCACAGAGAACAATTGCTATTGTATTTATTCAAGGGGACAGTTTAATTTGCAAAAATGTAAATGGCCAGGCAAACATCAACTGAATACGGGGAAGGGTTTTATTTCCTACCCAATAAAATATTTTTACCAAATTGCAGTTTGAATTCATCTCTACTGGTAAAATGTTTGAGTTCATTGCTAGTGAGGGTTGTTAATAAGAAGCAAGTGCCGTGTTCTGCACATTTCAACTAATAGTGACACTTCAAATATTTTGGAATCCAGAACCTTAAACAAGCATTGAATGAACAAAAAAGGTTTAGTTAATCACAGCTAAGGAATCAGAGCTATGCAAGAGGGAGTGAAGACTGGAGAAAATCCAAAAATTTTAAAGGTGCCATCCAAGAACATTTTCATCTGAGCCTGGTCAAAATGGGTAAAGGAGTTTTGTATTTAGCTCATCTGGCCCAAAGGAACAGAGTAAGCTATATTCATCACTTGACATCCTTCATCATCTGTTAACAAAAATCATCTCTGAAACTACCAGACCATTGATTGCAACCAAAATTGACCACAAACATGAGCAGAGTATCTGGTTTAAAAATTATGTCCAATTAACCTTCTAGCCAATCAACATAGCTGCCATGTGTAAATAAAGAACAAAGGGGTAAGACACAAGTATTGTCTAATAAAAGTTGTTAAAATTATAGCAAACAATACTTTTTCCACAAAATTCTTACTATTGTATAGTGACTATTTTAAGTTTGCGGAAAAAATATAAGGAGTGTAATATTGTTTTATTAGTCCCCTACCGACGAAGGGGACTTTAGATTTGCACTCTATCTGTCTGTCTGTCCATCTGTCAGTCTGGCAAATCAGTTTTCCAGACTTTTTTCTTGGTGCTTGAAGATATTGATTTGATATTTAGTTTATTGATTTATCATGACAAGTTACAGGTCAAGTTCAATTTTCACAATTTTAGCTTTTCTCTTTGTTCAGTTAAAGCCCTTTCCCTAGAATTAAATTTTTGATGAAATACTTATTAATTAGTAGATTTCTGTTCAAAGGGAAATAACTCATTTTTTAAAAGACTAAATGACATTTTGGATTTTTTTCCTTTTCTTTGGTAAATTGTTTGAAGAATTTAGTGGTAGGTTTGTTTGTCATTCTTGAAGATATTGATTTGATAATTAGTATATAGTTTTATCATGACTTTAGTTACAGATCAAGTTGGAATTTTGTTCCAGTCTGATAATTTTGTGCAGACTTATGGTCTTTGGACATAGAAAATTCACTTAAATAATCAGTTTTCAACAGTTTTTTTCGTCATGCTTGAAGATTTTGACTTGATATTTTTATGTAGTTTACACCATGACAAGTTATAGATCAAGTTAGAAATTCGTTCCATTACAATGAATTTATAACTAGTAGGGGACTGTATTGCCATGCAATACTCACAGAATGCTTGTTGTTTATTGTTATTACATAACAAACTACCTTAAGAGTACTAATGATTAAGTTCTTGTAATAAGCAAGAGCTTAAACTTCTCCTTGGAGGCAATATCCACAATTTTACTGGATGACTGCATGGAGCTTATACATCAATTGTTGCCTGTGAATCATTTGTTTCTTGTCAGTCATGTCTATTTCCTGTGTAACAATTTTTAATTTGTAATCTATTGAAAATGGCGATATCAATTCATATCAAAAGAAATTCACTCGGCTTTTAAAGTGTGCACATGCACGAAGCAGACAGACAATATACACATTTGGTTGGCACTTAATATTTCTGATTGTAACTGTCCAATGATTTTTTAATACATATTTCCATAATGAAGCCCTACATCTGTCCAAATGAAGTTCTGCTTACTACTGTTTTAGGCTTTCTATGAATTGTATCGTCATATGATTTAAAGGTCATTGTAAACTGAGGTCCTGTATTCCATTTTGTTCCAGCGTCATCTAAAACTAAACCTCTGATTTGTACACTGTAAAGTCCAGCAACAGGAAATGATAACAGAAAACTACAGGAGAAATAGTCTTTATGTGGTCGAACTGTTTCTTCATAACTTCTGTTTGGATCCTTGACCTGAAAAGATCAAAAGTAAGACAGAAGGTTGACACTTTATCACTTTTGACATACAAATTTTGTGTAATTATTATATAGCATGAAAGTTTCATATTATACCATACTAATCCTAAACTGAAGCCAAACATTTAACCAATTACTGAACCATGAAATGTAGGTCTCATCATCCTGATTACACCCGAGGCTTTGCATCTTGGATACTTTCACTGAAGAATTCTAACCATATCCCTAAAGATCTGAAACCTATTATAAATTAGACCTACTACAATTTTGATCTTGAGCATACCTATTGAAGGTTACATAAGAAACGAATGTTTTGAACATGGAAATCATATCATAAGTTAGATTATGTAAACATCTGTTGCTTGTGTTCTATAATACTTTACCTTTGTGTCTGTATTATGTTGTTGGTTAGTTATTTCAGTGTTAACAGCTATACAGATTTGACTAACTTGTCTAAACATCTGTTGCTTGTGTTCTATAATACTTTACCTTTGTGTCTGTATTATGTTGTTGGTAAGTAATTTCTGTGTTTACAGCTATACAGATTTGACTAACTTGTCTAAACATCTGTTGCTTGTGTTCTATAACGCTTTACCTTTGTGTCTGTATTATGTTGTTGGCTAGTAATTTCTGTGTTTACAGCTATACAGATTTGACTAACTTGTCTAAACATCTGTTGCTTGTGTTCAATCACCCCTTCAACTTTCAGAGTAAATAAAGTGTTATGATGTACAAGTAATGGCTCCATTCTCATGTTCTGCTGGGGTGTAACGGCTAACTGTAAGAACACAGAAATACAAATGAAAACTTATATTTCACACACATAAAATTCAAGATCTTATCTATGAAGATCTATGACATTTTTGAAAATGTAAGCAAATTAAAAGAAAAAAAATTTCAACTGGCCACATCTCATGATTGAAACTTTGTATAAGTGATATATTCTTTATTCCTTGGTTAATTTTTTATCAAAATAGTATATTTGCAAACAGGTTAACATATTTGAATTAGTAAAAAAAAAACTCATGATGGATGCAAAGTGGTGAAAATAATCACACTTACCCTTAAGACCAATTAAGCTGAATAACAAGCCTAAACAGACAAACCATGTATTATTGTAAAAAAATTCTAACATGAGGCTCTAAAGAGCCTATGTTGCTCACCTTGGTCTATGCATATTCAACAAAGGACACTCTCCAGCATTGTAAACCAGAATAGAATTCATGACAAAAACCAGTTTTTTTTATTGACAGTCTACTAACTAAATCAGCAAAATTTGACTTGTTGGTAGATCTTGCCTTGCTGATAATTTTTTTTTATTTAAAGTGTCTATTTATCTATTATAATTTTTACCATATAAGACAAAACGCCAAAAAAAAAAGGTATAAATCATCATAAAAGGGCAATAACTCCAATAAGGAGTCGAACGATTTCCTCCATATTGTCTTAATAGTAGATCTTGTCTTGCTGATCATTTTTGCTTATTTAAGTTTCTATCTATCTATTATAATTTTTAATATATAAGGCAAAAACGCAAACAATTGGTAAAAATTGTCATCAAAGGGCAATAACTCCAATAAGAAGTGGACTGACGATTGCGACCATGTGGACTTATTTGTAGAACTTGTCTTGCTGATCAATTTTGCAGTTTAAAGTTTCTATCTATTTATTATATTTTTCAAGATAATAGGCAAAAATGAAAAAAGATGGTAAAATTTGTCATTTAAGGGCAGTCTGACAGTTTGGACATATATGAACAATTGGTAGAGCTCAACATTCTGAACATTTTTGCTCCTGTCAGATTTTTGCTATTTAAAACGGTGTTTTCAAAAATATAGACAAAACTTGCATTTTACACCTATGTTCTATTTTTAGCCATGTCAGCCATCTTGGTTGGCAAGGGGGGTCATCGGACACCTTTTTTAAACTAGATACCCCAATGATGATTGTGGCCCAGTTTAGTAAAATTTCGCCCAGTAGTTTCAGAGGAGTAAATTTTTGTAAAACTTAACAGACGACAACGGACGCCAAATGATGAGAAAAGCTCACTTGGCCCTTTGGGCCAGGTTAGCTAAAAGCAAATACATTTGAATGAAAAATTCAACTTACATTAAGTTTTGTTGTTTGTATACTCTGGAAGAAATATCGTGGGTATCTAAATGGTACTTGTAACAAACTCTGTACGCTTTTACATAGGAAATCCATGTGCTGTAAAAGAGGGGCTCATATTTTTACAAATATAAACATACAAAACAACACATTGACTGTCAAACATTTTGATAGAATAAATAATGCAGTAATTGATTTTTAAATAATGAAATATAATACTGTAATATTCTGTCAAGCAACTATTAAGAAACAAAGTTCAAATTCCCTCTGACAGGCAAAGTTGACCTTGGATGAATTTGTTTTTCTGTTTAGGTCATTTTTAGTCCTATAGCTCCAAAAGTTGAAGCATATTTACGCATCCTGGCTTTCAAATGTTTAGTTCAGACACATAAAATTTATAAAGTGTTTATTTCATTAGAGTCCAAATAGAACAAAAGGAATTAAAATTTACAAGAATATATGTCGGATATATAGGGTCCCTATGCAATGAGACATAATTATGTTCAAAAGAAGACATTAAAGCCATGTACTGCAAATTTTGATGACAGAAATTGAAACGAAGGCTCATCTTAAACAGATATAAATAGTTTTGCTTTTTAATAGTTTTTCTGCTTATCAACCAACAATGTTGTCCTACCTCATGAGTTAAAGCTTGGCTATTAGTTTTGAGTATATGGTTCAGATCTTTCTGTATGGTAACTAGTGTTACTGACAGGACATCACTATTCTCACTGGACACAGGGAACAACCTGAAATTACAAATGTTATCATATGTGATACAGTTAAGGTTCTGGGAATTTCACACTGAAGGCAGGTATTTTGTTAAACGGCACATTAAAACCCTTGGTTAGCGTTTAGTCAAGTGCCAAGAATACTTATGGTAATATCTAGTATGTTTTCCTTGTAGCTTGGTGGTTGTAATTTTGTATCTGTCATACCTCCATTACTGAGTTAAGTGAATGTTCTAAATTGATTTTTATTGCGTGTTTATCTCGATACCTTTCGTCATATTCCTCATAAATACAAAGAGGGAGAGATGTCAAAACTCAAAAATTTCTTTTAACTCTTCCACAAGTTAATATGAATGTCCAACTTCATCAGTGTATATTCCTGTTTTGTATCAATCATATCGATGAATGATCACAGATTTTGGAAATCCTCATCTAGAGCTTGAAATATTGTATAGACACATATCTCTCATTTTAGACAATATGTCTAGACGTCGTTTGGATTTAATACTTTGATTACTTGCAGTCTACTTGACATGTACCCCAGATCTCCCTTTATTCTGATTTTCAATGATGTATTTGTATTACATGAATTTAACCCTGAACTAAACTCTTCCACTTACCTGGAGTTATCTGTTGTTATAACTGCTGATACTCCAGCCTTCATTACTTCACAACAATACTGTAATCTTTATAATTGGTTAAGAAAAAGTAATTATCACAGTCTCCTATATAAAGTTGATACCAATATGCAGATCTAAAACATTTAAATTCAAAGTCATTTTTTTTTACCAAAAGTTATCTATAGAACTTTCTTAAATTTTACAAATCTCCCAAAATTGCCAAATGGTTGTTTATTTCAGTTTTAACAAAAGTGTTTTTTTCATCAAATATTTGAAAACTATGTTTACATCATTGTACATAGTCAGGTGCAATTTGGTATTTTGTTTCAGCTCATACATTTATTTTTCATCAATTTTAGCTAATTTAACACTTTTGTTACATTTACAAATGTTGCTAAAATTAACAAATAGAAGAAAAGTGATGAGAAGTAATGCCTAAAAAATGATGATACTAAATAATCTTCCAAACGAGGAAATAATTTGGGGCAGATCTCAAACTTTCAACTTAATATAGCAACAAACTAGGTATCATAGATGCCTCTTTCCATTGCATTTAATTAAATCTTGATATATGTAATGCCTGCTGTGATTGGCTACTGTGATAAAACTCTCTATGACATATATCAAGTTCTTCATGATTGGTTACTCTAAAGGATACTGTGTCACTGTATATAAAGTCTGTGGGTCAGCATCAAAACAAGTTAAATACAAATCTCCAAATTTCTGTTTTAGATTTTCAAAATCTTTCATACACTTTGTTAACTGAAATATAAAATGCATACAGAATATTATTTTTTTCTAATCAGACTTCAATTCAATATATGTTCAAATTTTATCACACACATTTAAATATTTTACCATGTATTGGTAGAATTTATTGACAATTGAAATTTCTGAAGACAAAATATTACAATTTTACATTCAAGTGACTCTTTTCACAAACTAGAGGCTCTCAAGAGCCTGTGTCGCTCACCTGACTCTACTTTGGTTTTAGAAATCATGTAAAGATAGATAAAAATCATAACAGATACCCAAATAATGTTTGAGGCCAAATTTGGTTTAATATTGGTCCTGTTATTCAATAAAATATCCTGGTGGCCATCTTGAACAGTAAATTGGCAACAAAGAAGCAACACTTGGTCAGCACCTCATAAGGAACATTCATGCCATGTTTGGTTTCATTCCATTCAGTGGTACTCTAAAAGAAGACATTTGTTTGTATTTCCCGTAGGGTCCTATGTTAAACTAAGTCCCTCCAGGTGGCCATCTTGGATGATGGATCGGCTGCAATGTAACAACACTTGGTCAGCATCTCATAAGGAACATTCATGCCACCTTTGGTTTCATTCCATTCACTGGTTCTCTAAAAGAAGACATTTGTATGTATTTCCCATAGGGTCCTATGTTAAACTAAGTCCCTCGCTGGCGGCCATCTTGGATGATTGAACGACTGCAAAGTAACAACACTTGGTCAGCACCTCATAAGGAACATTCATGCCATGTTTTGTTTCATTCCATTCAGTGGTTCTGTAAAAGGTATAGAACCACTAATTCAGGCCCGGTCGGAAAGAACATACAAGAAAGTAGTACATATTTTAAACAAAATAGTTCCTACGCATAGCTGCATCTTTGTCAATAGTGGAAATATTTGGGTAGTTTTACTAATGAATGAAAGGTTGGGGACTTGGGGTCACTGTAGAACCCTTGTTGAAAGTTTTATTTGAATAATAAAGAAGTATAGGAAATTTTAATAGGAGGGCTCATTTGGCCTGTTGTTCAGATCAGAAGTTCCTGTTTTTGTACTATCAAACTTCCGGGAACCAGTACGCTCTAATATGCAATTAAAGGTATGTTGATTTTTTCAGCACAAGTCAGCATAAGGTACAGTTTAGACATGAAATAACTGCCACTTTATTTGAAATTAAGATAAAGTAGCCATTTATGCTTGAAATTGCAGAATTTAACATAGAAAGCAATGGGGCTATGAATTAGTGGTTTTATACCTATTACTGACAGGCATGTGAAATTCTATTTTTAGAAATCATACCCTTTACAGTGAAAATTGGTCACATTTGTTGTCAGAAATCATGTTACATTATTTTTTTTATGTAACAATTATTTTAGTGTCAAATTACAGCCCTCAAATTACTACAAGAAGGTATTTTAGCCTTTTTTGGTCATTTAGCATGCACACAGTTAAGATTTTACCTGAAATTTAAATTTTTGGATTATCTAACACTGAAACCAATGAAACTTGTATATTATGACTAGTTTATAGTATAAATATTGTTTTTGGTCATATTATATAGTGAGTGTTCATTTTTTATTGTGTTTCTTGGTGAATTATTTATTTCAAGGATTATTGGTGTATACTTATATAGGAATTCCAAAATCTCACTTGAAATGCATTTTAAGACCATTTTAGCAAATTGTCTAGCTTGGAGATACATAAATTGCTCTTGTTGATCCATGTTTATACATAAAAGTATGTTTTTTTTTACCAAATCACTCTCCTTTTCCAACATGTAGAAAAAAGGGGGGACAAAATTATCAATTATATTTTATGTTTGGACCACTGTATTTATATTCAAGGAAGAATCTCTGATAAAAATAAGACATATAAGTAAGAACACTGTTATTTGAGTAGATATTAACAAATCAGAACTGGTAAAAATTGAAAAAGTGTCATATCTGTCACTATTAGTATCCATATGTAGTTTTCTTTGTTTAACGCATATGTTAATACCAGTTCAATTTGAGCTTGAATCCAGTGATATAGTGTTTTGACAAAAGCTTTATGTGTTTTTCTATGCTAAAAATAGATCATAGAAGGAAATAAAGTCAAGCAGAAGTCAATATAACAAAGTTGGTGCTGTTATAGGTATAGAACTACTAATTCAGGCCCGGTCGGAAAGAACATACAAGAAAGTAGTACATATTTTAAACAAAATAGTTCCTACGCATAGCTGCATCTTTGTCAATAGTGGAAATATTTGGGTAGTTTTAGTATCGAATGAAAGGTTGGGGACTTGGGGTCACTGTAGAACCCTTGTTGAAAGTTTTATTTGAATAATAAAGAAGTATAGGAAATTTTAATAGGAGGGCTCATTTGGCCTGTTGTTCAGATCAGAAGTTCCTGTTTTTGTACTATCAAACTTCCGGGAACCAGTACGCTCTAATATGCAATTAAAGGTATGTTGATTTTTTCAGCACAAGTCAGCATAAGGTACAGTTTAGACATGAAATAACTGCCACTTTATTTGAAATTAAGATAAAGTAGCCATTTATGCTTGAAATTGCAGAATTTAACATAGAAAGCAATGGGGCTATGAATTAGTGGTTTTATACCAAAAGAAGACATTTGTATGTATTTCCCATAGGGTCCTATGTTAAACTAAGTCCCCCGCTGGCGGCCATCTTGGATGATGGACCGACTGCAAAGTAACAACACTTGGTCAGCACCTCATAAAGAACATTCATGCCATGTTTTGTTTCATTCCATTCAGTGGTTCTCTAAAAGAAGACATTTGTATGTATTTCCCATAGGGTCCTAAGTTAAACTAAGTCCTCCGCTGGCGGCCATCTTGGATGATGGATCGGCTGCAATGTAACAACACTTGGTCAGCATCTCATAAGGAGGAACATTCATGCCATGTTTGGTTTCATTCCATTCACTGGTTCTCTAAAAGAAGACATTTGTATGTATTTCCCATAGGGTCCTATGTTAAACTAAGTCCCCCGCTGGCGGCCATCTTGGATGATTGAACGACTGCAAAGTAACAACACTTGGTCAACACCTCATAAGGAACATTCATGCCATGTTTGGTTCCATTCCATTCTGTGGTTCTCTAAAAGAAGACATTTGTATGTAATTCCCTTAGGGTCCTATGTTAAACTAAGTCCCCACCCGGTGAACATCTTGGATGATTGACCGACTGCAAAGTAACAACACTTGGTCAGCACCTCATAAGGAACATTCATGCCATGTTTGGTTCCATTCCATTCACATGTTCGGTAAAAGAAGACATTTGTATGTATTTCCCTTAGGGTCCTATGTTAAACTAAGTCCCCCGCTGGCGGCCATCTTGGATGATGGACCGACTGCAAAGTAACAACACATGGTCAGCACCTCATAAGGAACATTCATGCCATGTTTTGTTTCATTCCATTCAGTGGTTCTCTAAAAGAAGACATTTGTATGTATTTCCCATAGGGTCCTATGTTAAACTAAGTCCCCCCCTGGCGGCCATCTTGGACGATGGATCGGCTACAAAGTAACAACACTTGGTCAGCACCTCATAAGGAACATTCATGCCATGTTTGGTTTCATTCCATTCACTGGTTCTCTAAAAGAAGACATTTGCATGTATTTCCCATAGGGTCCTATGTTAAACTAAGTTACCCGCTGGCGGCCATCTTGGATAATGGGTTGACTGCAAAGTAACAACACTTGGTCAGCACCTCATAAGGAACATTCATGCCATGTTTGGTTTCATTCCATTCATATGGTTCTCTAAAAGAAGACATTTGTATGTATTTCCCATAGGGTCCTATGTTAAACTAAGTCCCCCGCTGGTGGCCATCTTGGATGATGGACCGACTGCAAAGTAACAACACTTGGTCAGCACCTCATAAGGAACATTCATGCCATGTTTTGTTTCATTCCATTCAGTGGTTCACTAGAAGAAGTTCAAAATGTAACGACGACGGACAACAGACGCCAAGTGATGAGAAAAGCTCACTTGGCCCTTTGGGCCAGGTGAGCTAAAAAAGCTTCTATTTAAATTTGGTCATCAGTTATACTCAAATGTCACTTGTTATTTGTGAAAAGAGAAGAAGCACTATATAACTGAACTAATTTTTTAACTGTTGATCTTAAGAACGGTCCTTCTTGAACTTTATGTCAAATATTTTCTCTTGGTGAGAAAATTTGACTGACAATTTCTGTACTGTACAAATATAAAATGAGTTGAATTTCTAGTTCAAATGTCACAACTGCATAAACACACTAAACCTAAAATATTAATAATTATCATTATGTTAACGTCTGAAAAATACATACCGGTATGCACCAACTACTTTGACCTACCTGTGACAATATCTGACCACAGCGTGATATTTCTTGACCATTAGTTAGTGCTAATGCTGTAGCTATGGCAGGTGGAGGACATGTCCTGAATGTATTACAGGTCTGTATCAGTTGAGTCAGAGCCTGGAGGAGTTCTATTCTAAGATGGACTAGATCTGTTTGAAACTGCATCGGGAACACTTGTGTGGAAGCAGCCTGTAAAAATAATTGCATATACTTGAGGAATTTTACTTAAAGGTACTACTTATGGACACAAAACAAGGTACATATTCACTTAGTGTGATTCATGATGTTTATTTTTCGTGTCATATAAAATTCTGGGCTAAATATTTTCTGTTTACTAACTTGAATATCTAATATAATCAACCAAAATATCAAAGCCTACATTGCAGTGTATGATAGTCTGAGATGATAGTAATTACAATCAAACTTGTAATGATATGAGGCAATGTTTTATATGGGAATTTACAGGTCCAAATAAGTCCCATAATGTACCTTGTCCTTTCCCAAAAATAAATTTCTATTGTATGCTTATTTTCTTTTTAGGTTGCATCAGAACATCTCCATACATAGTTTTCCAAAAGAAAATGTTATAAAATTATTATAAATGTTTGTGAAAAACAGATTGTTTAATATCTTTATTATTAGGCAAGTGTTACAATAAATTTCTTCTCTAAGAACTGGAAGCTTACCTTCAGTGAAGAAAGAGATTTCTGATAACATAATAGTGTCTTTGTCATCCCACTGTCATCTTTCTCTTTCATCAGATAACTTTCACCTTCACTAATTTCTTGTAAAGCTACCATCCAAAAATGGAGATGTTCTGATGCAACCTTAAAAGAAAATAAGCATACAATAGAAATTTATTTTTGGGAAAGGACAAGGTACATTATGGGACTTATTTGGACCTGTAAATTCCGCTATAAAACATTGCCTCATGTCATTACTAATCAATATTTCAAGCATTAGAAGAAAGGCTTTTCAGACCATACAAGTTTTCCTTAATCCACAAAAATTTGTACTCATAAAAAAATAAATGAATCCAAAGTGTAACAAATGAGAATTTTACATCAAAAACTTCATGATGGATGGACAACAGATGCAGTGATGAAAAATAATTATTCATGTAATATTTATTAGTGTTAAATTCATTGAAACAGAAAACCATAATTAAAGTGTTGAACGAAATAATAATTTTCAGCAAGATCAAATGACCAAACCATAAAACGAATAATCCAGTAGCTATCATTTTCCTTCCAAATCATAAAACTGGAATCTTTGAAGCTAAATCCATAGTAGTAAAGCTTAATTTTAAAGTGATTCATTTGTGCAACAATGTTTTCACTGGTAAGTTTACTTACCAGATGCGAGAGAGAATTGAAGAGGTCAGCTGCAACAGGATGCTGTCCATATCTCATAGCCTGTCTGGCCAGTTTATACATAAACCATGGTGACTTATGTCCATTTCTGAGAATCAGTTTCTGTATCTCTGTTGGGATTGTTTCACTACCTGCTGCTTGGAATATTAGAGTCCCAAGGTAGGTCTGCAATAAAAATTGGAAATAATATATGTATTAATAAGGGCAAATATGGCAATTTACTGAATCAAGATTAAACTGTTCAGAGGTTATAATTTGAAATTCTGAATTATGAAATTAATTGTTTGATATATAGATATGCTTATAGTAAGTCCCAATTTATCATTAAAGTTATTTTTTGTTTTACCTGAGATTCTAGGCTGAAATTGACCCCCTTTATAAACATAAGAAATTATTTTGCAGATCATCTGTCATTTACAAAAAATTTGTCTCATTGCATGCTGTAGCCAAAAAAAATTAATCACCCATTTAAGAGTTGTGAAGAGTGAAGGAAGTCATGGTCTTATAAGAATAGCCTTACCTTAACTTGACCTTCTTGACAAATGGCACTACTCTGTAACAGTGAAAGAATGTTGGGAATTATCTCTCGTATGTATATGTGATTTTCTGAACCAATGGCTGCTAATCCTTCACACAATATCAAAGCATGTTCCTCTGAAAAAAATTATGTTAGATATTGAATTTCAAAGTTTTAGCAATTTCGTCATTCAAATACTTCAGTTTCTGCACAAAATATATTGAAATGAAATTGCGGAATAAACAATCAATCAGTATCTTATTCGAAATTCATTGCCTCCTTGAAAACTGTCCACAAAAAATATTGAACTTCACCAAGCTAAAAAGTCAGATAATACCAAAAAAGTGTGGCCAATAACTCTGGTTTTATTGTGTTGTTAGGTCTACCTTACTTTTCCTTTGTTCATATACATACCATGATAAATCATTAATTAACCTATTAATCTCCTCGGTGATACAGAAATAAATGTATCTTGAATGCTGTTTAATCTATTCATCTTATTTAATATGAACATAAGAGTAATAACACAATTTGTATTTAAGCCCATTTCTGACCATTACCCATTTAAACATAAAAGACATGTTTATAAGGGTGCAGAATGTGTCTACCCTAATATTTTATATGTCCATTTTGCACAAAACGTTTATGCCTCCTACATATAAGTTCTGACAAGTTGGACATGGCTATGTAAGCTTTTTTACCTAGTGTTCTGCAGATTGCTATGAGTTACAAATATTCTCCACTTACCGCTTTCAGTTGTCTCTAAAAGTTCCACAATTTCGGACAGGAAAAACATGGTTGTATCTGGAAACTTTTTCACCAGGTGTACAGCACACTGTAAACAAAGCTGCAATACACAAGTATCAATAATATATTTTTATGCAATCTCTGCAGGGACTGTATATATTTACTCTCCGTTTTAGTAGGGGGCCTCGGTGGCCGAGTGGTCTAAGTAGTTACTACTGTAATCACTAGCCAGTCAACACTGAGGTTGTGAGTTCGAACCCCCCTCGTGCGGGTGCACTCGACTCCAATCTTAATTGACTAGGATTGTCAGTTTTCCTATTGAAGGTCGGTGGTTTTCTCCGGGCACTCCGGCTTCCTCCACCAATAAAAACTGGCCGCCACGAAATAGCCCAAAAGCGGTGCTTAAAAGTGGCGTTAAAACACAAAAAAATCAAATCAAATCCTTTTTAGTATTGATCACCATATCTTTTCATATTTCTTATTTGCGCAAAAAACTTTGAATTTATTAATTAACTTTTAAATACAATTTAATTTGGTGGATGAAATTCCACTCCTAAAATGCAAAAAAGTTTACCCCATGTAACAGCTTTCTACAATTTCTACATAAGACATTAAACTTTACTTTTTCTTCTTTCTGATAGACGGTTTTACCTTAAGAACTTTTTTATCTTCTTTTGTTGTACCCCAAACTGATAAACAGCATTGTGTTGTTATTGCAAGTCTAGCCCCTTCTACTGGGTCCTGGTCCAAACGAAATAATTTCCTCTCTGTCCAAAAAAATGCAATATTTCCAGGTATGCATAAAACAATATTTCGTCATAACAGTAATGAATAAATTTCAAACAAATTCATGAAGTAGTTTTAAATCATCTTATAAATTGAAGAAAAAAACATAGGACTGAAAAATAGTTGCAATAAATATGTCATTGAAATTTATAAATAACATCTAGAATATGCATATCTTAAGAAACATATGTCAGAAAATTAACCAAAATTTATTAGTCATACAAACAAACTGTTGAAATTTTAACAGTTATAAAGTTTGCCTTTTCCTTTTAAGAACCACCTGACATTAACGCTGATCAATACAGTCAAGTGTTAAAATAATTACATACTGAAACTTTTGAAACAAATGGCAATGTTTGTGTAGAACTCCATGGCTTTGGCTGACAATGTTGGGTTCTGAGATACATAACATAGATTACACACTTCCTGTATTTTCTGCATGTCTGCTGCTGATACTGAAAATAAATATTGGAATTAAAAGGATTAACTATTCATCATTCACCAGTAGCCTGAGGCAGCTTCTTTATATGTTATTTGCATAAAATAGCATATGATATTACCTACCGTCCTTCTGATGCATCCTTATCACTACATACTAAGTCTTCCATGTGTGCCAAAGAAGTGACAATGAAGGAATGAGAATAGGAGAGTTCTGGGACAGTTGTTTCAATGTGGGGATTGAAAAAGTTGCACCACGTGAATTTTTTCTATGCACATGCCTAGATTTTTACACATGCAAATTAAGCAAATGTTATGATTTAATTAGATTTACAACTAAACAAGAATGTGTCCATAGTACACGGATGCCCCACTCGCACTTTCATTTTCTATGTTCAGTGGACCGTGAAATTGGGGTAATAATCTAATTTGGCATTAAAATTAGAAAGATCATATCATAGGGAACATTTGTACTTAGTTTCAAGTTGATTGGACTTCAACTTCATCAAAAACTACCTTGACCAAAAACTTAAACCTGAAGCGACCAAAAACTTTAACCTGAAGCGACCAAAAACTTTAACCTGAAGCGGGACAGTATCATTTTCTATGTTTAGTGGACCGTAAAATTGGTGTCAAAACTCTAATTTGGCATTAAAATTAGAAAGATCATATCATAGGGAACATGTGTACTACAGTACGCACAGAGAGTTTGTAATCGCGAACTCTAATCACGGATTTCGGAGTGTAGCGGTGTCACACCGCGATTCACGGATTATACTCCCAATTTCCTCCAAAGATTCTCTCCCAACACCGCGTGGCTGTTAATTGGTTTATTGCCCATCGGATGTACTGAAAATTAATGACGCGTGACAACATAATCGGATTAGCCAGATTTATTACCTTTGTACATTTAATCGATCTTGATTGCACCTGTGTGCTTTAAAACACGGTATTAAAATTTCCTTTCTTTGACAGATAAAAATGTGACATTTTCTTTCAAAATAAGATAATTATTCTTGTATGTATTTGCCCCATGTCATTGTCATTTGAAATAAAACGTACAAACGTATAAAAATACGAACAAAACACTTATTTTGTATTTTTATTATAGTCCGGTCAGGTCATAATTTTTGTTTTTTCAACAAAGACGATTTTACTACAATTAGAATCTTTTATGACCTACTCAGTGAGCAATATCCGGTTCATTAATTGTTCAATATATAAATATCAACTTGCTTAAAACAAAATGATGTTTTTACGGTAATTTGTCCAATCTAAACCCAAGAGTTAATTTATCGGATCAACAAGTGAACTCTGTTACTTTCAATTTATTTTGCAATGTAAAATATTATGTTTCACTACCTCGGTAGATTACCGACTTGAAATATTTGAACTCAGAAAAGAAACTGTAAAGTGACAACTCTGTTGAATGAAGGGAAAACGTTTTGTATGCAATGTGCCCTATATTCATAAAAACACAACACTGAGAGACATTCCCCGCCCAGACACAACACAATAATCACAACCTAATTTAATTATATGAAGAAAAAAAAATCATGTGTTGTTTATCTCTGTTATGATCTGTTATTGATCCTTTATTATTTAAAATAGAATTGGATGGGCGCAATCCGTATTTTACTGCTCGTTAAAAGTCCTTGGCGAAATAAAAATAAGAAGCATTTCAACAATTAATACTATGATACTATAGATTATTTAAATGAAATTATATCGTGTTCTACGAGAAAGAAATATGTGAAAAAAATGTGGATCGGATTTTTACGATCTACACATTTTCACAGAGGATTTCTACCAACGCCCAACAGGAACTGAACGACATGCATCCTGTTTTCATCTACCATTTATGTATATTGTTGACCATGGACGTATAAATAATGTCCAGGTATGTAAAATTAAAAGGCTGGTGTTCGTTTATTCAGAAAAGGATTATATTTTAGATTCCGGTTAATTAATTGTAAAAGGACCTTCTAGAGCCTCAATCTTAAGGCATACAAATGTCAATCATTCCAAAGCAAATTTAAACCCCGAATGAATTTTCCCACGGTCATCCAGAAAGGTCACCTGAGTTTACTGTTACGTGATAATATTTCCCGCCAAATAAAAATCTCGTGGACAAAATTGATGTCACTATTTTTAGCATTCAATATTGTGAGTGAAGTCAAGTTCAAAGTTCAACCACGGACTGTTGATCACTGAGATGTGTATCGTCTTCCGACGGCAATTAATTTCTTTAAAAAAAATTAAAATCACTGTCCTTTATACAACACACAAGTTTACATTCATTGTGCGTAAATGAATATTATGCAACGACGAGTTGATGCAACTATAGAAGTATTCCTGTTGTAGCCGAAATGTAATTATTTATCCTAAAGTAATGCCAACAAATCGTAAAGAGAAAATGCCGTAGACTTATTAAGCATAACGAATGGTGAATAGTATTTTCTTTTTTACTTGCATATACAAATTTTGAGACACGTAATTTTCTTTAAACTGCTCACTTTTATATTCAGCGTTAGTTTCTGTTTATTTTTACGCAAGTATGTCTCTTTTCGTAAATAAAATAATTTACCGATGAACTTAAACAAGGTCAAAATCAAGTATAGTTTTTGTTATAAAACTTTAATGCAATTGAAAGAATTAACAACAACATTCTGCTTTTAAATCTTTAATTTGTTTCAAGCAATTATGTAATCGTAAAATGAAAATGGCGTGGACTTATTAGCATAACGAATAGTGAATAATATTTTCTTTTTTACTTGTATACAAAACTTTGAGACATGTAATTTTCCTTTAAACTGCCCACTTTTATTCAGCGTAAGTCTCCGTTTATTTTTACACAAGTATGTCTCTTTTATAAATTAAATATTAATTTACTGACCAGAAAAAAAAAACGAGGTAAAAATCAAATATAGTTTTTTTTTTAATAAAACTATTTTTAAATGTACAGTGTAATTGAAAGAATTAACAACAACGTTTTGCTTTTAAATCTTTTATTTGTTTCAAGCAATCAGAAATATAACCTGATTATCAATAGACAGGAAATACAATTGTTTAATTACATAAGTAATCTCACATACCTTGACTGTCGCGTGCCGGTATAGATCAGAAGGATTAGGGCAATTAATTACCTGGTGTGACACTGCGTCGCACCGGACTAGGAGAGATGCCGCTAATACAATAAACAAAAGGTAGCGAATCTACGCGGAAGTCGGAGGGAATACTCCCAAATTTCTCCGAGAATTTAGGGAGGGATGTCGGAGTTTCCTGGTGTCACACCAAGAAAAAACTTGGTGTTCGGAGTTTGGGAAGCCTTTCGCGAAATTTGTACTGTAAGTTTCAAGTTGATTGGACTTCAACTTCATCAAAAACTACCTTGACCAAAAACTTTAAACTGAAGTGGGACAGACAGACGAACGGACGGACGAACAAACAAACGGATGGAGGAACAAACAGACGCACAGACTGAAAAACATAATGCCCCTAGGTGGGGCATAAAAAGCTCTAGTTGACTTCCTCACCCTCATGAAAACCTTCCGTAAGGTGACAGTGTCCATATGTTGATGTTTTCTGGCAGACAATGTATAGATTTCTGATGTTATCACGTGACATTTGTGTATAAAATGGAATAAGACAAGGTGAAACAGACTATCTAGGAACTAAGTATTGTTTATCTTAATATCATTGACCAAACAAATCAAAATGCAATGGAATATTCTGATTTTATTTGATATACGTACCATCATGAGTAAGAAAGAGATGAAATGCTACAGATTTTGCTAATGTTCCTAGGACTTCTAGTATGGCAATCTTAACAGCTGTGGATTTGGCTTGCAGTACAACTGTTATAAGACTCTGAAAGTATAACCAATGATATTAAGAAAGCTGAAATGTTTTCATTTAGCTCACCTTTAGTGATGAGTATTTCCACATATATACTTCTTTCAAAGTGTTTTTAATAAAAAAAAAAAAAAAGAATTAAATATTTGTCAAGAATATATACCAATTGAATTCTTTATTGCCATTAATCTAACAGAATTAAAAAAATCAATACAATACCTTTACAGATGAATATTTCCACATCTGAGGTGCTTTCATTGCTAGGCAATTTAGATCTTTTAGAGCTATGAGTTTGACCGATTGTCTTGGATCATCAGTGACTCGACTGATCAATAGATCAACCTGTGATTGAACATCAATCAATGACTGACAGGCCAGTGCTGTCATTGTCTGTAGTGTCCTAATGACAAACTTCTGTGAGGGCAAACTGGATAGCAGTTCCAAACACACTTGTCTTGCCTGTGAAAGATGACATTTAAAATATTACAAAGACTTTCAAATTAAGTTGCTAAATATATCAATGAATTAGTGATTGCTATATGACACATCAGCACCAAAAGGCTATATCGTGGCGAGCATATCATAGTAATACTAAGTGATATTCAAAATTTATATCTTAACGTAAATCATGGCTTCTAGCAAAGATTTTGCTTAAATTGGTGCCAGGGTTGTCTTGAATATGCAGTGAATTGTGAGCTTTTGCTCCATGTTAAAGCCTCCCTGTGTCTTTAAGATGAAGAACAGCAATTAAAGAGATTATGTGAAATGAATTAATATACCACATTCATTTTTTTCTATTCAAACATCTTCAATTTTATTAAAAATATTAATTTGTTATGTTATGCCCATCACAAAAGAAAATTAGATACTATTAATGATACGAATCAAAATGTTGGGTTGAAATCTTAAAACAACTTCAACCTCATAACAAATGATAGAAATGCTGGTGAGCTTTTAAGTGTCAACACTTTGGTTTACAAATACCAACGACAAAAGGTTAAACTTAAAATCAAGCAGTTTATAAATTTTGAATGCTTTTTATGATTGAAAATTGCTATTAAGGACTGACCAAAGCCCATGAGAAATAAGATTATACTCGAGAAAAAAAATGTCCTCATACCTTAAATAGGTGTGACCTTATATTTTACCTTAGATGATGTTTGCACATCATGATACATGTGCTGTAGTATGGGTATTAACTGTAACTTCAAATCAACTGGTGTTGCTATGTTTTGAATCATGTCAGATAAATTGTTACAGATACTGGCAGCAAAAGAACTGAAAAAATCCAAATACAAATGTGCATATAGTTAAAAAAAAATAATAAACTTCCTCCTTTCTACCTCTTTTAACATGTATAAAATATTCAATTCATGTAAAACCTGAATGACCTACTCACCATAATTATTTTCAAAGTGCACAATAAAAAAATGTTAATTTTGTCCAACTGATCTCTCAGATCTCATAGCCTTGATATCCTTTCTGGCTTCCCACCTTTTATTTCAGTTCTTACATAATTATATATATAAAGAAAACTAAAGCAATTAGGAGGAAACTTTTATATTATTAACTATATTTTCTTAAAACTAAGTACTGTGGATTCATTATTATTCGTTGGATACCAATTTTCGAGGATTTCATGGGTATAGATAAACCACAAATCGAAAATTTAAATGTTCAACAAAGTACAAATTTTCTATATGCTTGTATGTAGACTTTGGCAGAACCACAAAATCAAATATCCATGAAAAGGTAGTTTTTCCTCAACCACAAAAATTTGTATCCACAAAAGTAAATGAATCACAGCATATATTTATTTACAGTTTCCTAAATATTAACCTTGATTGTTCGGCAAATTTCCCAGCAGCAAAAACAGCAGCATCCACTTCGACTGCATCGTTGGAATCAAAACCATTCACAATGCTATGGTGAACATTCTTCCTTTCAGTTATAATACTGGCAAGGTTAGCAAGGGTTCTAGAAAAATGTTGAGAGTCATTAGCAATATTAGTTGTGTGTAATAATGACAAATGGTCCTACATGTTACCAAATTCCAAGTCATAATTCAGTGAAAAGTATGTCATCTGTAACCAGACAAAACAAAATGCAAACTTTATCCGTAACTCACCATTAAGCACATCAATGTACTTTTATCAATAACTTAACATTGAAACAAGCTTGGTTTAAATGGGACAAATGATCACTTCAGGGATAGTTCATGTTTGGAAATTTGAGGTGAATAGATAATGAACCCTGTATAAAATAATTACATTATAATTTTGATTAAAGTCTTCACACTCATAGTCAAAATATCTTTATTTTTATAGTTTTTATAAAATCTGAATGCAACTTACCTTAGGGTCAAAGCTCTTGCAGTGCAATCATTGCTGTGAATTACTGAGAATATCTTCCTCACAAATTCATCTATGTTTAAAATTTTCTCCAAATGTTTTTTGCTTTGTTCGGTTACTTGCAAGATACACCATCGCAAAAAATTGTTTCTAAAACATAATGGTATTACATTATTATTATATGTATGAACATTACAAATATGGGATTGTTTTGAACTGTAAGCACATGAGAATTTCAATCAATACAAATTTCGAAGTTTTTTTTTCAATTGAAGGATTTCTGTATTAACATTACTCCTTTCTTCAGTCATTATCAGTACAAAATATAAACATATAAAATTCTTATTCAAATAATACTCTAATTTGAGATTTTGACAGTCCTAGCCATGATCACAAACATACCCATTCCTAAAAATATCTGCCAATCTAAGGAATGCAGTGTTGATCAGGATAGGGAATGGATATTTCTCAAACAGACTCGGAAATCTTACAATGGATTCACATTGTATTCCAATCTTTGGTGATCTCAAACCTAATAAAAGTTATAAAAAAATCATATGATACTTAACATACAATGTACTTAATTTGTTGACCAATCAAGAGCATCCAAGCAGCCAAAAAATTAATTTTCAAACATATTAAAAAGGAAGTATGAATATAATCTAGTTGTATAAGTATTTATCAGCAAATGCAGATTAAAAAAATTATGTTGTACCAATAACACAATATTGAATTTATCTTGTCATGATGCTAAAATGATTTAAAAATGTCTGACTCAAAGGTATGTCCAACTTCGTGGCAAGTTACCCCAAGATAAATGTTAAAATTAATAGAGGACCACAAATAAAACTTGCCTCATATTTTATTTCAGTAAGTAGGGTTGAATAATGTACATTCGAATACAGTGAATATGGTGATGGTTGTACTATTACAAGAGGGTACAATAACATTCTAATTCAAGTTGTAAAGGATATTTTTACAAGACTGAACCACACATAAAGGTACTGCTCATATGGGGAAGCTATTATTACAGTAGAAAAATCAATATAAAAAAAAAAAAAAAATAAATCAATCTACTCAAAATCGTTAACTTTTTTTTTCTAACTTTTTTTATTTTCCTGCATCTGCACAGAAATCTTTTCTGATATTGTTTATCTCGGGATTTGAGTAAAATATTATGGGGACGTGCCTTATACAGTAAGCAAATCAATAGAACTCAAAATCAATATAAAAATCATAATACATTTGTACTAATGAAATCATAGAGAGTTTCTTTGTTTACATTAAAAAAGATGTCACAACGAATATCCCTACGAACAGGACCAATATTGGAAACGTTTCCGTATTTCCGTTTCTTTCTTAACAGATTCTGGAGTTAAAAATATGCTTGAATTAAAAAAAATAATTTATACGGACTTCGTCCCCTTTCACAGGTAACACCTGCCTCATATTAGTTCAAGACAACCTGAGATCAACACTCTCTCCCAACCCAATTTGACAGAGTTTGTTAAATTCCTTTTGGAATTCTTTGCCAACTACTGTGACTCTGTGGACACAGAATCCAATAATGTTTTAGGGTTAGTCTAGCACTCTATGTACATGGTGGTGTTTTTGGACTGTTTGTTTTTTGAAAGTTTTCTATTTTACCATGGTCTGTTTTTATTCGACTTATGAGCTATTCCTTGGTATCTTCCCTCTCTTTTTAACAGAAAACTCTTAAATTTTGGGGTGAACTCGAATAAGAATATGTTTGTTGTACTGTGGAAGAGTGCTTAGCATAAAGATTCAATAGTCCGATGTCAAACAAACAAAAGATCGTAATACAACCTTTATCTAACTCGGAAAATGCCAAATTAGCATCCTGTTCTTGATCAGATGAAATATTATCTTGAGAAAGAACAGTTTGCATGGGCGCCGCCATTGAAACAAATGTGGATGACATAAATTGAGTCCGACACTCTGGACAGGGAACAAACAATTAAACCGTCGATTTTTTGTGATTTTCTTTCACAAATTATTTAAAATTAAAGATTAATTTCTTTAGAAATTATAATAGTAGTTAAAGTCTTTACTGATGGGAAAATCTATATTAAATGGGAAAATATATCTTATGTTGAGGTCTACAGTCACCATTCACACATTTTCGGTTTTTAGCTATTTTCACAAGTTGCTTTGGAGAAGATGGGGGACGAGGCCAAGAAGCTTCTTGCTTTGCTGAATGGTATTGCAAGACGAACTTACTATGGAGAGGAAGAGTTGTCGGACGATTTCCTTCTCTCACAAATTTACCCAGATATGCCAAAAGAGGAATCAAGTGGTTTGATTACAAAATGCACAGGTTTAATGAAGGTTTGTCATGACACGCCCCCTTTTCCAAATTTATTTAGGAAGACCTTTTTTACATGTTTAGATATGGGTTTTAAATTTTTGAGTGATTCTTTGTTATTGGATGTTTTTTTTTATTTATTTATTATTTTATAGATATAAGAATAGACATAAAGCCACATACAAAAATGTAAGATAAAATAAACAAAAGAAGATTTGCTGTATATATTTATGTAAATGAGACAGCAACCCTACAACAGATAAATACCAAATGCAAACGACTTCTAGAGGTCCATATATGCCTTAATATGGCACTTGTATATGTTTTAGTATTTGAACTATAATGATATTTTAGTTTATAGTTTTAATATATGCTATAATTGTTTTATATATGTATTTGAATTTTTTATGTTATATATGTCTCTGGTTATACGCTATGTTTTATATGTGCACTTGAATGTTTTATGTTATACAAGTGGTTAGAATTTAATAAGATATTGAATCTGAATCTTGAATCTATGGTCTTCAAAAAGAAAGTGTTTTACTTTTGATTGCCCTGAATCAAGAAAAGTTGTGTATGAATTTAACGATCTACCCTAAAAATTAAGCTGTAACAACATTGAACAAAGGACAATGTAAGATAGATTTAGGCCTGACACAAAAACTGATTGGGAACAACCTGCCAAATGGAGAATTATAACCCCAATGAAAAAATGATCTCTCAAATGAGGGATAATCTTCTAGTGTTAAGAAACTGTTTTTTAAATTATATATACATTTCATACTTGAAATTGCACATTTTAATGCAAAATGCAGCAAATTTCACCAAAAGATGAATAGCCCTAACCAGATCTACAGAGAAGTTACAAGCCTATGAAAATTTCAAAAAATTCACAATTTTCAAGGCTACTATTAAACTGCTAACTTCATGAAATTATTTAAAACCTAAAATGAAAATATGGTTCTTTGAAAGAAGTTGTTTCATTTTCTATAAATTTGAGCCACTTTTAGTAAACATGTCAACGTATATTTGTTCCGCCTAACAGAAGTTCCACTGTAATATTTATTCCAGTGGAAATAATATTCCAGAATACTGTTTCCATTTGGAACTTATATTATGAAGGAAATTCTATTCCTTGACAAACAGACTCCGTGAAGAAAATCTTGTTTTTTAGCACTATCAAATGATTGTTCAATTAAAGGATTGTTACTCATTTGGGGAATAGTTCCCATTAGTTGGGTTGTCCCCAACCTGATTAATATGTAGCAGGGTTAAAATGGTTTTCAAGCACCGATCACTACCCTGTTAATCTTCAATCCTAGGTTTAGCTGTCACCATATAAACAGATGTTCCACTAAAAACTTTGTTATAGACAATGTCATAATATCTGTTCCTGATTAAATTATAAGCAGCCATTTTAATAAGGAGGAACTATGGACATAAAGGAGAGATATGTATTTCTTTTTTGTCCGAGCTTAAAGCCAGTCCTTGTACTGCAAACACTATATGCCATGATCATTGTAGTTTTTTCTTGAAATATATACATTTTAAGATGTAAAATTATTTATTTTCTGTTACTTTTGTTAATTTGCATTTAAAAAAGTTGTTTTACATTATTCATTTGATTGTTTAGATTTTATTTTTTGCAATATCAATAAACTATAACAATTTTCTACTACTGCTCTATACATTTATCAATAACACAATTTTAAATTCATGCTCAGCTTTCTTGATAATTTTTATTTCAAAAAGTCAGAATTTTCAATTCATAGGTTTCAACTATGTGGGGGGTGATCTGTCTTCCATCTGATAGAAGCAAAATATTTCAAATGAATGAAATTTTTCTTTAAAGCATGTAAATAATTGTTTTTTTCTTCAGAATATGGTGTCAGCTGATATGGATTTCAATCAATTAGATGCATTTCTAGTGTCACAAACTAAACGCAGAGAAAACCCTTTAACTGAAGAACAAACACAAGTATTCCGAAAGTTCTGGAAAAATAATAAAAATAAAATTCATGACAGTATCATAGCAAAGACAAAATGGAATAATTCATTACAGAATGTGTTATGGAGAATAGATTTAAAAGCTCAAGCTAGGAACATGGAACAAATGAATGAATCGTCAGCCATAATGGAATTCCAAATAAATTCTCCAGAAAATGTAAGTGTATTGTGATCTTGTACTTTAATGTGTTGTTGACTTATTCAAAATCTAAGAATGAAATAGATATGTACATTTCTTAAATTTACATGTACTCATATCAATTTACATGAACTTGATGAAGTTATAGCCATAATTTTTGAAATTTTTGTTATAAATAAGATAGTTAAAATCATCAGTTCATTTTTGAAAGTAGTAAACCTGTCTGTTAAAATATCACAAGTCCTGGTGAAAACAGACAAACTTGATAGTGAAAACAGCTGGAATCCCATCAATCCAGAAGAGTGCGAGATCAGGTGCATCAATTGGATGAAAATCTTCATTTGAACTAGCAGGCATTGGAAGACATTCACAAAAGAAACCATTGAAATTCATACAAAATGTAATTTGTCATCATATAATACTGCGAATACACTGTATTTGTTGTCTCCCTTTTCCTATTTTTTTTTAGTTTATTGTAATTTTTCAATAAAAAAAAAAATCATCACATTTTCTTTTAATTCTGTGAACCTACATATATAGTCATGATAGTTATTCATACAAACCTGTATCAATCGAAAAATATATCAAGCTATTACCCCAATAATTCAATAACTGATATTATAGTGAATTGGTATTTGTATAACAATAAATGTATATTTCCTTTCAGAAATCTGAAGTTGTGCGGTTTGAGATGGATGAAACAAAACTGACAGAGGTTTTAACACAAATGAAGGAAATAGAGACAGAAATCAATAATTATTGTCAATAAAAATTGATATGTTCAGAAATTTTGTACATGTAGAATTTTATCTATGCGAATGACAGGATTTCCAAGATATGGAATATGCATCTTCCATTGGAGGTTTAATTTGAAAGAAGATTGACAGCACAAATTTAATTAAACTACCGCCCTTTGGATAGTTATTAAAGACATCAGGAGAAAGTGGTTGAAATACAAAAGTGCACACACTGAAATATCTTGCCTGCTTTACTGATTAAAAAAATGATTGATTTTAATGTTGAAAGTCTATATTAATAAAGGTTTTACTTCAAGTAATACATTAACTAAGCATTATCATTTAATCATGAAAATGAGGTACAATCTATCCATAAACTGAATACCGGTATGGTTGACCTATTGCTTATAATATCCAAGAAATGGGCCTTTAATTCAGATCTTTAGTGGATATATTGCCTTTGGAAAATGTTCTCTATTGATTTTGAGATCACTAATTTAAAGATCAAGAGCAGCAAAAAAATGAAATATGTTCAAATTTTTAATTTCAGTCATTTGATATTACATGTAATGGTCACAGGACCTTACAGGAACATCACCAGCAGAAGATTCAAGTTTCTTACACAAAAAACTGTTTCTTCTACTTCAAATCAATGAAGATTGCAGCTAGTTGCACTTATGGTCCTTATGCAGTTTTTAAGCTTTTTATTTCACTTAAAAACAATAAATCATGTGGCTGCTGACAGTGTGAATATGTGGATATATCTAAAATAAATTTACACACAACAGAAATTGAACAGTTTGATGACAAAGGTTCATCTTAATTAATAGAAGCCTCTTGTAACTGTAATATTGTTTATAAACCTTATACATATAAGAATGTCCTTCAAATTTGTCTCTTTGGCTTAAAACTTATTAATGAAGGTTATAATCATATACTGTTGTTCTTCAGTCACCAAGTCTGGTATTTTTGGGAATACACATCAATTTGCTAATTCATAATTTGAAGCAATACTAAAATAGTTGTTTTTTTCTCTGTATAGTTTGTCTTGGTAATTGCAAAAGATCACGCTTTCCTGTACTGTTTATGACATTAAATCTTCTATGTAGAATAGCAACTGATACAATGTGTAGAATGGCATGGTATCTTTTTTGCAGGTTATCTAATTTGAGCTTGCTTTCAGTTACTGCGAGCATTCTTTTATTGGGATATAATTTGTTATTTAATTTGTGTGTTTGTTATCTGATATACAGTTGTTTTAGAGTTAAGGGCTTTTCCTGTACTGCTTTTTATTGTATGTTCTATTATGTATGTTTTGTTCATCTCCTGATCGAGATTAAAAAGGGGGAGGGTTAGTAGCTAAAAATACTAGATAAACCCTACCACATTTTCATATGCTTGTACAGAGTCAGGAACCATGTTGTATGTCATATCTTAATGGTTTTCTTTATTTGAATAGCAGGATGTATATGGAAAAACTTTGATGGTTTCTGTTAAGTTAATTTACTTCCTTTTATAGACTTGGGAAGATTTAGAGCTTGAAAAAATTGTATAACGTCAGAGATGGTATGTTGCCCTCTAGAAGTCTTTTGGTTATTTTTGGCATTGAGTTGCTGTCTCATTGAGGTATACCTCACATCTCCTAGTCTTGCTAATTCATTTTAATGAAATTTTTGGAAAACTGAGGATGATAATACACGTTTGTGAATTAAGGTGTTGTTTCTATGTTTGAATATTTTGATTTGTTATTCTATAATTATCTTTTTTCATCTATAATTGTATTTTAAACTAAATGAACTACCTGGAGACAACTACATCACATTTATTTTTCTGTTAAAATGCTGAACAATGTATTTATTAAGTTTAAATAAGTGCCAATCTGCCTAAGAATCAACTGGGGAAAACATGACAAAAAAAACTCACTTAAGTTGACATTAATTTATGTTCAAAATGTATAATGGTGCTTCAATATAACATTTGTTTCCTTTTTCTGTTCTGGTAATTCAAGATATAATTTGATTGAAATGCACTAGAAATTACAATTAAGGGAGCTAACTCTGTAATTTGCTATCATTCTAACCAAAATTTATCTAGAATTTTCTCGAATTACCAGACAAGCAAAAAGGAAAGACCTACTAGTTTTAACTCAGGATGAAGGTAAATTCAAAATAGGATGGTAAGGTTGGTGGGTTTTTTTCGGCCATGTTTTGATTTTTTTCAAAATTGCCTGATTCTTACAAAGACTGGCACTTTACTGTTAGAACAGACTATTTATTGGCAGATCATAAATCTGCCCATTGATACACTTTCTTAGCAGTTGTAAAGGACAAAGAATTTTTTACATTACCAGTGATGATCAAAATGATAAGAGAAAATAATATGACTTAACACTTAATCATTTTTAACTTTTCACCTCTTATTTATATCATATAAATCATACTATATAACTTTGTTAAAGTTCAGTATGTGAATGAATGAATAAATACAAAATAGTACAATGTATCATGTTTATACATAAATATTATTTTTACAAAATGCACAAGTTGATTTCATTCTTTAACAGCACCCCTCCTTTTTTAAACTGGATACATAGAACTAGATTCAAGTTTTAAAACAAAACATCATTTCATGAGTATAATCAGTGGCGGATCCAGAAATTTTCATAAGGGGGGCCCACTGACTGCCTAAGAGGGGACCCGCTCCAGTCATGCTTCAGTGATTCCCTAAATAGTCAACCAAATTTTTCCAACAAAAGGGGGGCCCGGGCCCCCTGAAAAACCCTCTAAATCCGCCTCTGATAATGACAAAAGCAGCTACTGACAAAGTGCTGACCTAAAATGTATTTTTCTGCTCCTGTGGACATAGTTTCCCTCACAGAAACAATCTAGACAACTTCATGACAAAATACTATTGGGTCCAACTGTGCCTATCACCAGATAACAAAGACTTCATATTGGATACCGCCTCGTTGGTCTCGTAGTAGTGTGTTTGCCTCAAGTGCGGGAGGTCATGGGTTCGATTCCCCACCGTGTCAAACCAAAGACTTTAAAATTGGCATTTACTGCTTCTCCGCTAAGCATGCAGCATTAAGGAGTAAGAGCAAAGACTGGTCGGCTCGGAGTCAGAATAATGTGTCCAGGTAAGGTGACATGTCTTCCTGTGGACTGTTACCTTGAGAACTAGCATGTTAAAACTCCGGCTCAGGGTGTCAGTCTAGTACAAAGCAGGGTTAATATTTATATCACATTAACATGTTCTTGTCCTGAATATGCATATCAATTTGCCGCTGGACGTTAAGCAGCCAATTGGTGAACATATTATACTATATCTCACTGTCTACCTCCATTCAATTGCCCATTAACTAAAAAGTTAGAACTGGAAATATCTGTGAAAGTCAACCTGTTGCCTTAAGTGCTAAAAGAACAAATTAAATGTGTGCATTTGTAGACTCATATGTACAAACCAATCTGAAAAATCGTTTGCTACAAAAGTGTACTGAAATCATGTCATGCAATAAAAGCAGATTCACTGACATACTTTATAGATATACTACACTTTAATTTCTTTTAATGTTTCATGTTTGATGAAATTTAATTATAGAGATTTTGTTATGTTTATATTTTGTAAATTAATATCAAATTTAAATATTTTTTTATGCTCTGCATTGACAGCAATTATAGTGAGTTTCTTGTTATAACCTTTTTTCGTGGGACAAAGGTTTTTACTTTCCACAGCAAAATCTTGTATTTTTCTGCAAGTGTTTCATATGAGTGAAACAAGGGCTTATGAGCTGGCAACCCTCATATTTACCATTGCACGACTTAACTATTACAATATTGAGTTATATATTTAAATCCACCACTTTGCCTTAGGATACCATAATATAATAAATATATAAAATCATTCACTTATGAAGCTTGCTGTAATTTCTTCTCTAAGGTTTTAATCTTATTTTTCAAATCTATTGTTAGAACTGTAAGTTGATTAAATTTGATAATCTTTTCATCGTCCGTCAATCACTATTTCCGTCATGTAACATGTTCAGGCGATTTTCTTGTTGATGAGTGATTTACGGTAAACTTTGCAATTCTTACACCTTTCTACAAGTGACAAAAAAGAGCAGTTGCTTGATCTTATGGTTCTGTTATAGTAAAAGTATCTGTAGTAGGCTCCAAAAGTTTCTTCCAAATAGCCTGCACATGTTGAGGATGGTTTATTTCCATAGTCACCAAGCAGCAAATTGTTCAGGAAATCAGGATCTGGATTTCCAATGCAGACTGTATAGTAAGAGACTGTTTGCAGCAGCTCCTGCACATGATGAATTCCAACAAACTCAGATGGTAGTTCAGGTGTGTTCCATATAGCATGATTGTCTGATAACTTTTGTCCATGAACAATTATTTCAGCTCGAAAATTTTCATAAATGGTGATGCAAGTCTGTATTGTTGGAATTTCTGTATCATACAGTTCAACGTACCTTAGATATTTTGACCTTTTCACTAATTCAAAATTGGCATGTTCAGTTAGATTTAGCTTACACTCTTCTTTAAGGTTGATGAACCTTTCTCTAGTTCTTTCACGTTCCAACCTTTCTCGAGTTCTTTCACATACAAGTTCACCAAAATTGACATATGGTCGTTGACAGTAGACATGGTCCAAAAACACAACATGAAACTCATTATCAAAGATGCCATCACTATCAACCATTTCAGTTTTGACATCATGACTCTGCAGACTTTCTTGGTCTGAAAAAAAAATTATGTTTCAAATATCAGAATATATGAGAAACTTCAGACATACCGTAATTTAAAATTAGATTAATAAAAATAGAAAGTGCACAAGGTTCACACATGCTGAAAATATACATAGATATAGGAAGATGTGGTATGAGTGCCAATGAGACAACTCTCCATCCAAGTTACAATTTATAAAAGTAAACCATTATAGGTCAAGGTACGGCCTTCAACACGGAGTATTGGCTCACACCGAACAGCAAGCTATAAAGGGCCCCAAAAAATTACTAGTGTAAAACCATTCAAACGGAAAAACCAACTGTCTAATCTATATAAAAACGAGAAACGAGAAACACATATGAACTACATAAACAGACGACAACTACTGTAATCAGATTCCTGACTTAGGACAGGTGGTTTACTTAAAACAAAAAGACTGTTTGATAAACTCCTTCCTCAAAGTACTGAAAAAAAACCAATGTCTATAAAATTTCTTCCTTGACTTGTGATTGCTTTGCATAACTTAACTAGTAATTTGTGTAAATGAAGGTCAAGTCCACCTGTTTCTTTAATGTGTACACCATGTACCGTAATATTATGTCTTTTCACTGTATAAATTTGATTAAAACATCTACTGTGGATTCATTACTTTTCGTGGGATACCAATTATTGCTGATTTCATCATGTGGGTACAGGTAAACCACAAATTTCACTTCAAACTTATAATTTATGATATAATTTAGTTGTGAGTTTTGCATCTGTTTTACATTCGTAACTTAAAATATTTGAAATCAATAATTCACATAATAATGTAGGTTGGTTTGATGAAATATAAACTGAAAATTGATAACCTTTTTGGCCAAGGAAAACCCCTAAAATAATTCAAATAAAAAGTCATAATAAGAGATGCACAACTTTCATGTTTGTAGGAGAGTCTGTGCAAGTTTTTTTTTTGTGTTGGCCAGTGTAGGAAATAATGCATAGGAGATATGTGTGGCAACTTTGATAAATTTCTGAAACCTATATTTGGCTGTGATAAAATCTGATATTAATTGGAAGAATATATAAATAGCATTAAGTGCAATAGGTTTATGCATGCTAAAGATATAGGTTAACTTAAAAATAAAAAAAAAAATGTTTGATATTCAGCTTTCTCCAAGTACTGAAATTTATTTTATCAATTGACTTGTAGTAGCAACTACAAACCTTAACCTGTCATGCATGTTAAATGTAGGTCAAGGTGACACAGTTTCTTATATGAATACTTAGTACTCGAAAATAATGTTCATTGTAATTGCTTAAATCTCATCCTTTCAGAAAGGTCATACAAAGAACAGAACAGACATAATAATGGATCTATTTCCATCGATTTTATGGTAATTTTCTTAATGAAGGGACACAAATATCTAATAGCAATGTGTTAGCAGTCATTGTTCAACAATTTTGAAAGTTCTATTAATTCTTGAGTTTTTGTGAGATTTACCTTCCATTGCTATGGCCTCCTGGTCATATTTATACTGTATAATGTATTCTGAAAATTCATCATCACTTTGCAGTGAATCTGCAATCAAACAAAACTTCAAATAAAATGTTCATACATGTTTTGCAAGAGGTTATAGACACCAGTTAGATTGTAGTATTTTTTCAAAATGTAATGCAATGGTAATAGTAAAATCTATGGTTTAAGATTTCTGTGTATGTGTGTTGTGAGATGTTTGATGTTTGAGTTGTTAACATCTACTTCATTTGGTCTCTGGTGGATAGTTGTCTCATTGGCAATCATACCACATCTCCTTATTTTTGTATCCCAAATATTTTAATTCTTCAAAGTCCCTCTTGGTAATTTTACAGTATTTTGAAATACTAATCTATTTGCATACTGTAAATCAGAAATTAGTTACCCCCTCCAACATCATTTGGTACTATCTAATATCTATATGTATACGAAGTATCATTGACATATCATCTTCAGTTACTGTAAACATGGTGAAATAAACCTAAAAGTAAACATTTTTATCCATATCTGGATGTGTGTATGGATAGGCAAAATAAAAATATTAGTTTTGTCTTAGTTTAAGGAGAAAAAAGGGGCCACAGTGAACTATCCTTGGTCTATCTATTTAGTTCTAATAGAAATCTTACTATCCTCAATATGGATCTCATTGTCTGGCCACTCTAGAAAAATTGAGCTCTCTGAGGATAAAATTAATTTCATTATAGCCTCTGTACTCTCCCTTGCCAGGCATGCTACAAAAAAAGATGTGCAAACATTTTAAAGCATTTGTGTCGCTTTGTCCATGAAAATAGAGATTGGTTAAAATGTAAAGAATAATGTCTGTAAATTGTTTTGTTATAAATTAGGCTGTTAGTTTTCTCAATCTAATTGTCTTATATTTTTCATGTTGGGGCCTATTTTAGCCGACTATACGGTATGGGTTTTTCTAATTGTTGAAGGCCATATGGTTGCCTATAATTGCTTACATCCACATTGATCTTTGGTGAATAGTTGCCTCATTTGCAATCATACCACATCTTCTTATTTTTATATTGTTTACTTACGCACCTGTAATCATATGTCAGGATGACAGTGTCTGATAACTAGATTGTGTTTATTTATACATATATTGTTCCATTAGTTCAAAAGGAGAAAGAGAAAAGATCCAAAAATAATCTAAAAATATTTCTTCATAAAATTTTTGCCAATTGTGGCTAAAATAAAAAATTTCTCCCACCTTTATAGTTCAATTTTTTTACGTCTTTTATTGTCGTGATATCAGTTTGATGAGAACCATAAATTTATTGCAGAGGCAGCTGCTTGAAATATCACAAATGTTGTAGTGCAGAATAATAAAATGTACTGTAATGTTCCAATCATCTATAATGCAGAAATAAAATTTTTAACCATATGACTACAAAAAAAATTACAGTCTCTCAATTTTTAGTTTGGCTAAGCTTTTGACTTCCTTAATTTGTACTTCATAAATTCAAATATATTAAAGATTTTTTTAATTTTCAAACTGTTGGCAGAACTGTCAGGGATCTTTGTCAAAATTTTAATGTCATTATAATAATATGTACCTTCTACTGGCTCTACAACATCAGGTTGGTCTTCAAAGGTACCTACATCTCTGGTATTCATCACTCTGGCATTGACCTTTAAAAAATATAAAATTAATAAACTACATGTACAAAGAAATATTTTCGAATAAAGAATATAAATAATATAGAATAAGGAAATGTGGTATCATTGCCAATGAGACATGACTCTCCACCAGAAACCAAATGGCTAGATGTTAGCCACTAAATAAGTGTATTTGTAATGTGCTTCTTTAAATAGCAGAAATATTTTCTTACGTGTACCTACATGTACTACAATGTATGGTAAATTTATACATACAATAAAGTTTTATCCTTGAAAAGGAGTCTTTATGAAATACTTTTTGAAGGACTACAAGTCAGACAAAATTTAATGCTATTGAACAGAAAATGTTAAGATTTAGAGTTGTACACAAGCAAGAAGTCAAATGTGCAATGTTGTTGATATGTGAAAATGAATAATTATCATGGATTTTGACCCAATTGAAACTGCTTAATGTTATACAAGTAGCAAAGAGAACTAAATTTAGTGCCAGCTCACAAAAAAAGACATTATGTAATCAATAATTAATTAATCTTTAAAATTGAGTGGCATAATTGTACAATAAAAGTTTTCAACAAGATATTAAGTGCATCATCTAGACTAGTTCAGTTTCATATATATTAATATTTTGAGGTTGACAAGTACAAAATGTACAAGTTATGTAAAATGATTCATACTTTAATTTCCACATTATCAAATTTACTAAGAAAAACATGTGTACTTGGAAAACTTTAAAGGCATGACTGGACCAAGATATATACCAGCTTTAACTTTCTAACAAAGGTATGCAGTAAAATAAATTTACATTAAATTTTGTTTTGTGTTAGTGTCTCTTTTTAATATGTTTTTATTTTAATTTCATTTTATTAGTTTTATTTGTCCATCGGATACTTTAATTTGTGTATGAGTTACATAACTAAAAGAGCAAACTCACTGGTACAGACTCATGGACCAAAGATATGAGATATTGGTTATAAGAGTCCTGAAGTACTGGAAGGAAAATATAATATGAAATAGTTAAAACCAAAAACTTAATTAATTCATACCCCCTTGATTAGACTTATGAAATGTTTTGTTCTCACGATGATGAAAGCAAAATTAAATATATTGTTATGTATATGTATTGTCGTATGTGTTTTATTGTAAAGTCGTGAGAGTAGTGTCCCTTTGTGTAATGATGCATATTTATCATGTGCTGTAATCTGGCTCTTCTAAATAAATGTGCCATGGCAGTAGATGTGTTTTTGTTGCTCTCAATTAAATATAAGTTCAGCGGCATGGGGAGGCAAGTATATGTCCCCCCATGTACGTAATAATATGCATTGTGTGTTTTAGAAAAACAAAAGCTGTTTAAGATACTGAGATAAAATTTTGTTCAAGTCTCAGTCTACAGAAGATGGTACATGTAAAATAAACAAGCACCTGGATTTCAATTCATACATTCCTCTAAGCTTCACAGTTTAAATCCCCACTATTTGCCACTGGACATTAAGCAAACACAAATCAATCATCAAGCATACTGTTAATTTTTTCAGATTATTTTGGCACCTTCTGTAGGAATAAAAAAAAGCTACATTAAAATCAAGAAAAGGGTCTAAACTTTCTGAAACATAAAACACACAAAGTAAAATTTCACTTTTGAAGGACCAGCAAAGCCTTAAAACTTTTCCAGTTCAACAGGTAGACATCGATGTCTTAAGCAGGCCCAGGTCTAGCCTTAACAACTTCATCAAAGCAAGACAAAATGATATACCAGATACATCAGATATGTGTACAGAATGCTGCTTCAATGTAGATTTCACTAGACCAGAGATTGATGTTGTTTCATATATTATACTCACACCTGAGGTCTCTTCTTGATTTTCACTACATGTACGAGGAGGGCTGGTTGGTCTAATGTTGATGTCATTTGGCACAGGAATTCTTTGGTCAATCATAGGATGTTTTTCATACCTGTATAAAATAGGAATGAAATTGATGTTTGTTCAAAATTCACAATTTTTTTTTGTATGTTAATCTATATCACTAATTTGCAAGAGGTTTAAATGAAAATACTGTACCTCTCATAACATGGTTTGAAACACTTTAATAAATAAAAAATATACAATATATTCTAGAAAGTGATGTCTGGCCTATTTTGATCGATTCTGGGCATTTGTTTTAGGATTTATTTAATCTTTCTCTTTTAAAAAAGGTAAGTTGTTCTTCAATGGTCCCATAAAATTTATGCAGCAATTTATGGTTATACACGTGCACATACTCTTCCTAAAAAAATATTAAAAACATTCCAGATGAACTCACAATTTCATGGCAAAGAATTTCACAGGGAAGACATATATTAAAAAATATTTTTGTGGGCAGTATTTCACATTGAAATATTGTCATGGACAGAATTTCACATACAATCAAGGATTTGTATAGTTAGAATATTGTCTAACTATACAAATCCTTGGTACAATATTGTCATGGAAAGTATTGCATAGTAAAATATTGTCAAGAAAGAGGTGAAAGAAATTTCAAGGACAAGGACCCTAGTTCATGATGAAATATTGTCCTGCACAGTTATTAATTACATTATAAAAAAGTGTCCACAGACAATATTTTATATGAAAATTTTTTCGACAGACAATATTTCATGGGAGACATTATTTCATGTTGCAGGGATTTTTTTATAGTATGTTCATTTCCCCTTTGGTACTGCTTGCTTAATTTTTGGGGCGAATAAGCCACATGAAAATTTGTGTTCTAATTTTGTTGACAATTTCTTCCTGCTGCATTTACTGTTGCAGAATATTCATTGTCAATCATCCAGACTTGGCCAAGCTTATATTCATTTTTATTAGTTCTTACAAGGCCAGAATATCCCCCCCCCCAAAAAAAAAACCAAACAACTATATATATACATATGGCCCCTAATAGGTACTATAAAAAGGATTGAATATCAAGTATGTACACTTAGGAAAATTATTTTGGAACTGCAATGCATTTAAATTTCTTAAGTCTTCCGTTTTTCATATATTTTTTCACCATACTTCCAATGTTAAAGTTGTCATTCCCATAAACTTTTTAAAAAATCCCTTTGCTCTCCATTGAGCCAAGGCAAATTTTACTATTTAGTCTTTCAGGGAACAGTAGAAATTCCTTCAAATACATGTAATTTTGTCGGGTAAAATTCGGTCTTTAGAAAATTACCCATCAAGCAAAATTTTCGCCACCTCAGCATGTGTTTGCACACACAGAGCACTCTTAAGCTTACTCCAGCGATCATACTGGGCACCTATGTAGATCCTATTCTTATTATTTTTGGCATTTATTTCCGTACGTCGTCGTTTTCTATCTGAATCAGTCAAAGTTGGCTTCCTCCCTCGTTTTGAAACTTTCGCTTCAGACATTGCATGTGCATCTTAGAAATTATACATACAAAATCAATCGAATGAAATTATTTTAAAGGTTATTGCATGTATACAGATTATTTGGCATGGGAAGACAATAATAGACCATAACCGACTTTGACTCCGAAGTAAATAATTTTTCGGGTACGAGTCAACTCGGCCCGAATCCCACTCGGACCATCTACAAAAAAAGACAACCGAACCGTCAATAAGTGAACTCGGACCGTCTGTAAGGTCAACGCAGGCAGTCTACAATGCCCACATGAGAAAAGTATTTAAGAAAAGTTTTGACTATATAAATGATTAAATGAGTGTTTACGAAAAAGACTATTCGGACCGTAATTATGTGAAGACAAGTCGGTCTCATTTAAGAATTGAATGCTTCTTTTTGTAAATTTATTGGGGCGTAAAAGCGTTGACCGAAATACATTTTGCCTCATTCTAAAAATGTGCGCACGGTCAACGCTTTACTACCCTATAAAATTACTAAACGCTGCATTCAATACTTATAACATTACATTTTTTTTGCTAGGATCATGAAAACTCGATTTCTATCAAGTTTTTCTTTTATTTGCCTGTGCACTTTATTGTGGAAGCTCGTGTCATCATGAATGTTACATTTCAATGACGTATTATAATGAAACATACATGTAATGTAATTATGATATAATCATCATATAGACCCTCAATATTCCAGATCACAACTTTTTTGTGTTGACCTGCATCAGTCTATTGTTGACTATCTGAATAATTAAATTTACAGTACTGATTGTTAAATTTATCTTATTTAATTATAACTTTAGATAAATGGTGGGACTATTATATCTCCCCTTTCTTCGTTTATAATTTGGTTGTTTTCTTTTTCCCCCTAAAAAAGGTAAACAAGTCCGTGAGTATATGAATCCTGACTTCTATGTATAAATTTACAATCTATCATTAATTTTATTCTTATCTATATTATTTTATAAGTTTTACTTCATTTTGGAATTGAAGCAAGGTATGTATAAGGGATATTTTTATGTGAAATATAACATTTGATCATTTAGATAGCACAAACTTTATATTCATATTTATACTTATTGAAGTTAGTCTGAGATCATTGTAGACGGTCCAAGTTAACTTTATAGACGGTCCGAGTTGATTTGTAGGTAAAATACAAAATAAATATGTAATAAACTTGAAGCATGCATGAATAAAACCACTTTCATTCCTCAGGATTGAATACTATTCGTCACGGCAGCCTTTTGAATGACGGTGACTCGATATCTTCCTAATTTTATGCTATTTCCCCCAAGTTCGTGACTGAACAAAAACAAGAGGTTCTCTGCTAACTGGAACGTGCACCTGGTAAAAATAAGCCATTTTGATGTTTATTTTTACCTTTACTGCAATTAGTTTTATATTTGCTTTTTTTTTTTTAGATCTTATTAAGTGGCAGTTCTGTAGATCATGTCGCGATTGATGACCATAGAAGGTAAAAGGTAAAATTCATTAGGAATCGATATTAATTATAGAGCCCCCATATAGTCACAAATAAAGATACACATTTACTTATTTTTCATATGTTGCTTTACTGTCGCTTTGAATGCGTACTGGTCATGTATTGATTTTAAATTATTTAGAAGCACAGAATTATAGCGCAAACCAATCTTTAATAGTATTTAAAAAAAAGATGTCGAGTCTACTCTGTTAACTTTATGAACAACAACATTGAAATGGCGTGATCTAATGCTATATCCGATTCTATCAACTATAGTTCAGAAAATGAAACTAGATCCTTTAAAGAGCCCGTGTGTCGCTCACCTAGGTCTATGTGCATAATCAACAAATATGGACTCTTTCCAACATTGTAAACAAGAATAGAATTCATTAAAAAAATCTTTTTTATTGATCTTATATTGCTGATAATTTTGTCTATTTAGTTTCTCTCTATCTCTTTTAGTTTTTGATCAAAACACATAAGAGAGTAAAAGAAATCCTCATTTAAGGACAATCACTCCTATGAAGTGTGACAGTCTACTAACTATATCAGCAAAATTTGACTTGTTTGTGGATGTTGACTTGATGATCATTTTTGTTATTGATAGTTTCTATTTATCTAATATAATTTTATCATATAAGGCAAAACACAAAAAAAAATGGTAAAAATCGTCATTAAAATTATGAAAAGAAGCTAGCATAATATCATTTAACTTCACGTTCTGCTGTATATGTAGATGATGCCCTCTCACTTAATACTTCAATGTTTGGTGACTATGCTGAACGCATCTATCCCATCGAACTTGAAATAAAGGATACAACAGATACAGTTATTATAAAATTATGAAGATGTGTGTTATAAAGTTCACCGCACTTTATTACAGTATCATCTGTTACAGTAATTATAATTGACAGATCAGCAACTCTCACATGTCTGCACGTTCTTAAATAAACATAATTAAATAGATCAATTGAAGTTCTTATACACATGTTGTCATTCTGTAGTCTGACCATCAAACGATGTACTTGTTAATAAATTAGTTATAGAAACTGGATTGTATTATTATATAGCAAATATATTACACATTTTGGCGACGAGGAAAAAACTGAATATTAAAATAAATGTGAATTTCTACAAGTGACAATGCCGACTTACGGTAAATTAGACTCTTTTGATGAATCCGAAGATTGGACACAATATGTAGAACGTATGGAACATTATTTTAATGCTAATGAGATAGACGAAGAAGACCAGAAAAGGGATATTTTCTTAAGTGTATGTGGGAAGAATACCTACAAATTAATAAGGGATTTATTAGCACCAGCCAAACCAGGAACGAAATCACTGGCCGATTTAACAAAACTAGTGAAAGACCACCGAGATCCAGTACCATCAGAAATTATTCAAAGATTTAAATTTAGCAGTAGAACAAGACACAGCGATGAGTCAGTGAGGACATTTATTGCAGCACTAAGAAGTCTGACAGAACACTGTAATTATGGTGACACGTTAAACGCGATGTTACGAGACAGGTTAGTCGTCGGAATAAAGAGTGACCGCATACAGAGGAGGCTGTTAGCAGAGCCGAATTTAACTTTTGACAAGGCATTGGAAATTGCTACCGCTATGGAGACTGCTGAGAAGAACGCACAAGACATCCAAGCGAGTGGGACAAATGCAACATTTCAGAAACAAGTCAACAAAGTTTCAAAATCATATACAAGAAACAACTCTGGAAATTCGAAACAAGGAGATTGTTACCGGTGTGGAGGAAATCACTTAGCCGCCGATTGCAGGTTTAAGGATGCAAAATGCCACAGTTGTAAAAAGAAAGGACATATCGCAAAGAAATGCCGTAACAAATCTGCCAATGGGAATTTAAGTGAAAATCACAGAGAGTTCAAATCACGTTTTAAACCACGTGCTCATTTCATGGAGCAGGATGAAAGTAGCGAAAGTGAAAGTGAAAATGAAGTTTACTCAGTTTTTTATTTTGGAAATAAATCTAATGAGGCATATAAAGTGCAAATCAATGTGAATGAATGTGAAATAGCCATGGAGATAGATACCGGAGCGTCAGTTTCTATCATGAGCGAGGATACTTACAAGGAATACAAGTCTAAATTCAGAATCGAACCGACAAGTGCTAAACTCCGAACATACATGGGAGAGCAGATTCCTGTAATAGGACGTGCAATCGTCAATGTCAATTACAAGAAGGAAAGCGCAAAATTGCCAATACTGATAGTGAAGCGTAAAGGTCCGAATTTACTTGGCCGAGACTGGTTGAACAAACTCCGACTGGATTGGAAGGATATTTTCTCCGTCGTTGGAACTGATAATCAACCGAGTGATTTAAATGTGATCTTGGAAGCAAATAAGGAGGTTTTCAAAGATGAACTTGGAACTGTAAAAGGCATGAAAGCCAAGATTTATGTTGATGAGAGTGCTGTACCGAAATATTTCAAGGCTCGCCCTTTGCCGTATGCGTTGAAGGATAAAGTGGAGATGGAACTTGAACGTCTTGAGAAGGAGAGTCAAATTCAGCAAGTGGAATTTTTCGACTGGGCCGCTCCAATAGTACCTGTAGTTAAGGAGAACGGATCTATTAGAATTTGTGGTGACTACAAGGTAACCGTTAATGCCGTTTCAAAGTTGGATAATTATCCGATTCCTAAAACTGAGGATTTATACGCAACGCTTGGAGGAGGACAAGAATATACAAAATTGGATTTAAATCAAGCATACCAACAAATTGAACTTGATGAGGACAGTAAAAGGTATGTGACTATAAACACGCATAAGGGTTTATTCAGGTACAATAGACTTCCGTATGGTGTAGCGTCCAGCCCAGGTATTTTCCAGAGAACACTTGAAAATGTTGTTCAAGGTATCTCAAATGTTTTGGTTCGAGTAGATGATATACTGATAACGGGTAAAACAATGGAGGAACATCTAAGTACTCTTTCTGAGGTTTTGTCTAGATTCAAGAGAATAGGAATTCGGTTAAAGAGACAAAAGTGTGTGTTTATGGCCGAAGAAGTTGTTTATTTGGGATTTAAAATAAACAAACACGGAATCTATCCAGTGGAGAGTAAAGTTGAGGCGATAGATAAAGCCCCAAGTCCGACAAACGTGGCAGAATTGAAAGCTTATCTGGGAATGCTGAACTATTACAATAGATTTTTATCAAATTTAAAGATTGCCAATGAGACAACTAGACCAAATGTTTGCCTTATATCTTGACTTACATCTAGAAATTGACATTACGACAAAAGAGATGATTTCAGCTTCCCCATTGTGAACTTTCCATTTCTATGTAGTATCATTCCAGTAGTGCATGCATATGGAGTATATATCTCGCAGTTGATACGATATTCCAGAGCTTGCATTTCCTACCATGAAATTACTTGATAGAGTGCTGCTGCTTACAAGGAAGCTCTTAAAACAAGATTTCCAAGTAGTGAAGTCGAAAATTTAATGGAGCCATCACGATTTGTCTGACCGTCATGTAATATATTTTTCCCAGATGACGACGGATATATTCAAAATGATTTTTTATCCTCAATCCCATCCTCTTTTCCTCTAATGTGGCCTGCTGAATGAGACTTACCACCTGATATGTACTTACATGAACACACCACGGGTGCCACATGTGGAGCATAATCAGCACACCCTTCCGAAACACATGAGACCACCCCCGTTTTTTGGTGGGGTTCGTGATGCTCAGTCTTTAGTTTTCATATGTTTTGTTTCAAATTTGTATAGTAATATGTAGGAAATTTAGCTATCTTTGTTTTTTAGCAAGAAAGTTAGTTCCGTGGTCCCAATTTTCTATGTTTATTTACAGCAATCACATTATAAGAGTTTTCTTCTCATATTTTATTTTAAAATTCTAACGTTAAAGATCTTTCTAGTCACTAAAAAATGTTTTCCGTGCATAATCTCCTTTGTTTTTATTTTCTAAACAACTTATATCATGTATATATATATACATTAGCATCGTTTGACAAAATGAAAAATACCGTATGACGACTTTTAAATCAACACCATGATCGTTTGGGGAAAAAATTAAGGCTTATCGATATTAGATTGATTGATTGATTGGTGTTTAACGCCAATTTCGTGGAGGTAAGTTTTTATTGGTGGAGGAAGTCGGAGTGCACGGAGATCGAGAACCACTGACCTTCGATAATAAAATGACAATCCTAGTCAATAATGTTTGGAGTCTAGCGGGATTCGACATCACAACCGTTCAGTGTTGAAAGGCTAGTGATACAGTAGAATAACTACTTAGACAACTAGACCACCGCGACCCTTCCGATATTATAGGACGACCAATTAATTTTGGAAGCGGGTGCACGTTGCAGGTGGCAAGAGGAGTTTGAAAATATTGAATATTCTGCAACATAAAATGCAGGAAACAATTTTGTAAACAAGTGAAAATAAAAAAGCATGTGAAGCAAAGATGAAGCACATAGTAACCAGCCATATCATGTGCCATGCAGATAAAAACAACATCCTGCATGACCTTCAACATGGATTTCGGAAGAAACTATCATGTGAAACCCAGCTGATAGAATTCATCGACGACATCACCAAAAACCTTGATAGTGGCCAACAAACAGACTGCCTAATCATGGACTTTTCGAAGGCATTTGACAAGGTCGACCATAGTCTACTAACCCACAAACTTCAACCGTGACTATGGAATAAGAGGAAAAACAAACGACTGGATTAAAAGCTTCCTATCTGAGAGAACCCAAAGAGTACTAATAGAAGGGGAAACATTGATGTTGACTCCATTGATGTAGAGTCTGGGGTACCACAAGGATCTGTGCTAGGACCCAGCCTCTTCCTCTTCTATATAAACGACATGCCAGAAAATATTAAATCAACTGTGAGGCTATTTGCAGATGACACCATTGCATACATCACAGTAACATCAGATGATAATACCCTCCAGGAAGATTTAGACAAGTTGGCTGTCTGGGAAGAAAAATGGATGATGCAATTCCATCCAGATAAATGTCAGGTATTATCAGTAACAAAGAACAGAACACCTATTATAAAGGATTACCGTTTACATAGCCACACTTTGGAGCACATAACATTTGCAAAATACTTAGGAGTAACTATAACATCAGACCTTAAATGGGAAAAACATATCGGAAACATCTGTGCCAAGGCAAATAAAACCATCGGATTTCTCAAAAGAAATCTCAATATCTCAAACAGCGATATCAAAGAAAAGGCCTACATCTCCCTCGTTAGACCAACAGTCGAGTATGCCAGCTCTCTATGGGATCCATACCTCCAAAAAGATAAACACAAGTTAGAAATGGTACAAAGGAGATCTGCCAGATATGTAACAAACCGGTACAGTAACAGATCATCCGTTACTGATATGTTGGAACAACTAATGTGGACACCACTTGAAGATAGAAGGAGAAGCGCACGACTATCAATGCTGTATAAGATCAACAATCAGGAGGTCAACGTTGCAGCAAGCCACAAACTCGTTCCACCGGACAGGATCTCAAGAAATATGGGCACAAACTCTTTTCAGATCCCACAATGTAACACGACAACAAGGAAAGAGTCATTCTACCCGAGGACCATCAGGAATTGGAATGCCTTACCCTCATCAGTTACAAGTACATCTGTCAGCAGCCTTGAATCGTTCAAGAGGCTCCTGACAAACAAATCAATCAAAAGCCCTTGTTTTTAATCCCCACTTAATATTATGGTTAAATATTTGTATAGCTCCTTTTTTTGTTTGTTACTTTAATCAAAATTATATTTGCGCACACCCAAAAGTGACAGAATAGTCAACATGATGACGGTGGTCACTAACCGGTAGAAGTAGAAGTAGAAATCCTTAAAAATCAGCAGCACTTGCTTTATTTATTGTAAGTCTTAGGCCTACTGTGCTCTAGCGCTTTGATTTTTTCTATTAAAAGTCATAATCTATTGCGCGCTTAAAATAAATGAAACAAAATGATGAATTACAAGAAAAATATTGACACTGATCAAGAAATTTGCAAAATGGCAGGAAGACGCGTGATGACCGAGGATCTTAAAAATGTTGAATTTGAAACTAGTGAAGAGGTTGATGTTACACCAACGTTTGATAACATGGGCCTGAGAGAAGAACTACTTCGAGGAATATATGCTTACGGTATATACATGACTTTATTACAGTATACTATAAACGTAAAATTATGTATTTGTGTCGTTCAGTCATCTTGGGTTAATCGTTTCTTTGGCCCTTAAGTTCATGCATTTTGTTGACTATAGGTTCCAATAAACCAAAAACATAAGGTATATGAGACAAGTCTCAATTTTAGAGAGGATCACGTCAGTAATTATCTACTAATATGAGTCGTGCGTTGCCTGTGAGTTAGTCCAAATAAGACGTCAAACGGTCATTTTCGGCTACCGTTAGCATCAAATTGGTTAAAATTTTACAGTGTCAAAATATCCTAATTGTGATTCATCAGAGGTCTCAAATAATTATCGTTATTGGAAAAAAATTAACGTGATTTGTCAAAATCAGTCGATCTTTTTATCGTCTTAAGGTTCATCATAACAAATGGACAAAAATGGCTGTGTAGACCTCAAAAACTACTCTGAGTACAGACTAACCTGTGCAGTTTGGAAAGTTTTAAGTCCTGGTATCCACTAGATATATAAAAGTTAAATGCATTTTGTGTTTCAGAAAGATAAAATATTTTTTGGATTTTGATGGGCATTTTTTTTCATTCCTGCAAACCTTAAACAGTGTTCCAGCTTGAATCTTAGGGCAGAAGGGTGCTAGTTGTCTGAAAGGGCACTTTAGCGTTTTAACCCAGATTTTAAGGGCAATGTTGGACAGTGTATAAATTACCTTGAATATTGCTAGGCTCAGCTGGAGAACATTAGTTGTATTTAAACCATATTTAGAAATTAATGTGTTCTTGATGTTGGTTCCAGAAAGAATTTTTTTTATCAAATTATCATACCATGAAGCAAAGCATATCATTTTGATGTTATTCTAAACAAACTTGTACATTTGGTAAGGAAAATAATCATCAGAAATTTCAATATTTATAACTTATACCAAAATAAACAAGTAGTTTTGAAAGATGGAGTTATACATGCAAAATTGAATGTTTAATGTAATTAAATAATCTACATTTAAATTACTTGTTCAAACATATAGTATATATGTTATTGAGAGTTATTTATTATCATTTGAATTGTAACAAAAAAGTATTTTTAAGTGCACACCAAAGTGCTCCTCAGTAAGGAGTTTTATAAATATGACAGGTGAGACAGGAGATGATCATATTATATTGATGCAATAATATATTGCAGAAGGTATAAACAGTTACTTTTTTCTCCATCATTGTTAAAAATAAATTTGTTGAGTGCTCATATGTCAGGAGGATTATAAAATACAAGAAGTAAAACAGGAAGTGAATCTTGTTATGTTCAAAGTACAAATTTCTTTGATTCTTCTTTAAATTTCATACTCATGGTTATGAAACAAAACATTTTTTTTACCAATTAAGTCAAAACTATGTATGCCTTTAAAATTGTTTAAGATTTTATTTTTTATTTTATGCCTACTGAAATAAATTTTTTATGGTGTACATGCTGTAAATAAACATTACAAAATGGATAACATGTGGACATTTCATTCTGTATTAAATATCTAGTATTTGTTCAATTATCTTAAATCCACTAATTAGCAGTAAACAGTCATTAACAAAGGTGATAAAACTGCCAAAGCATTAGGTATTTAACTTAATCCCATTGTCAGTTAATTAGTGTTACACAATCAGGTAACAATTTTACCGGAAACGCCGGTAGGCATGAAATTTGGAAATTTTATTTTTTTGAAAAGGAAGAGGGGGGCATTCTTTTACTTTGGAGGGCAGAAGGGCGGGGGTAAGGGCACCAAGGGCGGGCCGCCCTTCTATTTAGGGCAGGCGGGAACACTGTTAAAGAAAGTGTACATTTTATCGTTATGCACCAAAAATTACAGTTAAGGTCATTTGGCCAATTTTTTTTACCGTTATTCGTCATGAAGGTACCCCCATTAAGACCCTCAAATAATTATGACATCTTGAAAGGATTTATATTTTTTTGCTTTGATGCCTTACAGTGACGTCATAAATCTAAAGACATTTTTTTTGGTTGGATTTTGAGAGAGAATTTTGCTCTCAACTTTGAGACCCAATTAAGCCATAAAATTTTCATTGAAGGCTAGAAATTTTTGCTCTCAACTTTGAGACCCAATTTAGCCATAAAATTTTCATTGAAGGCTAGAAATTTTTGCATATATACAAATTCTTACCTTTTATGTGTTTGATTGCACAAAATATTCTCAATAATTCCCTAAAGAAATGATAAAATAAGTTACAATTCCATCCAAGGCGGACGATTATCTACTGCTCTTTTAAAAACATTTATCTGATTTATTTTTAGGAGAGAATGAAATGAATGTTTGCACCAAACTCAGTAAAATTTGACAGACCCGAGTTTCCGGAATGTTTATTTTATATTTTGTAAATTTTACCGAGTTTGGTGCAAAAGTATATTTTATACTCCTAAAGTACAGCATCTAAAGGAGAAATCAGCTAAACATTTTAATAAAGCAGTAAATTCTCTCTCAAAGTCCAACTGAAAATATGAGTTCGGCGTTATATCTTATGACGTCGCTGTAAGGTGTCAAAGCAAAAAAATATAAAAGCCTTTCAAGATGTCATAATTTTTTGGACTACCTGTGAGTGTGAAAGAGTACTAAGTCCATAAATTCATAATACAATTTTTATTTTCATTGTATTGTTGTCATTATTCATTTTTGGTAATCAGATATACAAAGTTTTGGGAAATCGCATGACTTTCAACATTGCAGCATTTAAAAACAAGATTAGGAACAGGGTAATGCGCAAGAGCAGCTGATAGTAAAAAAAGTTTTCCCCATTTATGATTATGAAGCAGGTATTACCTGTGATAGAAGAAGTGTCTGTTAGCTAGCTATAGTCATGACTAGTAAAACAATTTTGACAACTCTTAAAGGACTGAACAAAATAAATGATTGAGTCAAGCATGTCGAGTACGGTCTTTCAGTCAATTTCAGACTTAATCACTGCAGTAAATTCAATACTGTTCAGATGATTTGCTTACAGTCAATGAAGATCTGTTCAGTAGTTGATATTTACCTGTACACAGCTTTTCTCATCACTTGGCGTCCGTTGTCGTTAGCTTTTTACAAAAATCTTCTCCTCTGAAACCACTGGGCCAAATTTAACCAAACTTGTCCACAATCATCATTAGGGTATCTAGTTTAAAAAATGTGTCCGATGACCACGCCAACCAACCAAGATGGTCGCCATGGCTAAAAATAGAACATAGGGGTAAAATGTAGATTTTGGCTTATATCTCTGAAACCAAAGCATTTAGAGTAAATCTGAAATAGGGTAAAACTGATTATCAGGTCAAGATCTATCTGCCCTGAAATTTTTAGACAAATCTGACAACCTGTTGTTGGGTTGCTGCCCCTGAATTGGTAATTTTAAGGAAATTTTGCAGTTTTTATACGACCGCAAAAAAATTTTGTGGTCGTATATTGGTATGACGTTGGCGTCGTCGTCGTCCGAATACATATTGGTTTTCGCACTCTAACTTTAGTTTAAGTGAATGGATCTTTTTGAAATTTGACCATAAGGTTAAATACCACAAAAAGAAGGTTGGGATTGATTTTGGGGGTTATGGTACCAACAGTTAAGGAATTAGGGGCCAAAAAGGGGCCAAAAATGAGCATTTTCTAGTTTCCAGACAATAACTGTGGAACGGTGTATGGATCTCTCTGAAATTATACTACAAGTTTCCATACCACAAAGGGATGGTTAGGATTTGCTTTGGGGGGTTATGGCTCAAACCGTTTAGGAATTAGGGGCAAAAAAGGGGGAAAAACAAGGTTGTCCTGGTTAATGGACAAATACTTTAGTACAAAACATAATTTAAAGCAGTGTAAGGGAGATAAATCAAATACATCATTGAAATTATCTCCCTTACACTGCTTTTAAATTATGTATAAAGTAATGGTTAATGAACAATAAAGATAATCTAAAACAGTGTAAGGGAGGTAATCCAAATACAACGTTTTGGTTACTTCCCTTACACTGCTTTTAAATTATGTTTAAAGAAATGCATATTTATAAAGGAAGACCAGTAAAAATATCTGCAAATGTTTTCATCTTTTTTTTTTTACAAAAAAATCCATATGAAAGATTTGACACTATATTTTTATTAATTCTATTATAAAATAGATTAAGTTAGCACTATGGTAAATTTAAATGGGTAATTATGGTTGCCAACTCCATTGGAAATTTGAATTGAGATTATGACCATATCTTGAGGGAAAGAATTTTTTTTGGGGAAAAAGGGGGGGGGGGGGGATAAAAAGAAATTGTGGGGGGCCAATTTTTTCTCATCCGAATCTAACAGTGTATTTAGATTTTTAATTTTGGGTCCAGTTTTCAAATTGGTCTACATTAATGTCCAAAGGGTCCAAAATTAAACTTTGTTTGATTTTAGCAAAAATTGAATATATGAGGTTCTTTGATATGCTGAATCTAAACATGTATTTAGATTTTTGATTTTTGGCCCAGTTTTCAAGTTGGTCCAAATTGGGGTCCAAAATTAAACTTTGTTTGATTTCAACAAAAATTGAATATATGGGGTTCTTTGATATGCTGAATCTAACCATGTATTTAGATTTTTTATTTGTGGACCCCGTTATCTAATTGGTTCATATTGAGGTCAAAAGGGTCCAAAATTAAACTTTGTTTGATTTCATCTAAAATTGAATTATTGGGGTTCTTTGATATTCCAAATCTAACCGTGTATTTAGGTTTTTAATTTTGGGTCCTGTTTTTTAAATTGGTCTACATTGAGGTCCAAAGAGTCCAAAATTAAACTTAGTTTGATTTTAACAAAAATTGAATTCTTGGGGTTTTTTGATTTGCTGAATCTAAACATGTGTTTAGATTTTTGATTATGGGCCCAGTTTTCAAGTTGGTCCAAGATAGGGTCCAGTAATTAAACTTTGTTTGATTTCAACAAAAATTGAATATATGGGGTTCTTTGATATGCTGAATCTAAACATGTATTTAGATTTTTGATTATGGGCCCAGTTTTCAAGTTGGTCCAAATTGGGGTCCAAAATTAAACTTTGTTTGAATTCAACAAAAATTGAATATATGAGGTTCTTTGATATGCTGAATCTAACCATGTATTTAGATTTTTTATTTGTAGGCCCCGCTATCAAATTGGTTCATATTGAGGTCAAAAGGGTCCAAAATTAAACTTTGTTTGATTTCATCAAAAATTGAATTATTGGGGTTCTTTGATATGCCAAATCTAACCATGTTTTTAGATTTTTAATTTGGGTCCTGTTTTTTAAATTGGTCTACATTAATGTCCAAAGGGTCCAAAATTAAACTTTGTTTGATTTTAGCAAAAATTGAATATATGAGGTTCTTTGATATGCTGAATCTAAACATGTATTTAGATTTTTGATTTTTGGCCCAGTTTTCAAGTTGGTCCAAATTGGGGTCCAAAATTAAACTTTGTTTGATTTCAACAAAAATTGAATTCTTGGGGTTCTTTGATATGCTGAATCTACACATGTGTTTAGATTTTTGATTATGGGCCCAGTTTTCAAGTTGGTCCAAGTTGGGGTCCAAAATTAAACTTTTTTTGATTTCAACAAAAATTGAATATATGGGGTTCTTTGATATGCTGAATCTAACCATGAATTTAGATTTTTTATTTGTGGGCCCCGCTATCAAATTGGTTCATATTGAGGTCAAAAGGGTCCAAAATTAAACTTTGTTTTATTTCATCAAAAATTGAATTATTGGGGTTCTTTGATATTCCAAATCTAACCGTGTATTTAGATTTTTAATTTTAAGTCCCGTTTTTTAAATTGGTCTACATTAAGGTCCAAAGGGTCCAAAATTAAACTTAGTTTGATTTTAGCAAAAATTGAATTCTTGGGGTTCTTTGATATGCTGAATCTAAACATGTGTTTAGATTTTTGATTATGGGCCCAGTTTTCAAGTTTGTCCAAGTTGGGGTCCAAAATTAAACTTTGTTTGATTTTAACAAAAATTGAATATATGGGGTTCTTTGATATGCTGAATCTAACCATGTATTTTGATTTTGGACATTGGACCATAATAGGTAAATTAAAAAAATTCAAGTTCTTAGACCACATTCTTTCTGTGTCAGAAACCTATGCTGTGTCAAATATTTAATAACAATCCAAATTCAGAGCTGTATCAAGCTTGAATGTTGTGTCCATACTTGCCCCAACTGTTCAGGGTTCGACCTCTACGGTCGTATCAAGCTGCGCCCCAGCGAAGCATTTTATTGGTTATTATCTTGAATATTATTATAGATAGAGATTACTGTAAACAGCAATAATGTTCAGCAAAGTAAGATCTACAAATAAGTTGTCTTGACCAAAATTGTCAGTCGACCCCTTTAGGAGTTATTGCCCTTAATAGTCAATTTTTAACAATTTTTTGTAATCTTTTACAAAAATCTTCTTCCCTGAAACTACTGAGACAAATTTAACCATACTTGGCCATAATCATTTAAGGGTATCTAGTTTAAAAATTTGTGCGATGACCCCGCCTTCCAACCATCATGGCCGACTTGGTAAAAAATAGAACATATTGGTAAAATGCAGTTTTTGGTTTATATCTCTGAAACTAAAGCATTTAGAGCAAATCTGACAGGTGGCAAAAATGTTCATCAGATTTAGATTTATCTGCCCTGAAATTTTCAGACGAATCCAACAACCCGTTGCTGCCCCTGATTTAGTAATTTTACAAAAATTTTGCAGTTTTTGTTATTATCTTAGATATCATTATAATATCTAACATGTGTTTAATATCTAATACTATTAATTATGATTTTAACCTTATTTTACATGATTTCCAAATACAGGTGAGCAACACAGGCTCTTGAGAGCCTCTAGTTTGGTATGCAAGTACCCTTTTCTTATAGTTTACCTCTAATTTATCATTACTTTTGTAGCTCATGTTCTAAATATGTTGTTGTAGTTTTAGAAGATAAGTTTGACTAAGTTGAAGTGAAATTTTTTTCAAAATATACATGTAGTATATAAAATTATTTCAGAATGTTTAAAATATTTTGTATGCATGTATCATATGTAACTTATCAATTTAGTTGTTTTAGCATAAAAGAGGAACCACACACACATTCACTAACAATGACTAATTAAACTTGTATCTACATAAATTCAGAACTTTCAGGAATTCAATGAATTCTAACCTTGGGTAAAATGATGAGGATCAATAGCTACATATATATGATTGTAACAGAAAGAAATTTTGTATATTTAGGACATGTAATGTACATTCCAGAGCAGAAATTCATATCAAAACTTTATTTTTCATGATATTATATTTGTAGGATTTGAGAAACCATCAGCTATTCAACAAAGAGCTGTCAAACCTATTGTTAAAGGAAGAGATGTTATTGCACAGTAAGTCAGACTAACTGAATTCTTTGGTATACACCCTATACTTAGATATAAGAAGATGTGGTATAAGTATCAATGAGACAACTCTCCATCCAAGTCACAATTTGTAAAAGTAAACCATTATAGGTCAAAGTACGGCCTTCAACACAGAGCCTTGGCTCACACTGAACAGCAAGCTATAAAGGGCCCCAAAAATGACTAGTGTAAAACCATTCAAACAGGAAAACCAACGGTCTAATCTATATAAAAAACAAGAAACGAGAAACACTTATGAACCACATCAACAAACGACAACCACTGAACATCAGGTTCCTGACTTAGGACAGGTGCAAACAGATGCAGTGGGTTTAAACATTTTAATAGGCGCCAACCTTCACCCTACCTGAAACAATAGTGTAACATCACAACATAGAAAGACACACTATAAAATATCAATTTAAATGGCTTAACTCAATCAAAAGACATATTAGTACCAGGAGCTTTCAGGGCAATTCTTCTATACATTTTGTAATTTACTTTACATTTTCAAAATTAAGAAATAAGTGAATTGGATCTTATCTTATTTTACTTCGTAAAAATAAAAAAATCTGTATGGTTATTAAATAAAATGTACTAATTATCAGATACTTCTTAAAAAATAAAATATCTGTATTGTTATTAAATAAAATGTATCTATTATCAGATAGATGTAAGATTTTTTTTAAGAACATGTTATGTTGGTTTAACTAAATTATTTGATTTGCTTAAATTTCAGTTTTTTTTAATACACATGTATATATGCATTCTGGATTCTCACTAACACAAGTCTAAGTGTCCACAAAAGAAAAGACTGGGCTCATCATTTTCTGAACTGATGACTACAAAGATGCATTGAAATTATTATCAGCTGAATCAATTAAATTTACTAACATTTAATTTCAAAAGTTTTAACCAAAAAGTGAATCTAAATATGACTCTTGTCATGTTGGTTTGTATTAAAAAGTCTTAAAGAATGAAAAAAAATGGATATGGTTTCTCTAAGAATTTCTGACTATCCTTGTCCAAAAAATGTTGAGTACATGGTGCATTCTACATTTATAAGATAAACATTTTTTTTTTCTAGAGCTCAGTCTGGAACAGGAAAGACAGCAACATTTTCCATATCCATTCTACAATGTCTGGACACACAAGTTAGAGAAACACAAGCATTAATATTATCTCCTACCAGAGAACTTGCTACACAAATACAGAAGGTAGCCTTGTCAGTTAAGTTTTAAATGATGAGTGTTAATATGATATTGGTATTTGATATTAAAATATATGCAAAATATATGTGTAATTGGTATTACACTTTTAGTTTTTATTGGGGAAATATTTTTCTTCAAGTTCAAAATATATGAGTGTTTCAAATTCATAGCATAATATATTTTTTGCATTAATGAATTTAATATGTCAGTTTTCATTATAGGCCAAGCAACAATTTTGATTGAATTCAATTTTGTATATTGACAGAAGGACATTTTTGCTTAAAAGTAATGTAATCTTACACTGTTGTTTTTCTTTTTTGCCATGGTGTTATCAGTTTCTTTTCTACTAATGAGTTTTGAATGTCTCTACGGTATTTTTCTCGTCTTATTTAAAACTGGTTATTCATGATCATGTCTTAATTCTTAGTCCCGTACCGTCGACCGTCGAAAGGGGACTTTAGGTTTGCACTCCGATCAAGTTCGAATTTTGTTCCGGTCTGATGATTTTGTGCAGAGTTATGGTCCTTGGACTTAAAAAATTCACTCAAATAATCAGTTTTCCGCACTTTTTTTCGTCATGCTTGAAGATATTGATTTGATAATTGGTATATAGTTTTATCATGACAAGTTACAGACCAAGTTTGAATTTTGTTTCGATTTGATGATTTTTTGCAGAGTTATGGTCATGACAAGTTATAGATCAAGTTAGCATTTTGTTCCAGTACAATTAATTTTTGACCGGTAGGGGACTATGTATTGCCATGCAATACTCTCAGATTGCTTGTTTTTCTAATGTAAGAAATTATTTGAAACTTGAAGAAGATACAATGTATGACTTGACACATCATGTTTATTTCAGGTTATTCTAGCTTTGGGGGATTACATGAATGTACAATGCCATTCCTGTATTGGAGGAACAAACATTGGCGAAGACATCAGAAAACTGGATTATGGTCAACATGTGGTATCAGGAACACCAGGCAGAGTATTTGGTAACATTTAACATTGATTTTTTATACTACGCTCCAAAGGAGAGGAGAATACTAATTTTCCTCTGTATATCTGTCTGTAACAAGTTTCGTGTTATTTTTCTCTGCAATTACAAGTCATATCTTTTGATACAGTATATGGCACCAAACATCTGGTTTTGCCCAGCATAAATCTTGACACATACTTTTCATTGAGCATGTTGCTTTTGAAAAAAAATTCTGATTACTAATTTAGTATACACATTACCTCTCTTCCATGATGGTTGAGTAATTTCAGCTGGTGACTTTTTAATCTTATATTTTCGATTTGAAAATATTGTAAATGAAAAAAAGTTACAATTGCGCATTTTGTTTAACTGTCTATGTGTCTGCTTCTCTGTGCTATCTATGAGTTTAAAGTTTTGGTATACAGTAGATAACACTGAAGTTGTGGTCATATTAATAAAACTTGAAACTTTGTACACAAATTCAACTTTAATTTTTTTTTTTAATGTTTGCTAAATAAGGAGTTTGCACCAAGATTTTGTGGATCGCTGAATCTGGAAATGTGATAGTGTGATTGGGGAATTGTGTATTATGGACACCAATTCTTCTTTTATTTGTTTGCGTTATTCCTTTAATCATGTTATTTTTATACGACCGCAAAAAAATTTTGTGGTCGTATATTGGTATGACGTTGGCGGCGTCGTCGTCGTCCGAAGACACATTGGTTTTCGCACTCTAACTTTAGTTTAAGTAAATGGATCTTTTTGAAATTTGACCATAAGGTTAAATACCACAAAAGAATGGTTGGGATTGATTTTGGGGGTTATGGTACCAACAGTTAAGGAATTAGGGGCCAAAAATAAGCATTTTCTAGTTTCCAGACAATAACTGTGGAACGGTGTATGGATCTCTCTGAAATTATACTACAAGTTTCCATACCACAAAGGGATGGTTAGGATTTGCTTTGGGGGGTTATGGCTCAAACAGTTTAGGAATTAGGGGGAAAAACAAGGTTGTCCTGGGTAATGGACAAATACTTTAGTACAAAACATAATTTAAAGCAGTGTAAGGGAGATAAATCAAATACATCATTGAAATTTTCTCCCGTACACTGCTTTTAAATTATGTATAAAGTAATGGTTAATGAACAATAAAGATAATTTAAAACAGTGTAAGGGAGGTAATACAAATACAACGTTTTGGTAACTTCCCTTACACTGCTTTTAAATTATGTTTAAAGAAATGCATATTTATAAAGGAAGACCAGTAAAAATATCTGCAAATGTTGCATCTTTTTTTTTACAAAAAAATCCATATGAAAGATTTGACACTATATTTTTAATTCTATTTTAAAATAGATTAAGTTAGCACTATGGTAAATTTAAATGGGTAATTATGGTTGCCAACTCCATTGGAAATTTGAATTGAGATTATGACCATATCTTGAGGGAAAGAATTTTTGGGGGGAAAAAGGGGGGGGGGGGGGGGGGGGTAAAAAGAAATTGTGGGGGGTCAATTTTTTCTCATTTCAGATTTCAGAAATTAAAAAAATTATTCTTCAAATATTATTTTTTTTTTCAAATTTCAAATATTGAAAAATTTCAAGAAGAAATCTTTAATTGCACAGTATGGCGCATTAGAGTTGTAAATCTTTGATCACATTTATTTATTTGTTATGCCGAATCCAACAGTGTATTTAGATTTTTAATTTTGGGTCCAGTTTTCAAATATATGGGGTTCCTTGATATGCTGAATCTAACCATGTATTTAGATTTTTTATTTGTGGACCCCGTTATCAAATTGGTTCATATTGAGGTCAAAAGGGTCCAAATTTAACTTTGTTTGATTTCATCTAAAATTGAATTCTTGGGGTTCTTTGATATGCTGAATCTAAACATATGTTTAGATTTTTGATTATGGGCCCAGTTTTCAAGTTGGTCCAAGATAGGGTCCAGTATTTAAACTTTGTTTGATTTCAACAAAAATTGAATATATGGGGTTCTTTGATATGCTGAATCTAAACATGTATTTAGATTTTTGATTATGGGCCCAGTTTTCAAGTTGGTCCAAATTGGGGTCCAAAATTAAACTTTGTTTGATTTCAACAAAAATTGAATATACGAGGTTCTTTGATATGCTGAATCTAACCATGTATTTAGATTTTTAAAGGCAGTGCTTTAATGCCTTTCTAGTTGCCGGGTTAATCCTTCCTTCCGCGATATCCAACTTATCTCCGTGGGGGGTCATTAGACACCAAGTAGATCCGGAAATGTTGAATTCTCTCCTCTTCTTATTGCGATATAAAATGTTTTTTGTTTCATTTCATTTACATTGGGAAATAGAGAAACGATCATTGTGTTTAGTTAGTTTTAAAAACTTTTGATATATTAGTATTTTGCATTATAAGCAGTCAACCGATTGACAAACTAGAATTATTTGAATTCCGTGTGGAAAGAGCTCGGGTTAATTTCGAGTGTTATCTGCAATCTAGATGTTTATAAATCATTTCAGTCGTTGATATAATAATTAAAGGTCGACTGAACATGAATTATATTATACAATTAAAAGCGCATTTCTGTTTATGCACGTGAACCCGTCTAACGTTATTTTCGCAGTTATATAAAGTAGCAAATTATCGTTCCTGAATATGTGGCGCCGTGGTAGCGGATCCTGTTCCTCTACTTCCGGTTTCTGCACTGTGCAACTATTTCAGTTATATTTTTAATTAACGATGATAAGTACTTGTTGTTGTGTACCTGGATGTCATTTAAGAGGAGGACATGCATTTCCAAATGACTTAAAAAGAAGGAAAAGTTGGATCAACGCCATGGCCCATACGCAGATTGGACGAGAACACGATGATATCGTGGAGTCCATCTCAATCAGCTGTTGTTTGCAAGGCACGTTTTACTGAAAAAGACTACGTGCAGGAAACTATTCATGGTAAAACTCTATTTTCTTTGTGAAATATATAGTTATATATGTAATCGCCATGCGAATAAACCAAAGTCTGTTTACAACCGCAATTATCGTTTTAGAATAAAAGGGGGTGGGTAATTCAAGACGTCATAATTTTTTGAATTACGATTCAATGTGATCTGTTTGAGATTTTTTGGTGATTGCTACAATTATAATGATTTCTTACAAGAGGTATATCATACTGAGAATTATTTTAGCAGTAATTATGCTAATGTAGTAATGACAGGAATGCATAAGCTATGCCTCATAGACTTTCTTGAAAAATATCAATGACAATGTTAACAGGAACAAAACAATGACATGCTCTCATCTATATTATAGTTATTTAGGTACAAACAATGTACGTTTGTTGCATAAGTCTCTCATTGTTTGTCCTTTGGATTTACATAACATACATTGAATCAGGCAAACATAGTTTTATCCAGATTGTAATGAATAAATCTAGTTAATATTTCGCCAGGTAGTACAAAGTATACATTGCTAATGGAAGTTCATTTAATTATAAAAAAACTAATGTTTTATAACCTTTTTCAGGGCGCAAACCCACCATACAGAGACTTAAGTCTACTGCAATTCCCAGCCTATTTTCCTGGACCAAGCAAGAGACTGAATCGTCCGCAAAAAGAAAAATCAGGGCAGTTTCCTGTGAAAACAAAAGAAATAAACTTGATGAATATTGTAGTAGAAATCTAGAGGAAAGTTTTGATTGTAAAGTTGGTTTTCCTGAAGGAGTCATTCATACTGCAGAAAGGATTTATGACTGTCCACCACCAACTGCCGAGCTAATGTTGAGCTTCACAGATGGAATTACGCAAACACCATCAATGCCTATGTTTTCAGCAGAGAATTTTGAAATGAAGATACGTGACACAGCCATGCATTTTTATACCGGTTTAGAGTTGTATACTAAATTTTTATTTGTTTTGACCACACTTGGACCAGCAGCACATTGTTTGAGATACATATATTTTCAAATTGATAGGGTGTCAGTTGAAAATCAGTTTTTTTATGACTTTGATGAAATTGAGGCATCATACAACCAACTTTGAACTGTCTAGATTCTAGATTGAATCTAGTTTTAAGAATATTGTGTATACATGGATTGTTTTTATGTCTAAACAGTGGTGTGAGGCTAACACTTGGCCATCTAGTGGTTTAGTCAGGTATTTTTCACCATCCAACTTCAAATTAAAGTTTCCTACGACTTGGATTATTATTGACAGCACAGAATATCCTGTGATAAAACCTAAAGCTCCTAGAGCTCAGGCAACCTTTTCATCAAATAAAAACAGAAACACTGAAAATTCTTGAATGTTCGACACCTGGTGGTTTAGTCAACTATGTCTCTATGTCACATAGAGCGAATTATTGGACTTGGCAAAACATACAAAATTCTAATAAATCCTATGAATGGAACTGAATCAAACTTTCATCTGAAATAACATTTAGTTGTTTTATGTTGTGTAATTTTAGAACTTGTATTGTGCCAAAGGATGCATAAATAAAAGTGACGCAATGAATTTTGTTCTGATATATATATATTTACAATTACATGCACATGTAAATTGTAATGCATATAAAAATAAGGAGATGTGGTATGATATTCAGTGAGTTTATCAAACTAAAGTGCATAAGAAATGGGTTTAAGCAGTTACAGGTGTTACTGTCACCGTACAATCTCCAACAATGAGAAAAACTCGTACCCTGTAAAAAATTTCAGAGATCTTACAACTAAGTTTTGTTGTCTCACCTTGACTTTGGTGAATTTTTTATATCTGTTGATGTAAATATAAAAAAGAAGATGTGGTATGATTGCCAATGAGACAACTCTCCACACATGCACAAGAGACCAAATGACACAGAAATTAACAGCTATAGGTCACAGTACGGCCTTCAACAATGAGCAAAGCCCATACCGCACAGTCAGCTATCAAAGGCCCAGAAATGACAATGTAAAAGAATTCAAACAAGAAAACTAACGGCCTATTTTATGTACATGTAAAACAAATGAACAAATATAACAAATATGCAACACATAAACAAACGACAACCACTGAATTACACTTTTATAGGCTCCTGACTTGGGACAGGCACATACATGTACATACAGAATGTGGCGGGCTTAAACATGTTAGCGGGATCCCAACCCTCCCCTAACCTGGGACAGTGGTGTAACAGTACAATATAAGAAAGAACTATAAAAATCAGTTGAAAGAGGCTAAACTCATCAGATGGATAAATACAAATACAAGTGGACGTGGTCGGGTAGTTGTACATCCAAACAACAAAAAGACACTAAGTACAAATCTGAGAGTACTCTCAGTTACTGACAGCTAGTTCAAAGCCACTAACAACTGATAAAAAAATCTTGCATCTAAGACTAAATTATCAATCCGTAAGCTCCCTTTAGAATTTTATAAATTTTAGATTTTACATTTCTGAGTTATGGGGTTTTATTCATTAAAAAAGGGGGGATTTTCCAGTTTTTGGACAACAACTCAAAAATGCTTTAAGCAGTTCACATGAAACTTTGGTGAATTATTTATAGCTATTGATGTAATCTCCCTATTGATTTTCATAAATTTCAAATATGACATTGAGAAGAAATTGAACTTTATTTGTTTATAGTCTGGCAACAGATTTATTAAGTATTGCACAACAGCAAGAAATCTTTAATTGAATATAAATTCAATTCATATAACCGATTTCAAGTTCATTGACTACATTTATTCAGAAACTATAATATGTCAAATATTTAATTACATTCCAAATTCAGACCTGTATCAAGCTTGAATATTGTGTCCATTTTTGCCCCAGCTGTTCAGGGTAGTACCTCTGCGGGTGTATCCAGCTGCGCTCAGCGAATCAGTTTATTTCTTAATTAAGAACTTTTTATACGACCGCAAAAAAAATTTTGTGGTCGTATATTGGTATGACGTTGGCGTCGTCGTCGTCCGGCGTCGTCGTCCGAAGACACATTAGTTTTCGCACTCTAACTTTAGTTTAAGTGAATGGATCTCAATGAAATTTTAAAATAAGGTTCAATACCACAAAAGGAAAGTGGGGATTGATTTTGGGGGTTATGGTACCAACAGTTAAGGAATTAGGGGCCAAAAATAAGCATTTATGTAACTTCCAGACATAACTTGTGTGTAAGTGTATGGATCTCTCTGACATTGTACCACAAGGTTCCATATCACAAAGGGAATGCTGGGATTGATTTTTGGGGGTAATTGCCTCCAAATTTTAGGAAAAAGGGGCCAAAAAGGGGCAAAAAAGGGGCAAAAAACAAGCATTTTTCTAGTTTCATGGCAATAACTTGTGTGTAAGTGTATGGATCTTTATGAAATTGTACTACAAGGTTCCATATCATAAAGGGAAAGCTGGAATTGAGTTTGGGGGTAATTGCCCAAAAAGTTTAGGAATAAGGGGCCAAAAATAAGCATTTTTCTAGTTTCCAGACAATAACATGTGTTCAAGTGTATGGATCTCTCTGAAATTGTACTGCAAGGTACCATACCACAAAGGGAAGGCTGGGATTGAGTTTTGGGGTGATGAATCATAAGGGGGTTCAAAAAATTTGGGGGGGGGGGATTCTTTTTCCTTTTTTTTCTTTAAAATTTTCCATTTTAAATTTGTTATTTCTGATTTATATATAAAAGCAAATAATAATGATATGGTTTGAATAGGTAAATTAAATTTTTTTAAGTATCTTAGACCACTTTCATTCTGTATCAGAAACCTATTCTGTGTCAAATATTTAATTACAATCCAAATTCAGTGCTGAATCAAGCTTGAATGTTGTGTTCATACTTGCCCCAACTGTTCAGGGTTCGACCTCTGCGGTCGTATCAAGCTGCACCCCAGCGGAGCATTTTATTTCATTCATAAATTACTTTATGCTTGGAAATATAATTTTGCTTGGAGTTGACATGTTGCAATGTACATTTACTCTACATAGTTCTATGGTACCAAATCAAAAGTTTATATAAAGAAAGAAGTCAAAGGTTTCCCATCATAGTTTAGTTACATACATTTTTTTTGTACCTGAGGTCGTTGAATATAGATCATTATATAAATAAGGAGATGTGTTATGATTGCCAATGAAAAAACTAAGGATTTTCTTATCCAAGGAATAGATTACCTTAGCCATATTTGGCACAACTTTTTGGAATTTTGGGTCCTCAATGCTCTTCAACTTTGTACTTGTTTGGCTTTATTACTATTTTGATCTGAACGTCACTGATGAGTCTTATGTAGACGAAACACACGTCTGGCGTATTAAATTATAATCCTGGTACCTTTGATAACTAATTTGACTATAAACATAGATAAAAAAGGTACAAACTGGACATAATGCACTAGTTCATAAACAAGTGAGAACAATCGCCTTCATATAGTGCTCAGAATATGACATTCATAAAACTTATTCAATATCATTAGAGAACTCTAAATCTTAAATACTGAAAGCCACCTCTGATAAGTACACTGTACTATGCAAGATAATGATATAACTGGACTTAAAATACACACAACCTGTAATTAACTGCCTTTACAGCGCTTTCGTGCTTTGATTTATTTGTAGGCCCCGCTATCAAATTGGTTCATATTGAGGTCAAAAGGGTCCAAAATTAAACTTTGTTTGATTTCATCAAAAATTGAATTATTGGGGTTCTTTGATATGCCAAATCTAACCGTGTTTTTAGATTTTTAATTTGGGTCCCGTTTTTTAAATTGGTCTTCATTGAGGTCCAAAGGGTCCAAAATTAAACTTAGTTTGATTTTAACAAAAATTGAATTCTTGGGGTTCTTTGATATGCTGAATCTAAACATGTGTTTAGATTTTTGATTATGGGCCCAGTTTTCAAGTTGGACTAAGTTGGGGTCCAAAATTAAACTTTTTTTTATTTCAACAAAAATTGAATATATGGGGTACTTTGATATGCTGAATCTAACCATGAATTTAGATTTTTTATTTGTGGGCCCCGCTATCAAATTGTTTCATATTGAGGTCAAAAGGGTCCAAAATTAAACTTTGTTTGATTTCATCAAAAATTGAATTATTGGGGTTCTTTGATATTCCAAATCTAACCGTGTATTTAGATTTTTAATTTTAAGTCCCATTTTTTAAATTGGTCTACATTAAGGTCCAAAGGGTCCAAAATTAAACTTAGTTTGATTTTAGCAAAAATTGAATTCTTGGGGTTATTTGATATGCTGAATCTAAACATGTGTTTAGATTTTTGATTATGGGCCCAGTTTTCAAGTTTGTCCAAGTTGGGGTCCAAAATTAAACTTTGTTTGATTTTAACAAAAATTGAATATATGGGGTTCTTTGTAAGCTGAATCTAACCATGTATTTTGATTTTGGACATTGGACCATAATAGGTAAATTAAAAAAATTCAAGTTCTTAGACCACATTCTTTCTGTGTCAGAAACCTATGCTGTGTCAAATATTTAATAACAATCCAAATTCAGAGCTGTATCAAGCTTGAATGTTGTGTCCATACTTGCCCCAACTGTTCAGGGTTCGACCTCTGCGGTCGTATCAAGCTGCGCCCCAACGAAGCATTTTATTTGTAAATGAAAAAGTCTTCACATTTCATCCTGTGAGATAGTTTCAACATTTTACTTTTCACTACAGATATGATAAAAAGAAGAAATTTGAGAACAAGATCTATAAAGATGCTGGTGCTTGATGAAGCAGATGAGATGTTGAATAAAGGTAATAACAGATAATTAAGAGGCATTTTAAACATATTTCAGTTATAGACCCCTTTTGACACATATAAAACTTTTAGATATATAAAGAATGGGGTTTGGTATAGAGATAACTTATTCTAATAAATGGGAGTAAAAGAAGGTGTGTTGTTAAATTTGATGAAACAGCAACTCAGCAATGATAAAACCTTAAAAAGTCATCTAGAGGTGTGTCTTCTATGAACCATATGTAAAATTAATTATCTTACAGAGTCCAGACAAGTTGTCAATGATTTCATAAAATATTCCAAAAGATTAACCGTCAATAACATATGAGTTTTTTATGCCCCCGCCGTAGAGTAGGGGGCATTAAGTTTTACCCTTGTCCGTACTTACGTACGTCCCAAAGTTGGTTTCCGTTCTCAAACTTTAGTTTGCCTCAGCCAAATATTATGAAACTAATACAAAATGCTTATTACCACAAAACACAGATCAAGTTTGAATTTTTTTTTTTTTTAGATTATATTCAGACTTTTTCTCAAGTAAAGATATTAATGCAAATTTTCCTGTAAGTTTTAAGTATGATTTGGTATTTCATTGTAAGGAACATACAGTAAAGTTATATGAATGGAGGGAAAGTTTAAAGTGATACATTAGTAATCTATCAAGTCCCCAACATAAGCAATTGATTATGATTTGGGGTTATGTGTTTGATAATATTGATTAAGGTGAAACATTTATTATCACATGGTTGATGAAATAAATCTGCACAATTTAGACAGTTAGGTGGCTAGAAATTTCAAAAAGCACCCCTTGAATTAATTTTTTTTTCTATTGCAGCTTGATTCTCAAATTTAAGGCAATAGGCTATAAAATATCTGTTTTTGTCTTGTCTGCTTTTTTTACAAAGAGCAAGACATATCACTTTGTAAACAGTTTATTTGTACACTAGTATCACTTTCCATTGCTTATAATTGTATCATTATGTATATTTTCTTTTTCAGGCTTCAAAGAACAGATCTATGATGTATACAGATATTTGCCACCTGCCACACAAGTACTACTGATCTCAGCCACATTGCCACATGAGATTTTAGAAATGACCAGTAAATTTATGACAGAACCCATCCGTATCTTAGTCAAACGGTAAAAACTTGTTAGATATTTTTATCAACAAATGGGATTGATAAATGCGTAAAAGTTTTATCTATATTTTGTTTTATTATTATACCCCCGCTTTAAAAATGGGGGATATACTATTTTACCTCTGTCTGTCCATCCGTCAGTCCGTCCATCAGTCCGTCTGTCCATCCCATGATATACTTTTCGTCGCATCTTTCTCAGGAACTACATCATAAGGATTTCGGAAATTTGGTTTCAGGGTTTATATAAGTCAGCTATACCGTGTGATGCGTTTTCAGATTCATCACTCAACAACTTCCTGTTTACCGAACACTTGTATCATTTTACACATGATAGCCAAGTTGAAAAATTTACGTCACATTTTTCTCAAGAACTACAATACAAGAATTTCTGAAATTTGGTTTCAGGGTTTATATAAGTCAGCTACACCGTGTGATGCATTTTAGTTTCATGACTCAATAACTTCCTGTTTACCGAAATATTTGGGCGGGGATATCATCAGTGAGCAGTAGCTCACACTTTCACTTGTTTGTAAAGCATTGGAGATCCCTGTTTGTTTCAATTTCCTGTTTATTAGATTTTATTTAATTTCAGCATTAATGTCACATACATTCATAGCTTTCATGAAAGACATACATGTACATACCATACATATCTTACATCAATTATTATAGCATCAAAACTTGTTGAAAATAATCTTATACCCTTTGCCATCACATGAAAATATAATTTGTCTATTTTGCTGTATGTATGTTGAAAAATGTGTTCATTTTTATGAAGGGTATGGTTTAAATGTAAATGGGAAGAAGTGGAGAGTTTCAGATGAATGAATATTTTTAAGAATATGATACTTCTCCAAATTCACTTGCAATTTGAATATATTATAAAATATTTATAATATTACCTTCAAATATATGTGTAGCTAAATAAAAAAAAAAACTAATGAACTTTTGCTTAGCTTTGAATTAAAAAAAATCATATTATGGTAGTTTAACCTAAATTATCCACTGCAAGTTTACATCTGTTTTATTTCCAGTGATGAGTTGACTTTAGAAGGAATCAAACAGTTCTTTGTCGCAGTAGAGAGAGAAGAATGGAAGTTCGACACATTATGTGATTTGTACGATACATTAACCATCACACAAGCAGTCATATTCTGTAACACAAGGAGAAAAGTAAGTCTAGTATGTAGAACAGTAGAAAAATCAATGTTGGTGTGGTATTTTCAAGGAGAAAGGAACTGGTTTTTTTTCGAACACTAATCATTAGACAAGTTGTCATATGCGAACAATAATTTAAAAAGTACAGAGCTAGAGTGGAATACTGCATGTTTAGATCACACCTTATTTTTATAACCTCAGAACCACTCTTTCAAAAATTGCTGTATTTGGCTATAACAAGTCAATACATTTGGTGTGTAAACTTAACAAGTTGTCCAATTCTGTATTATTATTCTCTCAATGTTGGTTGACAATGTGCTGTATATACTTAGACTAGACAAAACTTATTACTCATTTATTAAGCCATGCAATTTTGCTTCTTAAATGACAATATTATTAGCTTGAATTCTGGAAAAATTCTAAAATTTTGCCATTTTAATCAATTTGGGTTCTCTGAAATTTCTGAAAATCCTTTGAAACCTCTAGAGATTTTTAAGGTTAAGCATTAATTTTGTTTTTCAAATCAGAGTTATTTCTCTTTCCTTTCATAACATAAAATTTTATGTGTTAAAATATTTTTTCAGTTAACAAGACAAAATAAACTCTCAAGTATTTTAAGTGTTTACAAAGTTATGTGTTGTTATGCTCGTACATAAAATGAAACAACTGAAACCTTATTACTGTCGAAATATATTCTAACAAAATAATTTTCGTTTTTAAGGAAAATTCAAATTTTTTATTTTGAATATATATACCATTGAAAATACATTTTCTTAAATTAACAGGGAAGTAAGAAAAAATATCTTTTTCATAGCAAAAAAAAGAAAATTGATACCACTATTGATGGATATTATTACAGGTGGATTGGTTAACAGAGAAGATGAGGGAAGCTAATTTCACTGTCTCCTCTATGCATGGTGATATGGTACAAAAAGAGAGAGAAGCAATCATGAAAGAATTTAGATCTGGGGCAAGGTAAATAGTGAATTTATTTTTATGCCCCCTCTATGCTATGGGGGCATTAAGTGTTATCTTTGACCGTCCGTCTTTCCATCCGTCCAATTTTCTTTTCCACATTCTAAATTAAGTTTGCCTTATCTAAATTTTATGAAACTCGTGCACAATGCTAAGAACCAAAACTAGCAGACAGAGCTTGAATTTGGGTAGTAACTTTCCGTTTTAGAGTTATGCCCCTTTATAACTTGGAAAATTGCAAAGCTTGAGCGGGGGCATTTGTGTCCTCAGACACATTCTTCTTTTATTTAAAGAAAAACTCTACAGAAAGACTTTCAGGTTTAATTTCTCGCTCATTATTTGCTTTTTGATGTGAATGACAGTCCAGGGTCTTCAGTATTCTGTGAATATTAGAGTTTATATTTTAGTGGTTTCATGCTTTTTCATATAGAATATAAATCCTATGCACATTTAGATATACAGAACTTTCTATGCATTTTATTATCAATGAAAGGGAATTCACTCTATCATACCTTCAATTAACGATAATCAATATGTGAATATATTCATATCTAAGATTGAGAGGCTTTACCATTGCAAATTTTTTATGTTGGTAAATATATAGGAATTGTTATTTTTCAGTCGGGTATTAATAACAACAGATGTATGGGCCAGAGGTATAGACGTACAGCAAGTTTCCCTTGTCATAAATTATGATTTACCAAACAACAGAGAATTGTATATACACAGGTAAATATTTCCTTAGAAATTAAGGCTATATGAAATGTAGATTTATAGAACTTTCATCTTGAAAAGTAATATTTGTGTCTTATAACTGATGCAATTTCCATACATCAGGTATGCATACTTTCACAAAGCTGAAAAATTTATAAATTTGCTCATGTTGGGCAAACAATTTCAGGAAATTTCAGCACATAGTTTCAAATGTTAATGAATTTTCATATTTTTATCTTAAGATTATTAAATAAGATTAAGTGTGATGTCTTCAAAATTTTCAGATATAATGTATACACAATATAACATTGTACATAAAATTAAAAGGATAGATTTTAAGAGTTTAGGATAACATTTTACATGTGTATGTGTATAACCTATATAACTATTAAATATATACATGTGAATTTTAAAACTATTATTTTAGAATTGGTCGATCAGGAAGATTTGGTAGGAAGGGTGTAGCCATCAACTTTGTAAAGAATGATGATATCAGGATATTAAGAGATATTGAACAGTACTACGCTACACAGATTGATGAAATGCCTATGAATGGTAAGTTCTTTTGCTTTTTATTAATGTTGAAAACAATGGTGTCCTTAACACACACAGTAACGCACATACACACACCTATGGCAGGAAATTGGAGGGAATTATCAATAGTTGCACTTCTTCATAGTTATAAAACAGCAAAAGCTTGTTTCATGGTCATTCTATTGTCCTGTTTTGTGACTTTATGTAGATCTGAACTCAAAGATGGCTGTCCCAAAGTTGAAAATAATATAATAAGGTACTTGACAGATATAGATCTGGCTTCCTAATTATTTTAGGTTGTAAATATTGGCTACTAGGTACAAAATCACATACTTTAAAATTTACTCTTGGCCATACATTGTACTTCTGTGGATTCATTATTATTGTGGGATGCCAATTTTAGTTGATTTCATGGGAAAGGGTGAACAACAAATTTAAATGTCCAAAGAAGAAGGAATTCTCTATTGGAATGAATGCAGCTTTTTGTAAAGCCATGAAATCAAATATCCATGAAAATAAGATTTTTACTCAATCCACAAAAATTGGTAGAGTGGGTGGCGCATATTCGCCTTGGACACATTTTTGCCGTTTTGCTATTTTTTCTGTAAAATTTGTGTGCCTTTACCCAATACTTGCCTAAATAGATGGTAAAGGCTGTTTGTAATGTTACAACTGTTGATATTCCTCTTTACCCCATTTCCAAGGTTATTCGCACATATTGAGAAATACGCAGGTGTTTTTAAATGATTTTGGCAATTATGTAAGATTTATATGGCAATCATGTGCAGTCTTAAAGTAAATATTTGTGAGAAAAATCGTATAGAAATGATCTCTCAAGCTAATTCATGTAATTGCAAACATTCGTTTTTATAATATACCAGGATAATGAGGATGGTCATATAATACATTGCGGCGAAAATGTGTCCCCCATGGTACACGAACAACTTGATTTCCTCTTGAGTTTGCGTTCGTTTTTAGAACAATTAACTAATGTTTTGAATATAATTTCTTTATCAAACATTTTTTTCACATAGTTAAATTTCTGAAACCTTCTTTTAAATTTCTGAAACCTTCTTTTAAATTTCTGAAACCTTCATAAAAAGTTCCAAATATTCGAATGTAGGTCAGATGTAAGTGGAAATGAACGAATTATGCGGCGAATATGGGTCTCTCACTCTACCCACGAAAATAAATGAATCCACAGTAATTACTTTTTGGTGAATTCATATTTATTTTTCACACATCTTGCTCATTAAGTGTGTAATTTTACTAGCATAATGCCATTTAAGAAAGCCTTAAGTGAATGTATATTTTATCCATCTACTTAATTTTCCTTTGGGTCAATACTGTAAATTCAGAAATTATTGCGATGTTTTTATTATTGCGAAAAATGCGACAGGGTTATAATCGCAAAAATTTAAACTCGCATTATGAAATTTTTTATATGAATTAAACAGGATTTTTCTCAATATCGCAAAAATTAAAATCGCATTTTAGTCTAAAATGACAAAATCGCAATAATAAATGCACGCAATAATTTCTGAATTTACAGTATGTAAATGAATTAAGTTGTATAATTTTTGCTTTAATATTATTATTTGCAAACATTTAGGTAAACAATATTTAAATCTTGTGACAAGATAAATGTGTTTGGTTTTAAGTATTACTAATTAGATCATTGCTCCAAAAAGCTGCTTATCTGAAGCTCTGGTCACAATGCAAAATAGAAATTTGAATAATTACTTTGATGAATTGAAAGGGAAATGACCATTTTCAAAATAAAATTGTATCTTCTAAGGACATGCTATTATCACATCTCCTGAATAGTAGATTAGAACAAAATTTTCACTTTCATTTGAACTAAATGTTATACCCTGAAGATGCAAAAACAATCATGCAGAGAATTAAAACATATCAAAACTGTAAAATTTGGTTATTAACAGGATTTGGGAGGTAAATTTGAGATATTATAATACCTCTCTAAAGAGGTTATACAGGTCTACATCTACCAATCAGTCTGTCTGTAACTTCATTTTTTGAATCAGAAACCTATGCTGTGTAAAATATTTAATCACAATCCAAATTCAGAGCTGTATCAAAATTGAATGTTGTGTCCATACATGCCCCAACTGTTCAGGGTTCGACCTCTGTGATCTTTTTCAAGCTGCGCCCTGTGGAGCATTTTATTGGCATTTACAAGAACTTTTGGTAACTATGCATGCTCAACGACAAGTAATCTTCAGCATCGTGAAGTTTTGTTGTATACCTGAAGAAGAAGAACCCTTTTGTGTCTTCAGAATTTATCTCCTATTATTAAAAAGAATTATTCTTTGACATATGGAAGCTGAGTTGCAAAGATGAAAATTGTTTAAATTTTAAGCTGTTATATTATTTAAAATTATTTGTAACTTTATATTTGCCTGTTATTTATCTCTCAAGACATCATTGAGGAGCCTCTTGCCAATGCTTTTCAAGTAACTAGACATGTTTAAATCTCATTTTAAAGACAAGTCTCCTTTACTCTATTATTGATTGATTGATGATTGCTTAACATCCAGTGGCAAATATTTCATGTCCTAAACTGTTAATTTTTAAAGGAATTTCCGTAGCTTACCTTAGAATATGTATGCATATAGGTTGGTGATGTAGTGATCTTTAAATGCTCATTTTTCGTCTTTTGGTCTACAATTGATAGAGATCTGTCTTATTATCAGTCATGCTGATCTTTTTTATACGGTTTGATATTAACTATAAAGTTACCTCTTTTAGTATCTTCCAACTGCTCTTTCCAGAAAAGTTCGAAAAAATATGCTCCAATAAGATATTGATAAAAGAATTTTTTTACTATTTTTTTGTTTTTTATGCCCCCGCCATAGCGGAGGGGGGCATTAAGTTTTACCCTTGTCCGTCTGTACATACGTCCGTCTGTCCGTACGTCCCAAAATTGGTTTCCGTTCTCTAACTTTAGTTTGCCTCAACCAAATGTTATGAAACTTATACACAATGCTTATTAACACAAAACACAGGTCAAGTTTGAATTTGATTAGTGTCTCTTTTATCATTCTAGAGTTATGCCCCTTTACAAATGGAAAAATTGCTTAATTTTTCGTTTCCGTTCTCGAACTTTAGTTTGCCTCAACTAAATGTTATGAAACTTATACACAATGCTTATTACCACAAAAAAGAGATCAAGTTTGAATTTTGGTGGCGTCACTTTTACCGTTCTAGAGTTATTCCTCTTTACCGATGGAAAAATTGCTGAATTTTTCGTTTCCGTTCTTTAACTTTAGTTTGCCTCAACCAAATGTTTTAAAACTTATACACAATGCTTATTATTACCGCAAAACACCGATCAAGATTGAATTTTGGTGGCGTCACTTTAACCGTTCTAGAGTTATTCCTCTTTACAAATTGGGGACCTTGGTGGCCTAGTGGTCTAAGTAGTTATTACTGTAATCACTAGCCAGTCAACACTGAGGTTGTGAGTTCGAACCCCACTCGTGCGGGTGCACTAGACTCCAATCTTAATTGACTAGGATTGTCAGTTTTCCTATCGAAGGTCGGTGGTTTTCTCCGGGCACTCCGGCTTCCTCCACCAATAAAAACTGGCTGCCACGAAATAGCTCAAAAGCGGTGCTAAAAAGTGGCGTTAAAACACCAAAAATCAATCAAATCAATCTTTACAAATGGAAAAATTGCTGAATTTTTTGTTTTGGTTCCCTAACTTTAGTTTGCCTCAACCAAATGTTATGAAACTTATACACAATGCTTATTACCACAAAACACAGATCAAGTTTGAATTTGGTGGCATCACTTTTACCATTCTAGAGTTATGCCCCTTTACAATTTTTTTCGTTTCCGTTCTCTTACTTCAGTTTGCCTCAACCAAATGTTATGAAACTTATACACAATACTTATTACCACAAAACTCAGATCAAGTACAAATTTGGGTAGCGTCACTTTAACAGTTCTTGAGTTATGTCCCTCTATAACGTTATATTCAAGCAGGGGCATCTGTGTCCCATGGACACATTCCCCTTTTTTTTTTGATCTTTGCTTTGACATCAAGTTCAGATCAGATCAAGAAAAATCAAATTTGAGGAATATTGCATTAAATACCGTAAATTCAGAAATTATTGCGTGCATTTATTATTGCGATTTTGTCATTTTATACTAAAATGCGATTTTAATTTTTGCGATATTGAGAAAAGTCCTGTTTAATTCATATAAAAAATTTCAAAATGCGAGTTTAAATTATTGCGATTATAACCCTGTTGCATTTTTCGCAATAATAAAAACATCGCAATAATATCTGAATTTACAGTAGTAAAAAGTATGTGATTGTCTTTGAAGCAAATCTGAACATCATTTGCCAATAATATAAAAAATTTGATTCAAAAATCAATAGCATCAGTGTAAACCAAATTTAATGAGCTAACCTTAGAGATTTTATTGTCTCGCCTTGGCAGAGTCAAAAAGCAAGACATAGGTATGCTGTTTCCAGCGGCGTCAACAATATATTAGTTTGTGATTAGGTCTAGTTTATGGTGAACCACTAGTGGTAGATCAGTGATATTTGGTATGCAGTTGTATTAGCATTGGCACATCTCATTTCCATGGAGATTATTTGGTCCTGCCCCCTCAGTCATGGTCTATTGACTTTGAAACTTTTGCTTTGTTTACATGTATTTGTTTGTGATTAGGTCAGTTTATGAGGAACCACTGGTAGTAGGTCAATAACATTTTGTATGCAGTTGTATAAGCATTGGCATATCTTATTTCCATGCTGATTATTTGGCTACGCCCCCTCAGTCATGGTCTATTGACTGAAACTTTTGCTTAGTTTACATGTATTAGTTTGTGATTAACTCAGTTCAAGGGGAACCATCAGTGGTAGGCCAATGTTAATTGGTATGCAGTTGTATAAGCATTAGCACATCTCATTTCAATGGAGATTATTTGACCCCGCCCCCTCAGTCATGGGATATTAACTTTGAAACTTTTGCTTAGTTTACATGTATTAGTTTATGATTAGATCAGTTTAAGATGAACTGCTTATGTTAAGTCAATGATATTTGGTATGCAAATTTATTGGCATTTGCAAGTATTGTTTCCATGGAGATTATATAGCCCCACCCCTGATCATGGTTCATTGACTTTGAAACTTTTACATAGTTTACAAGTTAATCAGTCAGGGGACTTATTGAAATAAGTGATTTTTAAATCACTTATTTAAGTAGCAAATTCGAAGTTTTGTCACAAATTGTGATCTTGTAGTTTTACCAAAATTTTAAACACATAGGTTTAGATAATATCTTTTCATTAGTAAAATTGAAAAAAATGAACTTTTTGCTTCTTTTAAGCAGCAATGTTTATGCCTTTGATGCAATCATTTAGCTGCAAATTCTATTTTAGTTGAAAAAATGCTATAAAAATGGCTTTGCATAATGAACTGATACTTTCTTAACATATTTTTCCCAGTAGTGGGAGTATTTTTCCTGTCAAATTCAAGGTTTCATCTTATAGATTATGTAATAAAATTCTACTGTTCGCGATCAAAATTTCACTGTTTGGGGGTGTTGAAATTAGTGGGGGTTATTAAAATAATGATACTTAAAGAAGTGATTTTTTGGAAGGAAATTGAGGTATGATACTTAAACAAGTGATTTTTATGTCATTATCCTAGATTTAGTACAAGGTCATCACCTGACATGACCTGGTCATCCTATCAACACAGATGTTGGTTCTGATATTTTTAGCAACATAATTAGTCCCTGGATCATTAGTATTCTATATTTAAAGCTACAATAAAATTAAATCACTTAGGCTAGTGATTAATTTGTACTACTTAAATAGGTGATTATTAAAGAAAGACAACTCTTACTTCCAACCTTTATGGAGGTAATGTTACTTGAAGCAGTGATTTAGAAAATCATTCATTTAAGTAAGTCCCCTGACTGTTAATGTTTGTGTTTAAAGGGAATGACTTATGATAAGTCAATGGTATTTGGTATGCAGTTGTATTAGCATTAGCACATCTCATTTCCATGGAGATTGTTTAGCCATGTACCTTCGGTCATGGTCTATTGACTTTGAATATTTGCATAACTTTCATGTTAAAGTATTGCTATTTTAATTTCAACATTTGCATTATCAAAATTACAAAAAGGCGAGACATATCTCTGTGTTAACAGTTTATTTGAGATAGAATTAGGGTAAAATATCACAGATTTAATCATGGTAATCAGCTTTGAAAAAACCACGGGGAAAAGGCTGATATTTATTATTTTGATATGAAAGTCTACTACATGTGCTTCTCACAATATCTGCATCACTTCATTGTAGTAAAATATCACATTTAGTGACGATAATTGGAAGTTGTGATAGTCTGGATTCAAGGCGGATCCAGAATTTTCAAAAAGGAAATCATCCAAACATACGGAGACCTGATAGTAAAAAATCACACAAATGTACCCTAACAGATTTTGTTTCATAAGGGGGTCCTGGATTAATTACAATGTATGTCTGTAAATATGTTTTGTCTCACTATCAAGTCATCCCAGCATTTTCTTATTTACTTAATATCTTGTTTAGGACTTTTTTGAATTGCTTGTGTAAATTTTGTTTGACTAAAATATGTTAAGTGAAATGAAATGTTTATATAAAGACCTCTTTTAAGTTATATCATATTTCTGCTCATTTAACACGTTTAAAGTTCAAATGAACTCCATTAAACTGGGAAAGCTGGTACATGTAATTAAGAAAAAAATTTAAACGATCTGTTAAATACCCTAAGGTTGGTTTTATGATATGATATGATGATAAGACTTATTAGGCATAGTACCATGAAGTATACAACCCTGTTCTAACCTTTCAGTAGATTTTATTTCGTGAAACTAATTTAATTGCACAACTTCATGCAATGCACAACAGTGCCCAATTTAAATAAACTTGTTAAACTAAGTTGTTTGCAATGATTTCATTTTTATACCCATTGATAGTGAAGAAGATGTGTATAAATTGTACTAAATATAATAATGGATGTTTGTTTTTCCATTTATGATATTTGTTGTTAAGGTATTTTATTGATGGGTACATTGTATATATTGTTTATGCTGATTGGAGCTCAGCATTGGTTTATATAAAGAAAGGTTAAAGTTCTGCCGATAATGTCTGATAATGTGAATCACTGTGAAACACTGAATAATGGTGATTAACAGTGAATGATCTGATATATTAGAGTGAATCTACTCATGCACCAGCATTCACAAATGAATTACCACCAAAATCTTTTTTTTTAACCAGTTCACCATCACGAACATTATGTTAACTTAAAAAAAAACTTTATGTTGTTTGAAGCCTGTTAATTATAGGAGCATGTTATAAGAGAAAATTAGGGCATAAATAAGGTTAACCTAAACAAATACAAGAAGAGGGGTTAAATAAAAAATGCAGTTTTGACTGACACAAATTTTTGTTTTTATTTTCAGTTGCTGACTTGATTTGAGACCAACAATGAACAAATGACTTTTCCATGTGAGGAAAATTACATCTGTGACATTCATTATTTTACAAGGACATGGATCACTTTTTAAATCCTCATTTTATCATAACTTCAGTCAGAATCATGTAAATATCATAAATCATTTTTACATAACATGCAGTTCTGGCCTAGAAATTTCAAGTGCAAAGTGAATAGTTGTTTCTGCAGTATGTTTATATAACTGGATGGTTAGCATGGCTATTAAAGAGACTCTACAGTTTGTCAATAGTGAATCGTGGGAAATTTAGTAGAAACCTGTCCATTCTGTCAACGGAAAATTTGTGTATTAATGCTGGGTCAGTGTTAAGTATAATAAAAATATTGTAAATTTTATTGACTGTCTTATTGATATAGATTTGCAGTTAATGATATACAGCTATATTTTGACTTTCTCCATTAGAAACATGCAATTCTACATTGACGACATCAAACAAATGCAAAATAAAAATCATGGTCAGAAATATACTTCAAATCATGTAAACTGTTAGACACCACTATACCTTTAAAAAAAGTTCTAGATTTTTTACAGTGAAGTCAAAATGTGTCGCAAATGTGCATGTTTTATCTGGTTTTCCTATTTATTTCCTCATGTCCTACATTAGAAAATAGGCCACAAGAAGTGAAGAACTTGTCATATCTTTAGAGATAAGAAGTGCATATATATATGATATAGAAATAGAAATGATTGTTGTAGGATCTTAGTCTAGATAGCCTAGTTAAGTTTAAGGTTCAAATTGATTTTAGGTGAACAGTGTTTTAGCTAGAAAGTTCAAACAGGGCTATCATTTTTATACGCCCGTTTACGGGACGTATTATGGCATACCTCTGTCCGTCCGTCCGTCCGTCCGTCTGTCCGTCCGTCTGTCCGTCGTCAACATGTCGGACATTAACTCAAAAATGCTTTAACCAATTTGCATAAAACTTTGGTGACTTGTTTATATCTATTGACGTGAGCTCCCTTTCGTTTTTTATAAAATTTAGATTTTACGTTTCCGAGTTATGGGGTTTTATTCAGTAAAAAAAGGGGGATTTTCCAGTTTTCGGACAATAAGTCAAGAATGCTTTCACCAACTTGCAAGAAATTGTGGTGAATTGTTTATATCTATTGATGTAAGCTCCCTTTCTATTTTTATAAATTTTAGATTTTACGTTTCCGAGTTACAGGGTTTTATTCATAAAAAAAGGGGGGATTTTCCAGTTTTCGGACAAAAACTCAAAAATGCTTCCAGCAATTCTTATGAAACTTTGGTGAATTGTTTGTATGTATTGATGTAAGCTCCCTTTAGAATTTTATAAATTTTACGTTTTACATTTTTGAGTTATGGGGTTTTATTCATTAAAAAAGGGGTGATTTTCCAGTTTTCGGACAATAACTCGAAAATGCTGTCACCAATTCCCATGAAACGTTGGTGAATTGTTTATATCTATTGATGTAAGCTCCCTTTTTATTTTCATAAATTTCTATTTTCTAATATGACATTGAGAATTTATTGAACTTTATTTGTTTATAGTCTGACAACAGATTTACTAAGTATTGCACAACAGCAAGAAATCTTTAATTGAATATAAATTCAATTCATATAACCAATTTCAAGTTCTTTGACTACATTTATTCAGAAACCTATAATATGTCAAATATTTAATTACAATCCAAATTCAGACCTGAATCAAGCTTGAATATTGTGTCAATTTTTGCCCCAACTGTTCAGGGTTGGACCTCTGCGGGCGTATCTAGCTGCGCTCAGCGAAGCATTTTTTATAACAGATTTCACCGTGAAGAAAGTGAGGTATAAACATGATAAACAAGAAACTTAAAGACTCTTTAACTTTTCTAAATAAGATATGTTAGTGAAATGGATTTTTTTCTTTTTACAACAATCCCCCATCCTAATTAACATATATATTGTTTATATGATAAGTTTTCAAGTTTACATCTAGTTCAAAGATAGAAACCGCTACCAAACAGATTAATTGATACCTTATTGAAGAAATCATCAGATATTGATTATAAGATTTTCTTCAACCATTTGGCCATATTATATAATTATACCAATCTTGGTCTAAATAATAATCAGACCATCAAGTTTTAAAATTTATTTTTGATATGGCTTGTAAATGTAAAATTCCAAAATAACATTTTCTTAGCAATGACATACCTGTAGCCTGTTGTGCCATAATAGCAGTAAAATAGTCTTTACTTTTCAAAATATTTTGATAAAACAAGCACATAGGGTTGTAGTTTATTCCAATTGAAATCATTTACTGTAAAATCAGAAATTATTGCGTGCATTAATCATTGTGATTTTTGAGGAATGGACATAAATGTGAGATTAATTGTGATGATTTCATTTATATGCATCAGATATGAGAATGTGAATTCTTATTATTGCGAAACTCACCTAGTCACATTATTCACTATAAATAAAAATTTCGCAATCATTTCTGAATTAACAGTACCTTTAACATGTTTAATGATTATTAATAACAAAGGATGAACTATCTCCAATTTCACCAAAATAAAAATTAATCAAAGATACTAGCTAGGCTTACAATTTGGTATGCAAGACAAGTATTTCATCTACATAATATTCATCAGTGGTGCATGAAACAAAACAGTTGGGAGTAATGTTGCATCAGCTTACCTGTATATGAAAATTATCCTCGATTTCACACCCAAATGTTAGCAATTTGACAACTATGTAATGTTGGTTAAAACTATAGGGAATGGCATGAATTGCAAAAGGAGTGAGATTGCATCGTCACAGTAAGCATCACCCCCATGTAAATTAACACTCAGTTAAAATGTCACAATCAGTTAAATTCAGATCAGACAACTGTCCTGGTATCTAAAGATCTAAGACCAAAAAACACGTCCATGATCGTGAGTTGAGACACTGGCAGATTGTATGGGCCAACTAATTCAAGATGGTGACCATAAAACTTATCTAGTCGTTCTTCCTCATAACTCTGTTGGAACATTTTTTGTGTAAGGAGCACATTGACACCCCTGTTTTTGAATTCCAAATAGTGGACATGCACGAGCATAACATTAACTGAGATAGGTAAATGCTATGTGACAATGTATGATGTAGCAGAGGGTGTGTTACTGCTGAAAAATGGGAAGTTGACACTTTGAAATCATCACGTTTGTCATAGATAATAGTGACCAATATATGATGCAGACCTTCTACTGTATAATAAATAACTCATCATAGATACCAGGCTTAAATAGTATCTCCAATCTCAAGTTCATTAGGATATATGAGATGTAAGGAATCATTGAAATGTTGGTGTTTAAAGATGATTAACAGAACATAATCAATATATATCTGAAAGTGAAATAAAAGAACTTTGCAAGTTGCTTTTTCTTTTATTTTTGAGCAGGTTCAGTATGAAATCTGCTTCATATGAAAAAAAAAATCAAGTCTGCTAGTAATGGTGTACAATTAGTACCCATTGGAATTCTGAGTATACTGAAATATCAATCCACCAAACAAATATATTGTCAATCTAAAAGTCCAGCATTTTGATAATATCATCTTTGGTGTAGACAGCCATGACAGGTTTTGGTCTTTTTTACATTTAGAAGCTATTATCTTGCCTGCGAAGAATTTAGCAGAATGGAAGACATAGAAATACTTATCTGGTGGTGGGATGGCAATGTTGTAAATTATTTGTATACAGCTTTACTATTTCGAATGTGTTGGGTGGACAAACCATAACTTGTATACAGATTTCATATGGTCTGACTTTCAGTCTGGGATATGTTAGTTGTCCATGAATGTAATCACAATTATTTACCTAAACCAATTGTACATCAAACGATTTTACCATAATTACATATAAGAAATACACCAAAAATGCCTGATAGACAAACTACTACACTATATGAGAAATGCACCAGAATCCATTTGGCAACCAACATCAGTATAAAAAATAAACCATAATAAAAAGTAAAATAACAAAAATACCGAACTCCAAGGAAAATCCAAAACGGAAAGTCCCTTATCAAATGGCAAAATCAAAAACTCAAACACATCAAACGAATGGAAAACAACTGTCATATTCCTGACTTGGTACAGGCATTTCCTTGTGTAGAAAATGGTGGGTTAAACCTGGTTTGATAGCTAGCTAAACCTCTCACTTGTATGACAGTTGCATAAAATTCCATTATATTGACAACAATGTGTGAACAAAACAAACAGACATGATAGGTGAAAATGTCAAAAATAGGAGTGCAGTAGTCAACATTGTGTTATAATCTTAATTGCTATAAAAACAAACAAATATGTCAACAAAGAAAAACAAAATGGCATATAGACAAAGCACATAAGCAAAAATGAAAGACAAGAATACAAAAATGACCATATCACAATAACAAGAAAACTCAACTAAAGCAATATCACTGTATGAGACATACACAATACTCCAGCAAGGATAACTTACATATTAACTTACATCAGCAAGGATAACTGATGTAAGTTAATATGTAAGTATTGAGTATGAGACATACACAATACTCCAGCAAAGATAACTTACATCAGTGTTTGAGAAATGCACTTTAATCCACCAAGCAACTTGAAATATGCCATAATCTATCAAAAGAAAACAACTTCATTCTTTGAGAAATATGCTGTTAAAGTAATACATCAAAGACAACCAACATCACTATTTGACAAAATTACCATAATCTAGCAAAGACTGACATCTCTGTATGCGAAATTAACAATAATCTAGAGATTAATCCATCAAAGCATACCAGCTACAATATATAGATAAATGTGCAACCATACAACAGGACTACTGACATCTCTGCATTAGAAATTTACCGTATTCCGTCGTATTTATAGTTGTTATCACTTCATGAGAAATACACAATAATTCAGCAAGGACAACTGATATCATTGAATGAGAACTACACCATAACCAATCACAAGCATCTGCCATCACTATCAGAAATATACACAGGCACTTGTCTATAAAATATATTTTACCTATATACCTTAATATAATATATATAAAGTTATAAAAAAAAATTTTTTAAAAATTAGAGACGAGTGCCTGTGGAAATACACTATAATCAATCAATGGAAACACACTGCATTGCATGAAAAATACAGAATAATACAGCAAGGAAAATTGCCTTCATTGTATGAGAAATTCGATATAATGCAAAGGCAACCAACATAAATGTACTGTGGATTCATTTTTATTCGTGGTATACCAATTTTCGTGGTTTTCGACGGACACAGCAAACCACGAATTTAAGAATTCAACGAACAATAATCCCGACAAATTTGAAATAAATCGGATGTTTACTAGTGTAGTGTTGATTCTCCCCGTTTGCGTTTTCTGGTTGGAGTAGTTGGAAGGCTAGTAGCAGAATTCATCGTGTCAATACCGTCGTTGGCTGCTTGGGTCACAAGAACATCACGTTGTGTACTGCATTGAGATGGATCGGGCAAGCCTTGCGTGGCAGGAGCTTTCACCTTAATACTACCGGACTTTAACCACTGTTAAAGCGACATTATTTGTTATGAGGGAATCATATTCCCCAGAGTATATATAACAAAATCGTGAGATGAGTATATCTTTCACTGTTGTATGGCTTGGGTTCCAGCTTGGATCGCAAACTTCGTTAACTTGTTTCTTACTTTTGATCATTTTCTAATTACTTCTTATTATGTCTTGATTAGGAAAAATAACTTTCAATCAGTTGAACATCAAAGGGCCTTTGTATACCTTATAAAATTCTAACTACAAATTATAAATTGTAAAGCAAACAAATCATTAGTTGCCTTTGTCCACGCTTGTAAATGAACACTTTAACATAAAATGACCACGCGAGGATTTTGACGATTCAAAACATTTTCAATGAACTACTATCTTTTGTTTAACTATTCTTCATACAGAGATCCACGAATTTACGTATCTGAAACATTTTTTTTTTAATTTTTTAAACAGCGAACCACGAATTTACATATCCCACGAAATGCCTTTTTTGCTCTATCCACGAAAATTGATACCCACGAAAATAAATGAATCCACAGTATTAGAAATATACATTAAGAGCAAGTGATATCACTGTATAAGAAACATGCTAAATTCACATACCGATTGTGATATTTTTAGTGAGTGAAAACTCGCATGGCTGGTGATACATTCATAGCAGAGAGTAAAATCACAAAAATACTGAACTCCGAGGAAAATTCAAAAAGGAAAGTCCCTAATCAAATGGCAAAATCAAAAGCTCAAACACATCAAACGAATGGATAACAACTGTCATATTCCTGACTTGGTACAGGCATTTTCTTATGTAGAAAATGAGAAAATGGTGGATTGAACCTGGTTTTATAGCTAGCTAAACCTCTCACTTGCATGACAGTCGCAACAAATTCCATTATATTGACATCGATGCGTGAACAAAACAAACAGACACAATAGGTAAAAATGTCAAAAATAGGGGTACAGCAGTCAACATTGTGTTATCATCTTAATCACTATAAAAACATACAAATGTAACGAAGAAGCACAAAAAGGCATACATCAAAGTTAACATCCTCATTTTGCTTTTTTATTATACGATTTTATTTATCTATGTAAAATCCACCCATAAAGGATGGAAGGTTTTAAGTACTGGCGTAAAATCGCGCGTTTGAAATTCGCACAGGTAGACATAAAATAATTTTATCGTTCAAAGTATGACGGAATACATAAGTACAGAGTCACGTAAAATAGATATCACAAAAAAACAGACTTAATAGTAAAAGTAAAAGTAATATTAATAAATAAAATAATTTTGTGGTTCAAAGTATGACGGGATACATAAGTACACAGTCACGTCAAATGGATATCTCAAAAAACAGACTTAACAGTAAAAGTAATATTAATAAAGACAAATAAAAGAATACTATGACACGTTATTAAGATGATAAACAACGTCAGTACGCAGAATCTATACTCCAAGACCATGAGACGCCGACCTTATAGACGCATACGTTATCGCTCCATTTGGAGTTCATGCTTTTCAGATTTACTATCAAGTAGAATAACTTTTTTGTTGGAGTCTTTGACAGATTTATTTGTATGTGAGTTTGAAATTTTTAGGCAGTTATGTTGGATGTTTACATAGTTTTGGCTGTTGGATCCCAATTATTGTCAATATAACTATAGACAACTGTCATACAAGTGGGAGGTTTAGCTAGCTCAAAAACCAGGTTTAACCCACCATTTTCTTCGGATAATGCCTGTACCAAGTCAGGAATATGACAGTTGTTTTCCATACGTTCTGTTGGTTGATATAGTCTAACGTATGATTTTGTCGGTTTTTATGGACTTCCCCTTTTTGAATTTACCTTGGAGTTCGGTATTTTTTTAATACTTTTTTCCCTCAGTTTTTGTTTGTTACCTTGTTTTGTCTCTTCCGATTTACGAGATTTGAACATCGGTAAACTATTGTCGCCTTACATTGTAATTTAACCCACCAAAGACAACCAATTTTGTTGTATCAGAAATACACAATAGTCCTTCAAAGGCAGCTGCAATTATTATGTGTAATTACATTCTCACAGGGCAACCAACATCATTGTATGAGAAAACTTCTATCGAAGGCAACTGTTATCACCGCATACAAAATACACCACCAGCCTAGTAGTCTGCGCTTTTGTCTTGACATAGCATATCATTGATATATTCATTTTTCTGTAAATTTACTTTTAGCTATAGATTGCCTCTTGGACAGTATAATAGTCCCAGATTGCCTACACCTTATTTGGCACAACTTTATTGGATTTTTTGTTTTTTTTAATGCTCTTCAATTTCGTATTTGATTTTACCTTCCACATTTAGACAGACATTCGGTATTTTGAAAATATATATACCAACGCACATAATTGCGACAAAAGAGACGGAGAGGAGAATAACAAATTGATTGTGTCCTTCAGTTCAAGTGGTAATGACAACTTGTTTTTGTGAAAGTGTGCTTATCAAATGACCTCGAGGTGACCCTCCGCTGGCTATAATGATACCCTTTAAATGTTAGGTATACACGATCAGATCAAATAAAGATGGGTTGAGTTCCAATTTATACTTGTAACAATCAGTGTCAATTGCAGCTTTGAGCCTTTATCCAAACTCTAACAAGTCCTATATTCATAAAAGGGTTGAGATTGGAAATATATTTGAACATAGTAAAATAGGCTAATATTCTCTGACAAGGCCATTGTCACCTAAAGTGTGTTAAAAGTCATATACAAGTTAAATCACTCTGAACACTAGTTTTACACCAATGTTAATTATATTTACCAATATATTTTTAATGTTTTCATTCAATCATCATGGGAATTATTAAACACTCCAGTAATGTTTTATAAATGATTCAAATAAATCCAACGTTGCTAAAATCAATAACAGAAATGAATTGCACAAAACATTGAATTAGATATTTACATTGGTCAGGAAGTACGAAAACTGATATACAGAGAATGCTTCATTATTGGTATACAGATTGTGGACTTGATTGGTTGATTAGATCAAGTAGTAATTATAGTTAACAAAGTAAACAACAACAAAAAACTGCATTAAGGGTGGATACAATACAGATGAGGGATTCTAGTAAATGAAAATAACTCTTTATAAATTTCGTGCGTCCGAAGAGTTTTTCTAGACGTAATTTCATCAGGAAAGCTAAAACCTAAAAATGTGAAACCCAAGGATGTATAAGTACGTGGAAATTTGAAGAGCTGAATAAACGAAAGGGATCTAAAAAGAACAGCCAAATCCATTTAATGTCAACTTTGTCTGATAAAGTTTAATAATCAATGAGACAGCTTATACAATAAACAAGTACAGGAACTGTCAAACTAAAACACAAAGAGGTCATGATACGGTCTGCAATGATGGACAATCCAGGAATTTTGAAAAGGAGAGGGAGGGTATTCCATAAAACTAAACATATACCATGTAAACTTCCGAGCGTAGCGTGGCTACTTCATGTAAAAATATGATATCTTTCTCCGATCTTCGACCCTCCTTAATCCGTCACTGTCGTCGACATCTTTTAAAAAGATTCATTTAATGAGATATCTCCATTGGTGGATCCTGGATTTTTAAATTGGAACAGGACGGGGTACTGAAAAATAACAGCAGTCAAAAATAAGAAAAAAAGGATTAAAAAACAATTTTTCGGACATACAGGGATGGTGGTCCCTTGTCGCCTCCTCCCCAGTACAAGTTTCACTGTTACCTTGTAGACGTGACCCGATTGCTGACACGACAATAACGCATATTTAAATATGTAACAAGTCATTACAGATTTATGACTGTATAACCTAGAATTTTCATCAGATATACCATTTATAGAAATTTCATTATATGTACCTATTACATCTCAGATTCCTTTGTTTGATAATCATAAATTTTATGAATGATCATAGACCCATTAGGAAATCAATTAGTGAAAACGTGGGGATATTACATGAACGGTCCATTAATCCACCGGCCTTCGCTGTATATAGATGGCTAATCAAAGTTTGTTACATTCCCGTTATATGGTTTATATAGCCATTAAATCTATATGCAAATTGAAATTATTTAAAAACAAACAAACAGCGTCATTCACAATGTTTGTAAATCTTCGGGTGGATGCCGGTTGATAAATGATCGTCTAAAGTGAAATATAGCAACTCTTATGATGGGCTTTAAGTGGAAATAAGCCATTTCAGTAATTTATAACAACTAATTGAATTGGACTTTAAAAGCACTCCATTTATGATTCAAAACTTTATTTTTGACGTTAATAAAAGAGTGGACAAGATCCTTTTAGTCTATACATGCAGGGATTTTTCAAGGCTAGCAATAAAAATATTCGGGATTATAAACATAATATGCACTCGAGGTTCCACGAACTCTCCAGCTTGTTCTTAAGTTAAAGTGGGATGTACAACCGCACGGATTAAATGATGTCAAACCATCAAAAGTTGTTGATAGAGATCTTGAGAAAATTAATATGTTTGAACGAAGTGAAATTTCAAAGAACAATATATGTATAAATACACAGAAAAACCGGAGTCACAACAATACATATTAATTGGAATACAGCGCATTGCTATGATACGAATTCAGTTATAGGCTAATATGCAAAGTCAATCATTATCAGACTGACAAGGGATTAATTTCATTTGACAAAGCAACAATTAATATGATTTTGGAAGATAACAGTATTTCTGTAAAGAATATAAGTAAAAAAATATCAGTAAAATCAGAAAAGTGATAAAGATTTTAATTATTTGACGGTGAATGGAGAAAATTTAGGATCGGTAATACGGTACACACTTGTAATTGTTTCCCTAGACAATATATACCATTCAAGTGATTTAATTAAAAATATCGTCACGTCATCTTCCAGATTTCATTAAATGTATTATCAGCAACTTATTATTTATAAACTAGAATACAATTGGGCAACAGTTGAATAGTTACTGAACATAAATTATTGCACCTGAAATATCCTTCGCAACGGAAACGTACTTTCGGTCTAGGCATTTCCTAGGAGCGGACAGATTGTGGTTCAATGTGAATTATTAAAACATTTTTATATCGGCATTTTGGAATGGAAAATTGAAATGGAAAACATGACGTTAATTTCGGAAGATTGGGTGTTGGACAGAATTACAAGTTCTAAAATCGCAGCACCTCCTGTGAATAATGCCTGTTTACCAGACATTTATAATAAACTGGATGCGGATACTATAGAGAAAACACGTGTCATTAATAAACTTTTGGAACAAAGATTGAAATTGCAAGAAAAAATAATAAATAAATATCAAGTCCGCGCAACAGTTGTTCATAAGAATGAGAAAGCACGCGTTCGCAAGGATTTGAAAAAGATACGTAATCACCTACCAAATATGGACGATATGGTATTTATGGATACGCAGATGCAGCTTAAGACGCTAAGAAAAAAACATCATCATGTTCACACCCCGACCGGGTACACGACCACACCCATGGAGATGAAAGGGCTAGCTTCAGAAAAAGACGATAATCCGTTCTGTTCCCGATTTTATATTCATCATATGCCTGTTAAATCCCGCACTAAACCCGTTAGAATGGCGAGATATATTCCCGGAAGGTCAAAAGACAGATCCCGTGGTTTAGAATTATCACGGGTAATGAGTGCCAGTGAAAACTGTTTAGTGTCAGGAATGGCCAACTTAGATCTTCTGGGCGGAAGTTTAAGTCGAACTGTTGATGATGATGATGCTATGACGGTTTAATTAGTTCGGTTTATTTAAGTTTGGTGCTTTCACTTGGTGCAATACACACACGTGCGACCAAAGAAATTATACTTTGTTGTAAATATTGAGGATGGCTTTTTATTCATAAATGAAAACATTAATATTGTGAGTTGTCTTATTATATTCTTTGGTCAAGCTACATGTAATATATCCCTTTTTAAAATCATGATCCAAGGAAGAAAACATTTTTTTTTCAACCTTTTTTCTAAAGTAACTTTCATTGAAAAACTTGACATCAAAATTTGTCTAAACAATAACTGAACTCGCATATACGTATAATGTTTTATGGAACAGATTTAAGCAAGTTTCTTACTTTTAATAGGCGGAACCAGGATTTTGAAAGGGGAACATTGTTGCCCCCAAACATGTTTAGTATACCATGACCATATTTTTGTTTCTTCAAAAACCAAAAGTTTTCTAAACCTACCACATCATTGTTTAAACGGCATTTTATTTTGTTCTTTATTTGTTTGGATAAAGTTTATCCATTCTTTACGGGTTTGCGCGAGACTTGTTGTCATGAATATAATATAAGTTACAAATGGAAGAAATACTCTGTTACATTATTTCCACTGGAACAAAGATTACAGAATTAGTTCCTAACGAAAAAAAGATTAAGAATATTTGTTCCAACAGGAAAATATATTATAGCATCGTTTTAAAAAGTGTCAAGGGGAATTTTTGCTAAACAGAACAAATATATACGTTGACACTGCATGGCAATAAACAGTATATTTAATGCATAGTTGTTTTTACTGTTTTACATTTTAAAACTTAGGAAGTGTTGACATCGTCACTGCATGGCACAAAACTGTATAGTTAATGCACAGTTGTTTTTACTGTTTCACTTAGGAGGTGTTTTAAGTTGTTTTAGAGCAGTTATTGTATAAACAAAAGTTAGATTTGAATATAGACGGTTGTTAAATTTAAATAATCGGATTTTCCATCTTTATTTTATATTCATATTGCGTAATAACAAATTCAATGTGAGTTTTAGACTTTTGTTCCCATTAACATTTCTTTTTTACTACATCACTTCTCTTTCAACTTGAAAATTTCATTGAAAAATAAATTTTTTTTCTATTTTGTGTCGGCTTATTTTGGTTTGTGGTCGTTACTACATTGTGAATACTTGGTGAATGTCATCGGTCTAGTTAGGTATTTTGGTAAGCAGGGCCTTCTATTTTTTTCTATATATATTCTAGTTACTTAAAAAAAACTTTAATAAACTTTGTTGTACTAAACCCTGTTTTTTCTACTGAAATGCATATTGGCGCCTCCAAACATGTTTAACCCCGCCACATTCTTTATGTGCCTGACCCAAGTAAGGAGCCTGTAATTCGGTGGTTATCTTTAGTCCATGCCTGTCATATTTGTTTTTCGTAAATTTAATTGTTATAAATTAGGCCGTTATAGTTTTCTCAATTGAATTGTTTCATATTGTTCATTTCGGGGCCTTTTATAGCCGACTATACGGTATGGGTTTTTCTCACTGTTGAAGGTTTTCGGTTGCCTATAATTGATTACATCCACTTCATTTGAAATTAGGTGGATAGTTGTCTCATTGCCAATCATACGACATCTCCTTATTTATATATATATAACATTTATAGATAATTACAGACAAACAGCTCTTTTTTGTTTAAAACTAAGCGAACATGACATGAAGGGCTGAGTAGATCAAGATGATGGTTTATTCCCGAGTAATAGCAAGGCAGGCAATCATTTTAATGAGGATCTCTGTTCTGGCATACTAGAAAAATACTCAAAACTATATTACCACCGTTCAATAACATGAAAACATGTCAACATTTTGGAACATAATTTGCATTCTTTAAAAATAATTAACAAATTGAATTGATGTTGGTGACAAATGGAGGACCGGATAGTGTATACAGAACACTATGGGCCAAAAACAAAAAACAAAAATAGAGAAAAATTGGTCTTGATGTCAAGGAACAGTAAATGGGTCATGTCAAGGATTTTGGTAAAATTTTGCATATAACTTTGGCTCTATGAACTATATTTGAAAATCTAGAAAATAATGCATTTATCTCTTGTATCTGAAATATTAATGATTGAATTCTTTCGAAGTAGGTAAACATTTGTATAGAAAGAACATTGAATAAGCGAAAAACGTCCTTAAATTTTTCTTTTAATCATGAAATCCCCAATTTTAAGTGCATAGATTTTTCTTAAAAAACTATATGTTGATGAATAAATTTTCGTATTAATGATACAAAAAACTCGTAGGTTCTATTTAATTAATTTGATTGATTTGTGCAAACGTAGTAACTTTTCAGCAGGTAAATTTCGCGCAAACGTAGTAACTTTTCAGCGGTAAATTTCGCGCAAACGTAATGCGTTTTGTCGCGCAATCATTGGCCAATTGTTCGCCCAATATGGGACAAGTTCGCGCAATTGTTACGCGCTGATATGTATAACTATGGGTTTGAAAATAACTTTTAATCCACTTTTTTTTTATTCCTCAGTCGCAAGTATTTTTTTATAGTTCTCGACTTGCCAATTATCCCGATGAAGGCAATCGATTATCCCTCTTTAAAATCTAACGACATCGTTGTTGGCAAAGGCAGAATAGAATTTTAATAGTGTTTTCAAAATATATTGATGACTGGCTTTGAACATAGTAAAGAATAAAGTTTCAAAAAAGTTGTAGATCGAACGTTTCGTAATTTTATAACAAATGGATTAGTGTTATATAAAACCCAATACTCTCTGACGACAGGTGATAAGTGTTATATCAAAGCAACGTTATAATGATTTAAGAAATGATTTATGAGAGTCATTTGTTTATTGGAGATTTCATCATTGGTAAGGTATATTTTCACGAAAATGTTACCCCAAGTGGAGAGAAGAGGGACGAGTGCAATACCCAGGATAAAATTCTGTACTTTATGAATACATCGTAAAGAAACTTCATTGGTGTCTTTTCAAAATCAAAGTCAATAGTCTTTTACTTGTATTGCTAACGGTAACTAAGAAAATTTAACTAAGGCCGATTTGCTCAAGGTCTGTTTTCAAAAAGTATTTAATTAATTGAGAGTATTACATCAAATGATAAATGCTTAAAGATGGCTGTTAGCTTCATTTCAATAAATTATAGTAAAAAACGTTAAAAATATTGCAATATTGTTTGTATCCATAATGTATCAATAGTTATTTGTGACACTGAACAACAGTTGTTGTTATGGAAATTTGTGAAGTTGATGATCATAGGTCCTGTATGACAAAATTTTAAAAATTAAAAAGAAAACTTACGGCCTTATTTACGGCCTGACTTATGTGCCTGTCCCAAGTCAGGAGCCTGTAATTCGGTGGTTGTCGTTTGTTTATGTGTTACATATTTGTTTTTCGTTCATTTTCTGTACATAAATTATGCCGTTAGTTTTCTCGTTTGAATTGTTTTACATTGTCATTTCGGGGCCTTTTATAGCTGACTGTGCGGTATGGGCTTTGCTCGTTGTTGAAGGCCGTACGGTGACCTATAGTTGTTAATTTCTGTGTTATTTGGTCTCTTGTGGAGAGTTGTCTCATTGGCAATCATACCACATCTTCTTTTTTATATTATATTAAAAAATGAACGATAAACAAACATGACAGAAATCAACGAACAATAACCACTAGATAACAGGGTTCTGACTTGGGACAGGCGTTCCTGATGAAGGTAAATCCGGAAAAGCATTTCGGACGCATGAAATTTATAACGTGTTGTTTTCGTTTTTTACAGCACTGGGTCGATACTTCTGCTGGTGGACTTTGTCCCCGAGGGTATCATCAGCTCAGTAGTCAGTACTTCGGTACTGACATGATATATAACAAACCTTTCTAAAATTGTCCGTTAATAAATTTTGAAATTATAAAAACTAAGTTTTCAACTCCCTCAGGCAAAGATGACCGTAGATGGATTTGGCTATTTTTAGGATCTCTTTGGTCATATAGCTCTTGTTTTGGTTCTTATACATCCTTGGCTTTCAAATATTCGACTTTGAGCGTTCCTGATGAAGGTAAATCTAGAAAAGCGCTTCGGACGCATTAAAATTTATAACGTTTTGTTTTCATTTTTATACGACCGCAAAAAATGTTTGCGGTCGTATATTGGTATGACGGCGTCGTCGTCGTTGTCGTCGTCGTCGTCGTCGTCCGAAGACACATTGGTTTTCGCACAACAACTTTAGTTTAAGTGAATGGATCTCTGTGAAATTTTATCATAAGGTTCAATACCACAAAAGGAAGGTTGGGATTGATTTTGGGGGTTATGGTACCAACAGTTAAAAAAATTAGGGACCAAAAAGGGGCCAAGTAAGCATTTTTCTTGTTTCCAGACAATAACTTGTGGAACGGTGTATGGAACTCTCTGAAATTATACCACAAGTTTCAATACCACAAAGGGATGGTTAGGATTTGCTTTGTGGGGTTATGGCTCAAACCGTTTAGGAATTAGGGGCAAAAAAAAAAGGAAAAACAAGGGTGTCCTGGTTAATGGACAAATACTTTAGTACAAAACATAATTTAAAGCAGTGTTAGGGAGGTAATTCAAATACATCATTTGAATTACCTCGTTTACACTGCTTTTAAATTATGTATAAAGTAATGGTTAATGAACACTTAAGACAATTTAAAAGCAGTGTAAGGGAGGTAATCCAAATACAACGTTTTGATTACCTCCCTTACACTGCTTTTAAATTATGTTTAAAGAAATGCATATTTATAAAGGAAGACCAATAAAAATATCTGCAAATGTTGCATCTTTTTTTTACAAAAAAAATCCGTATGAAAGATTTGACACCATATTTTAAATTCTATTATAAAATAGATTAAGTTAGCACTATGGTAAATTTAAATGGGTAATTATGGTTGCAAACTCCATTGGAAATTTGAATTGAGATTATGACCATATCTTGAGGGAAAGAATTTTTTTGGGGGGAAAAGAGGGGGGGGGGGGGGTAAAAAGAAATCGTGGGGTGTAAATTTTTTCTCATTTCAGATTTCAGAAATTAAAAAGAAAATTCTTCAAATATTTTTTTTGCAAAAAAAAAAGTCTGTGTGTGTGTGTGTGTGTGTGGGGGGGGGGGGGGGGTGTTAATACGCAATAGCATAGTGTATTGCACAAAAGCAAAAAATGTTCAAAATCAAATCATATAACAAATTCTAAGTTCTTTGACTACAGTTATTCTGTGTCAGAAACCTTTTCTGTGTCAAATATTTAAATACAGTCCAAATTCAGACCTGTATCAAGCGCGAATATTGCGTCCATTTTTGCCCCAACTGTTCAGGGTTGGACCTCTGCGGTCGTATCCAGCTGCGCTCGGCGAAGCAATTTATTTAATATGTTTGCCAGCGCTGAAACGCTATCTTAAAGCGAAGACAGTGGTGTAGCAACAAACTGTAAAAATCACTTTAAAAGGGATTGACTCAGCAGATCAATACAAAGAACGCACAAAAACAAGTGACCCAAACTTCCGGTCTAAGAGTACTTGCAGTTACTGACAGTTAGATCAAAGCCCAATTTCAGTTAATAACTTAGCCTAGACTTCAATGCCTCTCTGTATTCTTTGCAATTATGCAATGCAAAATATTTGTCCACTGCCTGAATATATGCATAGAAGCACCAAGAAGCAACCAAATATTTTAAATTGCGGTAAAAGAGTTTAAAAAAAATAATATATCCAGTTAAACTAAAGCGGCTTACTTTTGAAGTCATTTTTTACCACTGAAAAATGTTAAAATACTGAATAGCAACCATCTAAAATTCATGAAAGTTACTTATTTATAACGATGGTAACGGAATAAGGAATAAACTTTTTATACTTGTTTTATTGCTTGTCAATAAATTATCTTTTACCAACATTTAACTCTGTCTTTCCTATTCCTACTCCCTAGTTATCAAACTTATCTTTCGCGACCAATAAGAAAGAAATTAGTATATATTTTATTTGGTAAATTTTCGGTTTTTGACTTATTGCTTGAAACCAACCCTTGACTAAATCCAAATATCGATATATAGATATATAAAGGTAGTATATTTGGAAAAAGATCAAATATCAGGCCAGGAGCTCATTTTTAAAAATAATTGGGAGTAAAACGGAGTGAAATCAGGTGCATCGATAGGGCAAGCATCTTTTGATATGTATACATCTCTCATCTCCGAAGAACACACCTCTTATGGTCATACATCCAGTCGATGCTATTTACTTATGTTTTTGTAATTGCACAAAGGTCATGATTTTCTTAAGACTGTTTATGGCGTCTTTTCAGTACCTGCAAGTACTCTTAGATCCGTACGTAATTTGTGTCGTTTATTTTCATGTTAGAAGTTTTCTGTGCTTCGTTCAACTAGAGAAGCAAACTATATAAACTACTGGTATTGTAATATCGTTTATTTGTATTCTGTTTTCCATTACCATCGTTACGAATGACTTACTTTTATGAATTTTGATTTTTTTAAAGTTCGATTTGATTTGATTTTGATTTTTGGTGTTTTAACGCCACTTTTAAGCACCGCTTTTGGGCTATTTCGTGGCGGCCAGTTTTTATTGGCGGAGGAAGCCGGAGTGCCCGGAGAAAACCACCGACCTTCTAGAGGAAAATTAAAGTTCGATATTCGGTATTGAAAAGGTTATTAATCCAACAAGTCTTTGTTGTTATTTTAAAATGGGAAAGCATATAAAAAATGTGATACATATTTGTTCTTGTGTTATGTATCTTTTATTCACGTGTAATGTGTTTTTTTTGTAGCAGTAATTTTGAAAGTCGTGTTGTTTTCAGAAAATTATTCAATAGAAATATGAAAACCTTCTCAAAATATGGCCATATGAAATCAATGATAATCATTTGTAAGAAGATTTATAAAAGTTTGACACTTTTTGTCCCGCCTTGACAGAGTCAAAAAGCGAGACATAGGTATGCTGTTACCGGCGTCGGCGGCGTCAACAATGTATTAGTTTGTGATTAGGTCTAGTTTATATGGTGAACCACAAGTGGTAGGTCAATCATATTTGGTATGCAGTTGTATTAGCATTAGCACATCTCATTTCCATGGAGATATTTTGGCCCTGCCCCCTCAGTCATGGTCTATTGACTTTGAAACTTTTGCTTAGTTTACATGTATTAGTTTGTGATTAGGTGTTTATGGGTAACCACAAGTGGTAGGTCAATGATATTTGGTATGCAGTTGTATAAGCATTGGCATATCTCATTTCCATGGAGATTATTTGGCTCCGCCTCCTTAGTCATGGTCTATTGACTTTGAAAATTTTGCTTAGTTAACATGTATTAGTTTGTGATTAGGTCAGTTCATGGGGAACCATTAGTGGAAGGCCAATGTTAATTGGTATGCAGTTGTATTATCATTGGCACATCTCATTTCCATGGAGATTGTTTAGCCATGTACCTCAGTCAAGGTTCATTGACTTTGAATATTTGCATAACTTACATGTTAAAGTATTGCTATTTTAATTTCAACATTTACATAATCAAAATTACAAAAAGGCGAGACATATCTCTGTGATAACAGTTTATTATTACTACCCGACCAAAGTCAGCTGGTGGCTATCGATGAATATCAACGAGTTCCGTAGACACTAGCATTGGACAATCTGTAAGGTGTGACCTCTTTAGTTTCCAGCATATATATATAATATATGAATATGAAGAACAGCTATAAAAGCAATATTCCTGCAATATATTTGTTTTTGTTGTTGTTAGTATTCTATTAGTGATTGTTTCGAATACATCGCATTATATATACATCACTCAAATGATAAACATGGCGATGCCTTCAGCTATATATCTCAACTATTACTCTGCAAATCTAATTTTCTATTCAAATATAAGAATAAGAAAATGTGGTATGATTGCTTATGAGACAACTCTCCACCAGAGACCAAATTACACAGAGGTTAACAACTACAGATCACCGTACAACAATGAGCAAAACCCATACTGCATAGTCAGCTATAAGAGGCCCCGAAATGACAAATGTAAAACAATTCAAACGAGAAAACTAATGGACTGAATTATGTACAAAACAATGAACGAAAAACATGATATACAGTAACAAAAGACAACCACTGAATTACAGGCTCCTAACTTGGGACAGGCACATACAGAATGTGGTGGGGCTAAACATGTTTGCGGGCACCCAACCCTCCACTAATCTGGGACAGTGGTGTAACAGCACAACATATGAACAAACTATAAAATAAATCATTTAAAAAGGGCTTAACTCAACAGATGTGTATAGTAATACAAAAAGAAACACTTATATTTTCATAAATCAGACTCTAGTGCTACGTTAAATGGTCCTGCTCCTATAATTATCATCCTTTACTTGAGAATACATAAGACGCTCTTCTTGAATAAACCCTGATAATGCCGTAAGGTTGTGAGTATAACCATGTAAGTTTGAGCTTCACTCAAAATAGATGTACTGGATACGATAAAAGAAAAAAAAAAGCAGGTTGTCATGGAAATACCTAAAAAAAGGAATGTTTTCCGATGATACGCTGTGCCTTTTTGAACAACCTAACTTTGTTATTGTTTTTGTTTGGGCTTGATGGTGTTTGTTTTTTTGGGGGGGGGGGGGGGGGGGGGAGGGGGCAAAAAACAGTAGACGTTTTTTTCTTAATATAAGAGTTTTTAATTTGAAAATTGAATGTGGGATTTTTTCTTCGTCTTTTTCAGTGTCACGCCTTTTTTCTTTTTATGAATACTGTTAGTTGACCATTTTCTGAAATTTTTATATGTGAAAATTTAAAAGCATTGGCAGGAAAAAAAATTATATTAATATCTATTGTCAAAATGATTTCATAATCTCTTCGATTTTTACAAAATAAAAAGTATCGTAACTTTCGCTGTGGACATTTGAAAACATGGTAAATTGTTCAGATTCTGTGTCTGTCTGTCAGAACCTATAATGCCGTGTGGTTCGTTGATGTAGATTATATTTGTGTTTCGTTAATTGTTTTGTACATAAGTCTTCTCTTTATTATTTTGTACATAGATCAGGCCTTTGGTTTTCTCGTTTGAGTTGTTAAAAATTTCGTCAAATATAGCTTCCTTGCTAGTCTTGTGTGTTTTTTTTAAATTTTAGTTCATTTATATGTTTTGGAGTTTGGTGTGACGTCCATTTTCATTGAACTAGTACACATTTTGTTTAGGGGCCAGCTGAAGCCCGCCTCCGGGTGCGGGATTTTCTCGCTGTGTTGAAGACCCATTGGTGGCCTTCGGCTGTTTTCTGCTCTTTGGTCGGGCTGTTGTCTCTTTGACGCATTCCCCATTTCCATTCTCAATTTTATCCTATTCGGATTGAGTTTTGTTCATTGTTGTAGTCCATATACCTTGACCCATAGATGCTGAAATCTACATTGTTTGGTTTCTGGTGAATACTTGTCTCCTTGGCAATCGAACCAAATCTTCTTATTTTTTTACGGAATCATATAAAGCTAGAATAGAATCAGATTGGGTAAACGTCCCTGTCCCGAAGTTAGGCAAGAACAATAGTTTTTTTTTTTAACATTTAAGGTTTTTGATAACTATAATTGTTTTGAAAATGTATGTTTTTTTTGCTCCGTGTTGAAGGCCTCACTTTGACTTTGATATGAAGAACAGCAATAAAAGCGGTGTTGCTT